TTGCCTTTAAATTGTTTAACTTGGGTCAAACGTTTCGGGTAGCCTTCCACAAGCTTCCCACAATAAGTTGGGTGAATTTTGGCCCATTCCTCCTGACAGAGCTGGTGTAACTGAGTCAGGTTTGTAGGCCTCCTTGCTCGCACACGCTTTTTCAGTTCTGCCCACACATTTTCTATAGGATTGAGGTCAGGGCTTTTTGATGGCCACTCCAATACCTTGACTTTGTTGTCCTTAAGCCATTTTGCCACAACCCCCTTTTTCCTCCAAACATAACGATGGTCATTATGGCCAAACAGTTCTATTTTTGTTTCATCAGACCAGAGGACATTTCTCCAAAAGGTACGATCTTTGTCCCCATGTGCAGTTGCAAACCGTAGTCTAGCTTTTTTATGCTGGTTTTGGAGCAGTGGCTTCTTCCTTGCTGAGTGGCTTTTCAGGTTATGTCGATATAGGACTCGTTTTACTGTGGATATAGATAATTTTGTACCTGTTTCCTCCAGCATCTTCACAAGGTCCTTTGCTGTTGTTCTGGGATTGATTTGCACTTTTCGCACCAATGTACGTTCATCTCTAGGAGACAGAACACGTCTCCTTCCTGAGCGGTATGATGGCTGCGTGGTCCAATGGTGTTTATACTTGCGTACTATTGTTTGTACAGATGAATGTGGTACCTTCAGGCATTTGGAAATTGCTCCCAAGGATGAACCAGACTTGTGGAGGTCTACAAAAAGAATTCTGAGGTCTTGGCTGATTTCTTTTGATTTTCCCATGATGTCAAGCAAAGAGGCACTGAGTTTGAAGGTAGGCCTTGAAATACATCCACAGGTACACCTCCAAAAGACTCAAATGATGTCAATTAGCCTATCAGAAGCTTCTAAAGCCATGACATCATTTTCTGGAATTTTCCAAGCTGTTTAAAGGCACAGTCAACTTAGTGTATGTAAACTTCTGACCCACTGGAATTGTGATACAGTGAATTATAAGTGAAATAATCTGTCTGTAAACAATTGTTGGAAAAATTACTTGTGTCATGCACAAAGTAGATATCCTAACCGACTTGCCAAAACTATAGTTTGTTAACAAGACGTTTGTGGAGTGGTTGAAAAACGATTTTTAATGACTCCAACCTAAGTGTATGTAAACTTCCGACTTCAACTGTAGCTACCTCAATTACCTTGTACCCCTGTACATCGACTCGGTACTGGTACTCCCTGTATATAGCCATGTTATTTTTACTCTTTATTGTTATTCATTATTCACTGTGTATTTATTCCTTGTGTCACTATTTCAATTTTGTATCATTATCTTTAACTCTGCATTGTTGGAAAAGGACCAGTAAGCATTTCACTGTTAGTCTACACCTGTTGTTTATGATGTGACAAATAAAATGTGTTTTGATTTGAAAAGTGAGATTTTCAATGAACAGTTGCAGTAACAGCCTATCCCATTAAGGCTTGCAGTATCAACCTATCCCTGTTAAGCCTGCGATTAGCCTCCACTGATCTCATCAGGGCTGCCTAAATCTGAGGACCAGAGCCCACAGGAGCCCACTGGTTTATCCCTGCCAGAGTTACACACACTTCTCACTCACACTGATAATACACTTAGGCACAAAAGGGCGGCAGGTAGCCTAGCAGTTAAGCGTGTTGGGCCAGTAACTGAAAGGTCGCTGGTTCAAATCCCAAAGCCGGCAAGGTGAAAAAATCTGCCATTGAGCAAGGCAGTTAACCCCCAACAACTACTCCCCATATGTCGATTAAGGTAGTCCCTCGCAACTCTCTGATTCAGAGGGGTTGGGTTAAATGTGGAATACATTTTGGTTTAATGTATTCAGTTGTGCAACTGACCAGGTGTCCCCTTCCATACAAACACATACACTGATTAAGCATTTCACTGTTAGTCTACACCTGTTGTTTATGAAGCATGTAATGAATAAGATTTGATACGTTAACACTCATTCACACACAAAATAATATAAAATATCACTGTAGTCCCCTTTTACATTGTCTTGATGTTTGCACACCACAGACACACTCAGGGGCTATGCCATCTCTCCCCCTACACATATCCAGCACTGATGCTAGTGTTAGCTGAGTAGGGCACTGGAAGTGAAACATGATGTCACAAAGGTCAGACCCAGAGGCCATGAGGGCACATTCTGTGTACTGATTGACATGAGGGGTTTGCAGGGTGAGTTGTGGGGGATGGGCAGCCACTGACAAGCCCTGATAGACTACCACTGAGAACCCACAAAGAGTACACACATGCACGTACGCACCAACATACGCACACATTAACAAACATAGACAATCACACAAACTTGGACACATACACACACACAAACATGGACACATACACACGCACAAACTTGGACACACACACACCTGTCAACTGGAGGTCGAATGCTTCCCAAGCCCTCTGCCTGGCTTGGGTGGCATTTTTCTGCTATAAGTAATAGTTTGCATAAGGAATGCAAATTCCACAAAGAAAATGCAAATAATTCAAATACAGTACATCTATCTATGTACACATACTATACGTGTGTGTATGTGTGTGTGTGTGTGTGTGTGTGTGTGTGTGTGTGTGTGTGTGTGTGTGTGTGTGTGTGTGTGTGTGTGTGTGTGTGTGTGTGTGTGAGCGTGCGTGCGTGCGTGCGTGGCAATGTGCGTATGTTTGTGAGCGGGCATGAATGTGTGTGGGTATGTGCATGCATGCATGTGTCGTGTTTCTATGACAGAGATGGTTAAATTAGATGCAGGCTCAGAGGGCCTAGTGGACACTGGAAAGACTCAGAAGGAATAGTGGACACTGGAAAGACCCGGAGGGACTAGTGGACACTGGAAAGCCTCAAAAGGAATAGTGGACACTGGAAAGACTTGGAGGGACTAGTGGACACTGGAAAGACCCGGAGGGACTAGTGGACACTGGAAAGCCTCAAAAGGAATAGTGGACACTGGAAAGACTTGGAGGGACTAGTGGACACTGGAAAGACTCGGAGGGACTGGTGGACACTGGAAAGACTCAGAGGGACTAGTGAACACTGGAAAGACCCAGAGGGGCTAGTGGACACTGGAAAAGCTTTATTCTCTCCTTCCTGGTGAGAAAAATGGGTGCTGAGGGTCATCACTTTCTCCACTGTGGAGTAGAGGTCAAAAGATGCCTGCCATAAACCACTGGCCACCAGCAGAGAAAGGCCTCTGTCCAACACAGGCCTTGTACAACTAGGCTATATTTACTGCCACAAAGTTCCAAGGCTAGATGACCCCTTTGGATTGTGGCCTGGACAGAATGTATATATGCCTTACAATGCTTTTCTGTTCGTTAAAAGGACAGAAATGCACATATGTGTGTCAATTGTGTGTATTTATCATGATCTTAGATGTACATTATAAAGTCAAATGTAATAGTACTGGAGTAATAGTGGTAGGCCTATACTTGCATATTAACGATCATCTAATTTCAATTAACAGCATATTACCACATATAACCACTAGGTCCAATTTATATAATTTATCAGTCTTGTAGCATCTTGCAACATTTAAACAGCGCCTGGAAAGCCATTCATATTGGTTATTGTTGTTAATTTACTCATCGATCAGGATCTGCCTGTCCATGCCTTTGCGATGCTGCGAATAATTATTGAAAATAAACAATATATCTGTGTACATGTCAGTTCTATTCGTATCGTCAAATAAATCACCAAATTACCTTGCATTGAGATCCTTCAATGAAACGATAGGGCAGGGAAGGTACCACTTCAAATGTATGGGTGCGGTTTTCACACAAAACACTCACTAATAATCTTCTGTCGAAATAATATTCTGTCTATCAGGCTATATAGGCTACAATCACTGAAATACAAGACAACATGATACTATTTCAGATTTACATCAGAAATGTCTACTATTTTCTGTCTGTCTGCTTTAAGCAAACCGCCTTGTTGGGGCAGCCATCCCTATGAAAGTAGTGTATTTTGGTTTCTCCCAAGATGATGTTCCAGATCCCTTTAAATTCTCCCGACTGGTGCCTCTGCTCGATGAAGTTTGGAGCTGCGCCGAACGACCAAACTGAGAGACGTGGCTGGAAATGACTCTCTTTTTTTGCAGAACACTTTCTGTGATTAAATGTATTAAACCAATTACGAGTGTGGCGCAAATGATATTCCCTGAAATTGGACTAATGGTCAATCCTGCTACTGGCTGTCTAATCTGAAATTGGGCGCATATGTTCCTAAAACGACTCGTCATTTGAGATCCTTTCACTCTGGTGCAAGTAAAAGTCGCATTTCTCACGCATCGCAAGACAGGGGAAGATACCCCACAACAAGACGATTTGCAATATAAACGTTTGGAACGGGATGTTTTATCCCACTGAAGTCATATTCTACATCGAAATGGATCAGGCACCTCCAGGTATTTGTTGAATCTGTAATCAATATGCATATTATCATATTAATCACCACTTCAACGATGATACAACGTTGACATTTGGCCAGTTGTGCACACAGAAGTGTCCGTGCTGGCACCTTATTGTGTGTCCCTCCATGGGCTTTGCCCAGACATGCAAAGTGCAATTCGCTGCTTGGCAATTACGTAATACTTTTCTCGTGGACTTGCTTGACGCGGTGGTTTCGCTCTTTGTCTTGCTTTGTGTTACTAAAGAGATGTTATCAAAATTGAACATGACATTTTTGGTCGTAGGTTGATGAAATACTCTCTATCGTATTATTATGTTATAACGCATCTTACCAGCGCGTGAACAATGTTGAGTGGAGAAGAAATTCCGCATGAAACGACTGCTTTGTTCCCCTTTCTCTCTAGTCTACTGTAGCTGAACATATTTCATTCGTACGCAAGCACTGAAAGGCTACCAGACTAGACAACTTGTCGCATTACTTATTTTCAAACTGCCAATTGACGTGTAGCTTATGCTACCTGATGTGATATTGTAATAGTTTAGAATATATCACATCGTGTGATATTTTTCATTTAGTAGTCTCTATGCGATTACAGTGAATGACATGGTGCATTGGGCTGGCTTGTGTCAGAGGGACAATTTCCTGTGTTGTTTGAATTGAAATAATTAATGTATCTTTATATGGGCTTTCATAAAGTCTATTCCTCATAATATAGCTCAATTGGTAGAGCATGGCACTTGTAATGCCAGGGTAGTGGGTTCGTAGTGGGTTCGATCCCCGGGACCACCCATACGTAAAAATGTATGCACACATGACTGTAAGTCGCTTTGGATAAAAGCGTCTGCTAAATGGCATATTATTATTATTATATTATATTATATTATAATACGGTATTTGTGTATTAGCCCCTAGGCTACTTTACATCATGACACAACCTCCAGATTGAGGGGCTGGGGCACAGTCATACATACATACATACATACATACATACATACATACAGTAGGTAATTTTGCTGAGTCTAGTAGGAATGCAGGGTTTCAGCTTCTGCTGCCACAGTGCTTTTGCACCTGTCTTTTGCTTATTTTACAGTTGTTAAAAAAATAGAGAGCGGAAGGAGCCAGAAACCCACATTTCCTCCTGACTGGAGTTATGTTCAATTCTGCTACAGGTTCCTGAAAGGCACTTCTGTCCTGTTGGGAAACATATCGCTTTTCTCCTCCTCTTGATGTGGTTCTATCCCCACACCCCTCATTTTTGGAGAGATCCAGACGTTTTTTGTTGTTGTTAGTTTTAATGGGTATATGGAAAAGTTAAAGCTGCAATATGTAACTTTTTCACATAGAAATGTGAGTTATAGATCTGTCATTCTCATTTAAAGCAAGTCTAAGAAGTGGTAGACCTGTTCTATGTGCGCTATTTCTACGCGTCCTGTTCTTAAGTTTAGTTTTTGTATCTTTTACTTTCAGTTTTGTACACCCGCTTCAAACAGCTGCAAATACAATATTTTTGGTTATGGAAAATATATTTCACAGCGGTTTAGATAGTACAATGATTCTCTACACTATACTTGCTTGTTTTGTCACATAAACTGAAATTAGGCGAACTATTAGAATTTTTGCAACCAGGAAATGGCAGAGCGATTTCTGCATAGTGCACCTTTTAAGAAGGTTTTAATAAGTCAGGCGGTAAAGAAAAATAAAATTGTTTTATAGAGGATCATAACTTTTGAATCCTACCTGAAGATGGATGGTTTATGGTTTTGGGGCGTTGCAGTTTGGACACTGGACAAGCAGGGGATGTAAAATTCACCCCATCCAAAGTATGGCTTACATTCCCACTTTACTGACAGACCAGTTAAAATGGGCTGAATTTGCAGCATTTACATTTGCTTTAGATTCATTGTTGGTTTTTCTGACCTGTTGAAACATTTGTGAAATCTATTTCCCCTGCAAGAAAAAAATATTAAAAGCATACTGGAGTTAGCCTGCTTTGTGTGTGAACCTACCCTCTTTTTCACTGACCGATCTTGTCCTCCATCTTGGTTTCAGAGCGTGTGGCATTCTAGTATATTGTCAGTCCTGATATGGTCATCTGGGCCCATTAGGACAGAAGCTGTTATCAGCTGGGGACATGCCTAGACTTGTCTGGAGATTTGACAAACTTGTCAAGAGTGTGTATGTGTTGAGGGTGAGGGGGGGGGGTTGAATAGAGAATGAGTCCAAGCAAATATCCCCCCCCTCCCAAAACATCTGTGGGTCTGCCGGGTCGTGTAAGGTGTTTGCAGTTCTATCACTTCTCAAACGGATCAAACTGTCATCCTGATCTCTCTCTCAGCTCTCCCTCCCAGGTCAGCCAAACCCATTACCTCCTCCATGAACGAAGCCCCAGTATATCCCCTGCAGGATGCTGAGTGGTACTGGGGAGACATTTCCAGGGAGGAAGTCAACGAGAAGCTCCGTGACACACCTGACGGTTCCTTCCTGGTTCGTGACGCTTCCACTAAGACACAGGGAGACTTCACGCTAACGCTGAGGAAAGACGGCCACAGCAAGCTGATTAAGATCTACCACCGTGAGGGGAAGTACGGCTTTTCAGAGCCCCTGACCTTCAGCTCCGTAGTGGAGCTCATCTGGCACTACCAGCACCATCCTCTGGTGGAATACAATGCTGTGCTGGACGTCATGCTCACACACCCTGTGTCCCGCTTCAAACAGGTAGGCAGTGGGCACCCACCCACACCTCTCATCTGCTGTTTCAAGAGGCTCTTTAAAGAATGGAATAGAGTTGAGTAAAACAGAATATAATAACATTTTTTGTGTCCATTTGGTGATGGATATTTGTCAGGGAGGGAAATTTGCCTTTGATTTCGTAACTAAATTGAAGACAATCATCATGCACAGACAACAGGTTTATGTCTGCTGGACCAGCCGTGAGTTTCATAAATGTATTAAATATGTCTGTCTGTATCCAGGATGAGCAGGTGAAAGAGGACAGTGTTGACGTGGCCGGGAGGAAGCTACAGGAGTACCACAGTCAGTACCAGGAGAAAAGTCAACAGTTTGACTGTCTGTACGAGGCCTACACTAAAACCTCACAGGAGATCCAGATGAAGAGAACTGCGATAGAAGCCTTTAACGAGACCATGCTGATCTTCGAGGAGCAGTGTCGCGAGCAGGAGCGTTATGGGGAGGAGTGTGAGAGGAGCATTCAATCTGAGGGAACAGAGAAGGACTTGGAGAGGTGAGTCTGGTAAACTAGTCTGGTTACATCTTGGTCTGTCTCACATGGAATGTCCACCTATGCTCATAGTGTGGATAGATGGATGACTTTTTATTGTTTCCTCCCTCCGACTTGCATGCAGCTGTGGTTCAGTTTAGGCCAGTGGCATGACCCCTGACCCTTCTTTTGACCCCTCATGACCTTTGCCCTTTGCTCCCCAGATTCCTGATGAACTATGAGAAGCTAAAGTCTCGGCTGGGGGAGATCTATGACAGTAAGGTCCATCTGGAGCAGGACCTGAGGACCCAGGTCCAGGACTACAGAGAGACAGACAGGAGGATCAACAGCCTCAGGCCTGACCTCATAGAGCTACGCAACATCAGAGACGAGTACCTCAAGTACATTACAATACTTCTATTTTATTCTATTCTATTACAGTTACTGTTAATGAAAAGTAGCTTTTTTTAAACACTTGGCACAGACATTCATTTTCTCTTTGGTTTTTCAGTTGGCTGAATCACGAAGGTGTGCAACAGAAACGCATTAACGATTGGCTGGGGTTCCAAGATGATAGCAGTGACAAGTAAGTATTTCACATTATAGACCTAAATTATTTTGTAATACTTCTTAATTGTATTTAGTTGTGCTTAGAAATGCTTGTAGTGCTTATAACTGTCTATAACTTATGAAATACTAATGTATTAATAGTATGCACACTATTTATGAAAGATTTTTATCAAAATATTTTTTAAATGTCCTTTTCTGGTGTGTGCAGCACCTACGTGTTGAAGGGCGAGAGTGAGAGACTGGCGCACCATGACGAGGGGAGCTGGTTCGTGGGCGAGCTGAGCAGGACGCAGGCTGAGGAGATGCTGATGGACAAACCCACCGGAACCTTCCTGATCCGCGAGAGCAGCAAGCAGGGTTGCTACGCCTGCTCCGTAGTGTGAGTGTCCTCTTCCTGTGAAAAAATAACAATATGTAAATGAAGGAAAGTAGACTAGGAAGAATATGGGAATATTGCTACACTGTTTTATAGGCTCTTGTTAAGCAGTTACTTCACTGTGATGCATGTTCCCAAGGCTTAGGGCCACTATACTGGTACTAACTTATATATTTATTTTGTATCCTTTCAGTGTTAATGTAGAAGTGAAGCATTGTATGATTTATAGCACGCCACGTGGCTACGGCTTCGCTGAGCCCTACGACCTCCACTGCTCTCTGAAGGAGCTCGTGCTGCACTACCGCCTCAACTCCCTGGCACAGCACAACCAGGCCCTGGACGTCCGGCTGGAGCACCCCGTCCACGTCACTCCTGTCTCGTCAGCCTTGCCACACTCAGCCACAGAGGACTGCCTGCTACTACAGACAGAGGAACATCACCTTCTACAGACTCCTACTAAACTACCCGCTGGACTCCCTGCAGCCGCTCCGGAGATGTAGATTAGACGGCTGTGGGACATGTTTGCGTACTGTAGCTATCCTACGAGGACTACTTGAGAGCGGATGTGCTTGCGTACTGTAGCAACTTGAGGGCGGACGTGTTTGCGTACTGAAGCAACTTGAGGGCGGACGTGTTTGCGTACTGAAGCAACTTGAGGGCGGACGTGTTTGCGTACTGAAGCAACTTGAGGGCGGACGTGTTTGCGTACTGAAGCTATCCTACGAGGACAACCTGAGGGCGTTCTTTTCTCGAAGAAAAGTGAAATTTGCACTAGGATGATTCCAACGGATTGGTGAATGTAATTTCACTTGATTGGAACTTTGACCGGAACTTGAATGTCAGCTAGGACTTTGTTTTTTTATAAGATTCTGTTTGCTATTTGTTTTTTTTGTACACATTTTTCACCTTTTCTTTCATGGGGTTTTATTTGTTTTAGTGGACCTGGTCATCCAGGAGATTACTGACTACATATACTAACAATATGTTTGTATTTGTCAGGTGCTGTTTTTTATTTGGACTTCTAGGGTCCCATTTTGACAACACAAAGAACTGGTGCTAATGTAAAATGAGACTGTAATACACCCAATACCTTGGAATTTAGAATTTATTTCAAAACATGTTAATTGATGTGATGTCCATGCACGGAAGATCATTAAAGTGGGTTTAGAATATAATGGTGCAGAAAAACAAGATGGCTGACTCAGTGGCATAGCTAGCTGTGGTATACATACCAAACATGTTCTGGGTATTTCAGTACATAGTCATGCAAGTATGGGAACTGATGTGGCGCATCCTGACAATAGCGCTGCTTTTTTTAAATTGTCAAAATATAACACAGTTACCAGTTGATATGTACTGTATGTAGCATAAACCATTTTCTGGATATCCTTAGAACGACATTTTCCATATTGTACCCAATAACCAAAGCACTTGTTAGTGAGAAAATATATATCCCGACTAGAAAATTACATTTATGGTGATGGGGGGGGGAACACACCACACGTGCTTGATCAAAACATAAATGGAAGTACTGTATATTATATTCTGTTATTCAAAGTATAAGCTTTTTGTATTTTTTGATATGATATATTTTCTGAAATATGCCACAGAAGATGAAAGCTTGAGGAAAGTGCAATCCAACAGTATTTGTAATGTTAGAAATGAATTATTATAATTATGCGGGAGTCATCAGCATTTGCCACAGAAATGCACTAACTCTTAATAGGTGGCGTTATTCATCTGATGATGTGACCTTTAAGAACGTTGTGTGAACTGCCAGAGATGCGGAAGTGTAAATTCTGTCTCTATTACTTGAACTGTGGCATTGCTCAATAAGAGCAATGAATATTTCCTCATGACATGTAGGCCTACATAGCTTAAGAGGAAAATAATCAATTTTGTTCTTGGCACATATGTCAAGTTTGAGGACAATAAACACTCTGTATTGAGATACTGTAAAACGTGTTTTTGTGGTTGGTTTGATGGAGGGTGTTTTAGACTCTTAAAAACCAGACAGGAGCATTGAGGAAACTCCTGGGGCGACACTAAGCAATGTGATATTCTTAACCGTTTCTTGCTGAAAGACAATAAACTGATGAGGGTTTTGTTGAAATTGTGTTGCCCTTGTTCCATTTCTTCAAAGTGTGTGTTTATGCAACCAATATATGACAATATATATATTTTTTAAAGAATATATGAAGATATGCCTTCAATATGCCTTTAAATTGTGCTGCCAATCCTTCTACGCGTGCAACACTTGAGGCGGGAGTGAAATCTCTCACCTGAGCAGCTGTTTACGAACAGATCATCCCCCCCAGCCTCAGGACATCCTTTCACCGCTCTAAAAAATCCTGGTGTGATGAGAGATTGATTGAGAAGGGACATAACACATGAGTCGATCAGAGAGAGAGAGAAAAGGCATGGGGACATGGGTCAGGTGAGAAAGAAGGGATGACGGTTTCCACTAGATAAGAGAGCCACAAAGTCAGATTCCACAGCCACAAAGTCAAAATTGGCTACAAAAATGAGCTTTTTGGTCTTAATTTAAGGTTAGGGTTAGGAATAAGGTTAGACGTGTGATTGAGCTTAGGGTTAAGGTTACAGACTTTTTGTGAGAAGACAAAATTCACATAGAAATGTGATAAATCTTTAATTCTCATTGAAATCAAGTCTAAGAAGTCAACCTGGTCTCAGAGCCTTCTGTATTATTCTGTACGTAAATCCGAGATACCCCATTTAATATGTTATGTTTGGTATGGTTACATAAGACAGATGGTTACTGGCAAAAACAAAAGGAGATTGGTTGGTCGGTGTGGGTGTAGAACGTGAACGTCTAGCAACTCAAAGGTTGTTAGTTTGAATCTCATCAAGGACAACTTAAAAATGTTTTCTAATTAGCCACTTTTAAACTACTTACTACTTTTTAGCTACTTTGCAACTACTTAGCATGTTAGCTAACCCTTCCCCTAACCCTTTTAGCTAACCCTTCCCCTAACCCTTTAACCTACATAACTCTAACCTTAACCCCTAAACCTAATCCCTAGCCTAGCTAACGTTAACGAGCTATAAAACTTTAGCCACCTAGTTAGAATTCGTAACATATCATTCGTTTTGCAAATTCATAACATATTGTACGCTTAAAACAGCTGAAAATACAATATTTTTGGTTATGGAAAAGCTATTTCACAGTGGTTTAGATGATACAATGATTCTCTACACTATAATTGCTTGTTTTGTCACATAAACTGAAATTAGGCAAACTATAAGAATTTTAGCAACCAGGGAATGGAGGATCAATTTCTGCATAGTGCATCTTTAAGAAGATAAATAGTAGAAATGGGCAGGGTTTAGCCATAATTATGACTTTCTTTTAGCTATGCTAACTAGTGACAACCAGGGATGAGGGGACAAAAGACTGGAAGGACTCATCTGGGCCAGTCTCATTGGTCAGCCGCTAAACAACAGGTGGCCTCCCCTCCCCAGCAGGTCCATGTTACGATAGAGGGATTAATAGTGTGAGAACAGACACGGATGTTCTGGGGGGGGGGGGGGGTATGTTCTCAATTCCAGGCCATGGATTAGCCCCCGAAAACTGTGTTAGTAAGCAGCATAGAGAGTGGACAGGACAGCCTGCTTGGCGGGAAGGATGGACCAGATGCAGTGGAGTCAGGACAGCCTGTATGTTCTCACTGCAACCGCGCCAGCCACCATGAGCTGCTGCTGACTCACTACCAGGGTGTGTGTGTGTCAGTGTGTGTGTGTGTGTGTGTGTGTGTCAGTGTCTGCGTGTCAGTGTGTTCCTGATTATAAGTGGACAGAAGGCAATGCATCACCGAGACAGATTGCACAGGTTAATTTTGCTCTGCAACACTGAGTGACATAATGACAGCTCCGATTACACGTCCAATTTAACCCTTAACCTTTGTCCCAACTTCACCTTTTCAGTTTGAGCCTAATAATCGATGCTACCTGGTTTGAACTCTCTGACTGACTTGACCTGAAACTGTCTCCCCGCCATAACCCTCATCTCTTTCTCTCATGGCAATATTTGCACATTTGCATTCTTCCATTCATATTCCACATACTGTTTTATTAATTTTTTGCAATCCCTTGCTCTCTTACTATCACCATCCCCCCTTTGAAATAACTTCAGAGCAAGGAGGGTTTGAGGAGACTGAATTACATTTATAGTCGCACCTAAAATAGTTTCCACTAGTTACCGCAGTCACAAAGTAAAAATTGTCTATTTTGTAACAATTCATGAAAACAAATATTTGCTTTTTGGTTTTAAGTTAAGGTTAGGGTTAGGCATAAGGTTAGCAGTGTGGTTAAGGTTAGGTTTAAAATCACATTTTGAGCAGAGAAATTGAAGAAATGGGCGGGGTTTATGACTTTCTGGCTTTGGTAACTAGTGACAACCCTAAACTACACCATCAAACCTGCTCCCAGGCATTCGCAATTGAGCTTTTCCCCTTTAGCCAATGACGGCCCTCTTCCCTCTGTCTCTGTCTGCCTCTCCCGTTCCACACCAACCTGGTCCACCAATGAAACGGCAAGAGATCTCTAACTGCCAGCCAATCAGCAGCCAGTTGCTATGTTGGAGGCAGACTGTAGCCCAGTGACTGACACCGGTGATTCTTTCCTTTCACCAGCATATATACTGCTGTGGATTGTGGAAGGCATAAAATAAATTAGGTTAGGTGTGCATACATTGTCATTTTGTAATACTGCAGAATCTTGAAGGTCCCCAAACATTCAACCAAACATTTTCCTAACTGCTTCATGGCATCCAGTCAATGTTCACACAATTACAATTTGTTTTAATGTCATTTCAACCCAGTAAAAATCTTATTTTATTAATTGTAATTTTATTATATACAGTTGAAATCGGAAGTTTACATACACCTTAGCCAAATACATTTAAACTCAGTTTAAACACATTCCCAGTGGGTCAGAAGTTTACATACACTCAATTAGTATTTGGTAGAATTGCCTTTAAATTGTTTAACTTGGGTCAAATGTTTCGGGTAGCCTTCCACAAGCTTCCCACAATAAGTTGGGTGAATTTTGGCCCATTCCTCCTGACAGAGCTGGTGTAACTGAGTCAGGTTTGTAGGCCTCCTTGCTCGCACACGCTTTTTCAGTTCTGCCCACACATTTTCTATAGGACTGAGGTCAGGGCTTTGTGATGGCCACTCCAATACCTTGACTTTGTTGTCCTTAAGCCATTTTGCCACAACTTTGGAAGTATGCTTGGGGTCATTGTCCATTTGGAAGACCCATTTGCGACCAAGCTTTAACTTCCTTACTGATGTCTTGAGATGTTGCTTCAATATATCCACATAATTTTCCTTCCTCATGATGCCATCTATTTTGTGAAGTGCACCAGTCCCTCCTGCAGCAGAGCACCCCCACAGCATGATGCTGCCACCCCCGTTCTTCACGGTTGGGATGGTGTTCTTCGGCTTGCAAGTACCCCCTTTTTCCTCCAAACATAACGATGGCCATTATGGCCAAACAGTTCTATTTTTGTTTCATCAGACCAGAGGACATTTCTCCAAAAAGTACGATATTTTTCCCCATGTGCAGTTGCCTGCAGTAGTCTGGCTTTTTTATGGCGGTTTTGGAGCAGTGGCTTCTTCCTTGCTGATCAGCCTTTCAGGTTATTACGCTATAGGACTCGTTTTACTGTGGATATAGATACTTTTGTACCTGTTTCCTCCAGCATCTTCACAAGGTCCTTTGCTGTTGTTCTGGGATTGATTTGCACTTTTCGCACCAAAGTACGTTCACCTCTAGGAGACAGAACGCGTCTCCTTCCTGAGCGGTATGATCTCATGGTGTTTATACTTGCGTACTATTGTTTGTACAGATGAACGTGGTACCTTCAGGTGTTTGGAAATTGCTCCCAAGGATGAACCAGACTGTGGAGGCCTACCTTTTTTTTTCTAAGGTCTTGGCTGATTTCTTTTGATTTTCCCATGATGTCAAGCAAAGAGGCACTCAGTTTGAAGGTAGGCCTTGAAATACATCCACAGGTACACCTCCAATTGACTCACATGATGTCAATTAGCCTATCAGAAGCTTCTAAAGCCATGACATGATTTTCTGGAATTTTCCAAGCTGTTTAAAGGCACAGTCAACTTAGTGTATGTAAACTTCTGACCCACTGGAATTGTGATACAGTGAATTATAAGTGAAATAATTTGTCTGTAAACAATTGTTGGAAAAATAACTTGTGTCATGCACAAAGTAGATGTCCTAACCGACTTGCCAAAACTATAGTTTGTTAACAAGAAATTTGTGGAGTGGTTGAAAAACAAGTTTTAATGACTCCAACCTAAGTGTATGTAAACTTCCGACTTCAACGGTACATGCTTGCTTTGATTATCCAGGCCTACTGTGTTTTTTCACTACTGTGCACACATTGTTCCATTGCTGAACCGTTCTTGTTGCCAGTGTTGACTGAATAATTTATCCTATTTATTTGGTATTATAAACGAGATAGTTTGGGTCCTGGATGCTGATTGGCTGAAAGCCATGGGGTATGACACAAAATTACTTGTTTACTGTTCTAATTACGTTGGTGACCAGTTTATAATAGCAATAAGGCAACTCAGGGGTTTGTGTTATATGGCGTTGCGTCGTGCCTAAGAACAACCCTTAGCCGAGGTATATTGGCTATATACCACACCTCCTCAGGCCTTATTGCTTAATTATATTAGTCATGTGACTGTCTATCCCATGGCATTACTACCTCAGGGATCTAATTTACTTATAAACTAAATCTATAAGCAAATAATTAACTGTTTATAAACTACTTAGAATCCCTTCAGAAAGTTTTACCATGAAGTCTTATATTGTCCCATGTTTATGTAACCTTACATGGTTGTTTTTGGCCTTTTGGCAAAGGCTACCTCTGGCACCTCTGGTCAGGTAGAGGATTGAGGCCTGACTTTCTGCTGGTTCAGCAGGGTTAGTAGGCTACTACCTCCTGCTGACTGACCTCCCTATGCTTGCTAACAAACCATCCAGGGGGATGCTAATCCAGCAAATAAGATCTGTAGGAGCTAGTTTGGCAGCCAGGGGATCCATCCTTCACATACTGTCCTCCTCTAACTAAACCTCATAACCCTTCTTCACTCACCCTCATCATATAATTCTATTAATTCATGTATTTATTTATTTATTCCAGGAAAATCCAATTACAATTGTCACACCTTACCAGGGAGTCCTCTTTTCCATCCCAGTTGCTCTCCCGAGTCTCACCTGATCAGTTTGAGTCCACTTGCACATGGTATGACCTCTGATATAACTGCGGAACCCAAGTGGCCCTGGCCCCCTCATAACCCTCAAAAAATGATCTCACCTATGTCCATGAACAAGAACCTCTGTCCACTTCGACAGTCAAACGTGTTAAGGTGTTCAGCTCTGAAAGATTAATATGGCCGCTGGGCTGGCATGGGGCCAGCGACTCTAGGATGTGACCTGGGATTGGAAACCATTAGCTCCATGCAGATGGCTGGAGGGCTGCTGGGGACTAATCACTGAGAAATTAGAGCTGGAAGTGTAAGGATGGCGAGGTCAGCCAGGAGGAGTGAGAGGATATAAGACCTATAGTCAGGCAAAGATACTCTACTGATGATATCCTCCACAAGGCCACAGAACGGACTGCATTTGATATTAGGGAGATACATGAGATACAAAACCTCACTGAATGGATACTTTTCTGCAATTCTGTCCATTTTGCCATGGGGTTTTGTACTGTGTATTTAAATACTGTATTAGCGACATAGCTCATTCTAAAATTTCTACTACTGTACAGTACATTGCATTTTAGTTACACTGTTAATACACACTGCATATTTATTGATATACTGGATTCTTGACATAGCTCACTCTAATATATCTACTGCTGTACATATCATTCTTAGTATATCTTGTGTAAATTAATCTGCTGTATATACGTGTAGATTGCATTTGGATTACTGTTACAGTGCTATTTGGATTGTTAATGGATTGTTCTGCCATTTCTTGATTTAATTTATTATTATTATTTTTGTGACATTTTACTGCGTTGTTAGGAGCTAGTAACATAAGCATTTCGCTGCACCCGCTATAACATCTGCTAAACTGTGTATGCAACCAATAAGCTTTGATTTGATTTATAGATTCCGTTTACAATGGACTAACTAGTAGAGAAGAAGAGGGATTTGAAGATCTTCTTTAAATCTCCTTATAACCAATTTCTTGATTCTTGATTCATTGACACTTTTACCCTTTGGGGCTTAAGGTTAAAGAGGAACAGGTTTCAGACACCGTGAACAGGGTTCCAGACAAAGTTCCAGACAATCCAATCATCCAAATGTCTCAAAAAATGAAAGAAGTAATGGGGTGGTGGGCAAGAAATGTTCGCCCTGTGTCGTTAGGTCAAAGAAACAAGTCTATTTAACGACGGTCAACAGGTTCAGGTTCAAAAAGTCAATTGAATGAACTCACTCTTCGTACAGTACACTATGTTCTACAAAAAGCATTAACAAGCTTGTTACAGGCTTACTGTCCCAATTCTGCTCTAATTGACATATCTGATTAGCCAATTGTTCCACACAGTTAATGGCCATAATGTTAATAGCTTAAGCACTAAGCAGGGGCTACAGGCTGTGTGCAGTAAGTGCATGTAGTTGCCATGTAAAGCCTCGCAAACTGTCTGATCTCGCAAGCACTACCGATAGGGCAGCAGAAATCAGTCTGGTGGATTATATACGAGTTTAGGGTCCATGACCTCTTAAACCCAATTAGAAAAATGTAAACACTCACTGTGTGCCCTGTCATTTAACAATCAACAGCACTGTGGGCAAATTATAACCAAACTACAGCAAAGATAGAGATATTGCAAACTATGGACCATGTCTTGCTTTTCCTTATGACCAAGTGCTACATGCAGACATATAGAAATAATAATCATGTGGTTTTAACTCTATGATTGTGGCCTTCATTTTGGTAGGCAAGCAGGCAGCAATGCAGGCCTTTGGTCCCAGCCCAGGTAATTTTTTGCCAAATGTGCTTCACTTGCACCCTAAGGGCAATGATGCCATCTACTGGTGTATTAGACGTCTGGTATTTGCTTAGTTAGGCCTAGTATTCCATCCACTCAAGACCGTACAGTCGATGCAGAAAAATTGATTGACAGTCTGTTTGCGGAAGTTGCCTGTTGGAAGTAACTAACTAGATCATTAAATGTGGACTAGCATGCAACTGTGCAGGTTGGTGTATTATATTTCCTTTGTGTAGACAAGGTTCCATTTGAACATTTTCGATTATTGTCGTGATATACCATTCAAAGAATAAAATGGTCTGACCCTATCTGTCACATAATTTAGCAGGCGCTAGCTAGCTAGCTGCGGGTATGTTTGCTTACCAACCGACTGATCTCTAGGGTGACTGGACACTACTTTTTATACGGTGAACTAAATTAACATTATTGTAAATCCATCTCGGTCTGGTAGCTAGTAACTGAGGTGAACTAACTTAATTATTTTTGTATCCAAGATGTAGCTAGCAACCACAGAGCAAAGTCACACATCAATGGTGGATGAAATGCTGTGTTTTATAGCAATGTTGTCATGAGCTGGTTGTACAGTTTGAACCAGTCCAGATGGTGGGGGTGATATAAATACAAGGGACCTTTTTATAACTGATACATGAACAATATAATGCATCACTTGAACTCAATAGAGATAAGAATTCATCACCCTCTATTTCACAAACACAGTTGAAGACAAAAGAAAGAGACAGACACCAGCATTAAATATTTGGCACTTTTTATCATTGTTATTTTGTATTGTATACCAGCATGTTACAGTATGTTACGTTACATTTGAGATTGTATCATCTTTCATGTTTCTCGTACTCTTCTCTCTAGGGTCAGATGATGTGTCCACTTGGAGAGTCCTGCACCATGAAGCAGCAGTAAGGGTAGACTGTGTCTGTGACACCGCCCCTGTCTCTTTCCATCCCAGTGACTGAGCCACCATGTCCTCAGTGATGTTTCCACCCCGCTCCCCACCTTCCTCTACCCCTGGGAGCAGTGGCTGCGGCAGCGGTGACATACCTGCAGCTGGCGTGACGACCCAGTCCACTGAGCAGGCTCTGTTTGCATCGGACCGCTACGCCCGGCTCATCCTGGCCCAGATGAACAAGATGCGCCTCCGGACAGATTTCTGTGATGTAAGGCTGCGGCTGGAAGGCCGTGTGTTCAGTGTCCACAAGCTGGTCCTGGCTGCCAGCAGCCCCTACTTCTCCGCTCTCTTCTCTGGGGGGATGAGCGAGGCAGACAAGGAAGAGGTCCAGATCCTGGGAGTGGAGGCACCAGTGTTTGAGGTCCTGCTGGAGTTCATATACACAGGTTTGCCCTGTCATGAAATGTACCATTTACTGAATGTGTAGTGTACAGTAGTGTGCTCATACAAAGAACAGTAATACATGATACAGACTTCTTTGTGTTTCTTTGAACTGAACCCGTCCAGGCATGATTAACGTGACGGTGGAGAACATGCAGGAGCTGATGGTGGCAGCAGACATGCTGCAGCTGAGTGAGGTGGTGTCTATCTGTGGAGAGTTCCTCAAGGGCCACATGGACCCGTCCAACTGTGTGGGGGTATACCAGTTCCTTGAGCAGATCGCCTGCATGGACATGCTGGAGTTCACTGAGAACTACATCCAGGTCCACTTTCTGGAGGTGCTACGCATGGTCTCTTTCTTCCTCCATCTCTGTCTGTCTGTCTTGTCTTCAGATTCTCTCTTCCACCTTCGCTTCTCTGAGGCTCTTTCTCCTTTCATCTCATTATAATCTGCTGAGTGTGTGTAACAAAAAGTGAATAATCTGTTACCAACCTGTTATAACACTTACATCAACAAACAAAATCACACTCAAAACATCTGACCTTTAGGTGTGTGTGTCGGACGAGTTCTGGGATCTGTCCAAGGACCAACTGGTGAAGCTGCTGCGGAGCGAGGAGCTGCGAATCGAGGATGAGTACCAGGTGTTCACGGCGGCCATGGACTGGGTCCTACAGGACGTGGCCAAGAGGAAGAAGCATGTGGTTGAGGTGCTGGACCCAGTCAGGTTCCCCCTGCTCTCCCCACAGAGACTCTTCAAGTACATCGAAGGTTAGATGGAAAGATGTTTCCTCCTGATTTGTCAGGCAGGAACGTCCTTATTTTTCCTGATTTATCAGGAACTGATTTTCTGAAATCCTTTTTTATTTCTCACACCATTAAAATGGGCTTATCCCAAACCAGTATGTTTCCCCAATTTTCATTGTTGTGCTGCTAATCAATGACATCATATAATTTCTCTGTGTAGGCATTTCTGACTTCAGCCTGCGGGTGGCGCTGCAGACACTGCTGAGGGAATACACAGAGGTCAGCAAGTCTCCCAAAGAGAATAAGATGTACAGCCTGTTACAGCCAGCCAAGATGAGGCCCAGGAGAAAGGCCAGGAAATACCTCTATGCCATAGGTAGGTAAACCTCAGTTCAGCACCTGAACGCCTTTATATGACGATAACAACAGAACTGGGGTGGCCATTTTTGTTGTAGCATCTTCAGTGTAAACTCAGCAGATTATACGAGTACCAGCTGGATCCAAATTGAATTATTCCATTTCATGAAGTGATCCAGGCTATGTTGTCACGGTTGGTTTCCCCTGTCTCAGGAGGCTACACTCGGCTGCAGGGTGGTCGTTGGAGTGACAGCCGGGCCCTGAGCTGCGTGGAACGCTTTGACTCATTCAGCCAGTACTGGACCACTGTGTCCTCCCTGCACCAGGCCCGCAGCGGGCTGGGAGTGGCTGTGCTGGAGGGCATGATCTATGTCGTGGGAGGTGAGACTCTCATTTTATTTATTTAACCAGGATAGTCCACTCAGTAATGAGTCCTGTCTGTGTGGTTCTGTGTTTGTTTATGCAGAGAACATGCCATGTGTTTCAACCTGTGTCTTCCTCAGGGCAATACAGTTCTGTTTCTAGTATTCTGTTTCTTGTCATTTCCCAGGGGAGAAGGACTCCATGATATTTGACTGCACAGAGAGATACGACCCGGTGACTAAGCAGTGGGCGGCTGTGGCCTCTCTCAACTTCCCACGCTGTGGTGTCGGGGTCTGCCCCTGTCACGGGGCACTCTACGCACTGGGTAAACTAACGAAGCCAAGGCCTTGATTGGGAATACATGCTTAATTTCTCCCCTCCTTGAAGTCATCACAGATCTAACATGATTGGACATATGAAAGCAAGGTTTCCACTGCATAGCTTTCACCAAAACAGTCATGTCAGAACAGTGATGTTTTTAAAGAAGGGAATGAAGAAATTAGTGTCCAAGAGTCTTTAACTTGGGTCTTTGGGATAAGGTATTAATACCATGTCTCCTCACTGCTGTGTTCCTGCAGGTGGTTGGGTTGGATCAGAAATAGGGAAGACGATGGAGCGGTACGACCCGACAGAGAATAAGTGGGAGATCATTGGAAGCATGGCAGTGCCTCGGTACTACTTTGGCTGCTGCGAGTTACAGGGTAATTCAATTCATACATAACAACAATACATAAAACATTTACAGGAAAATATACTGTATCAATATACAGTGAGGGAAAAAAGTATTTGATCCCCTGCTGATTTTGTACGTTTGCCCACTGACAAAGACATGATCAGTCTATAATTTTATGGTAGGTTTATTTGAACAGTGAGAGACAGAATAACAACAACAAAAATCCAGAAAAACGCATGTCAAAAATGTTATAAATTGATTTGCATTTTAATGAGGGAAATAAGTATTTGACCCCTCTGCAAAACATGACTTGGTGGCAAAACCCTTGTTGGCAATCACAGAGGTCAGACGTTTCTTGTAGTTGGCCACCAGGTTTGCACACATCTCAGGAGGGATTTTGTCCCACTCCTCTTTGCAGATCTTCTCCAAGTCATTAAGGTTTCGAGGCTGACGTTTGGCAACTCGAACCTTCAGCTCCCTCCACAGACTTTCTATGGGATTAAGGTCTGGAGACTGGCTAGGCCACTCCAGGACCTTAATGTGCTTCTTCTTGAGCCACTCCTTTGTTGCCTTGGCCGTGTGTTTTGGCTCATTGTCATGCTGGAATACCCATCCACTACCTATTTTCAATGCCCTGGCTGAGGGAAGGAGGTTCTCACCCAAGATTTGACGGTACATGGCCCGTCCATCGTCCCTTTGATGCGGTGAAGTTGTCCTGTCCCCTTAGCAGAAAAACACCCCCAAAGCATGTTTGACGGTGGGGATGGTGTTCTTGGGGTCATAGGCAGCATTCCTCCTCCTCCAAACACGGCGAGTTGAGTTGATGCCAAACAGCTCGATTTTGGTCTCATCTGACCACAACACTTTCACCCAGTTCTCCTCTGAATCATTCAGATGTTCATTGGCAAACTTCAGATGGGCCTGTATATGTGCTTTCTTGAGCAGGGGGACCTTGCGGGCGCTGCAGGATTTCAGTCCTTCACAGCGTATTGTGTTACCAATTGTTTTCTTGGTGACTATGGTCCCAGCTGCCTTGAGATCATTGACAAGATCCTCCCGTGTAGTTCTGGGCTGATTCCTCACCGTTCTCATGATCATAGCAACTCCACGAGGTGAGATCTTGCATGGAGCCCCAGGCCGAGGGAGATTGACAGTTATTTTATGTTTCTTCCATTTGCGAATAATCGCACCAACTGTTGTCACCTTCTCACCAAGCTGCTTGGCGATGGTCTTGTAGCCCATTCCAGCCTTGTGTAGGTCTACAATCTTGTCGCTGACATCCTTGGAGAGCTCTTTGGTCTTGGCCATGGTGGAGAGTTTGGAATCTGATTGATTGATGGCTTCTGTGGACAGGTGTCTCCCTTTAAGAGTGTGCTCCTAATCTCAGCTCGTTACCTGTATAAAAGACACCTGGGAGCCAGAAATCTTTCTGATTGAGAGGGGGTCAAATACTTATTTCCCTCATTAAAATGCAAATCAATTTATAACATTTTTGACATGCGTTTTTCTGGATTTTTTTGTTGTTATTCTGTCTCTCACTGTTCAAATAAACCTACCATTAAAATGATAGACTGATCATTTCTTTGTCAGTGGGCAAATGTACAAAATCAGCAGGGGATCAAATACTTTTTTCCTTCACTGTAATTGCTTCCGCTGTCTCAATGACATAATTTTCCTGAATGGCCTCATTCCCCTCTCCCCTATGTCTAGGCTTCATCTATGTGATCGGGGGGATCAGTGATGAGGGGATGGAGCTGCGTTCGGCGGAGGTGTACGACCCCATCTCCCGGCGCTGGAGCGCCCTGCCCGTCATGGTGACCCGGCGGGCCTACGTGGGCGTGGCCTGCCTCAACAACTGCATCTACGCTGTGGGGGGCTGGAACGAGGCGCTGGGCTCCCTGGAGACGGTGGAGAAATACTGCCCTGAAGAGGTGAGGGAGTTATGGTGGATTTATACAGTGCATTCGGAAAGTATTCAGACCCCTTCCCAGTTACGTTACAGCCTTTATTCTAAAATTGATTAAATAACTTTTTTTCCTCATCAATACCCCATAATGACAAAGCGAGAACAGGTTTTTTGAAAATTTTGGCAAATGTATTAAAAATAAAAAACAGATACCTTATTGACATAAGTATTCAGACCCTTCGCTAAGAGACTTGAAATTGAGCTCAGGTGCATCCTGTTTCCATTGATCATCCTTGAGATGTTTCTACAACTTGGAGTCCACCTGTGGTAAATTCACTTGATTGGACATGATTTGGAAAGGCACACACCTGTCTATACAGCTGTGGAAAAAATTAAGAGACCACTGCACATTTTTCTTAAATCAGCATCTCTACATGTATGACAGCCATTCCATTCCAGTGTCTGTTGAATTCCAACACAGGCACACCTCATTCTACTGAATTAGGTACTGATTAGGTGATCACCTGAACCAAATCTTATTTAACGAGGAAAAGTATAAAAACCACTACTGTGGTCATCACTTGCCTCTTGCAATAGGACCAGCTGGATGGCAAAAACAGTGCTAATAGTACCTCAAAAGTAATATTAATCAAAAAATAACTATTGACCATGCCAAAAGAGTTGAAAAGGAATGTTTTGAGTGAGGAAAATAAGGGTTCAATTCTGGCTTTACTGGCAGAGGGATACAGTGAGCGTCAGGTTGCTTCCATCCTTAAAATTTCAAAGATGGCGGTTCATAAGAACAAGGTCAAGCAGCAGACATTGGGGACAACAAAGCTACAGCCCGGCAGAGGGCGAAAACGACTCTCTACTGACCGGGATGACCACCAACTCATTCGAATGTCACTCAACAACCGTAGGATGACATTAAGTGACCTACAAAAATAATGGCAAACAGCAGCTGGGGTGAAGTGCACGGCGAGGACGGTTCGAAACAGGCTCCTAGGGGCAGGGCTGAAGTCATGTAAAGCTAGAAAAAAGCCCTTCATCAATGAGAAGCAAAGAAGAGCCAGGCTGAGGTTTGCAAAAGACCATAAGGATTGGACCGTAGAGGACTGGAGTAAGGTCATCTTCTCTGATGAGTCCAATTTTCAGCTTTGACCAACACCTGGTCGTCTAATGGTTAGACGGAGATCTGGAGAGGCCTATAAGCCACAGTGTCTCGCACCAACTGTGAAATTTGGTGGAGATTCGGTGATGATCTGGGGGTGCTTCAGCAAGGCTGGAATCGGGCAGATTTGTCTTTGTGAAGGACGCATGAATCAAGCCACGTACAAGGTTGTCCTGGAAGAAAACTTGCTTCCTTTTGCTCTGACATTGTTCCCCAACTCTGAGGATTGGTTTTTCCAGCAGGACAATGCACCATGCCACACAGCCAGGTCAATCAAGGTGTGGATGGAGGACCACCAGATCATGGTGTCATGGCCAGCCCAATCTCCAGACCTGAACCCCATTGAAAACTTCTGGAATGTGATCAAGAGGAAGTTGGATGGTCACAAGCCATCAAACAAAGCCGAGCTGCTTTAATTTTTGCGCCAGGAGTGGCATAAAGTCACCCAACATCAATGTGAAAGACTGGTGGAGAGCATGCCAAGACGCATGAAAGCTGTGATTGAAAATCAGGGTTATTCCACCAAATATTGATTTCTGAACTCTTCCTAAGTTAAAACATTAGTATTGTGTTGTTTAAAAATGAACATGAACTTATTTTCTTTGCATTATTCGAGGTCTGACAACACTGCATCTTTTTTGTTATTTTGACCAGTTGTCATTTTCTGCAAATAAATGCTCTAAATGACAATATTTTTATTTGGAATTTGGGAGAAATGTCAGTAGTTTATAGAATAAAACAAAAATGTTATTTTTACCCAAACACATACCTATAAATAGTAAAACCAGAGAAACTGGTAATTTTGCAATGGTCTCTTACTTTTTTCCAGCTATATATATATATATATATATACACACATACAGTGGGGAGAACAAGTATTTGATACACTGCCGATTTTGCAGGTTTTCCTACTTACAAAGCATGTAGAGGTCTGTAATTTTTATCATAGGTACACTTCAACTGTGAGAGACGGAATCTAAAACAAAAATCCAGAAAATCACATTGTATGATTTTTAAGTAATTCATTTGCATTTTATTGCATGACATAAGTATTTGATCACCTACCAACCAGTAAGAATTCCGGCTCTCACAGACCTGTTAGTTTTTCTTTAAGAAGCCCTCCTGTTCTCCACTCATTACCTGTATTAACTGCACATGTTTGAACTCGTTACCTGTATAAAAGACACCTGTCCACACACTCAATCAAACAGACTCCAACCTCTCCACAATGGCCAAGACCAGAGAGCTGTATAAGGACATCAGGGATAAAATTGTAGACCTGCACAAGGCTGGGATGGGCTACAGGACAATAGGCAAGCAGCTTGGTGAGAAGGCAACAACTGTTGGCGCAATTATTAGAAAATGGAAGAAGTTCAAGATGACGGTCAATCACCAATCATCATTTTGCAGTGGTCTCTTACTTTTTTCCAGAGCTGTATAAAGGTCCCACAGTTGACAGTGCAAGTCAGAGCAAAAACCAAGTCATGTGGTCGAAGGAATTATCCGTAGAGCACCGAGACAGGATTGTATCTAGGCACAGATCTGGGGAAGGGTACCAAAAAAATTCTGCAGCATTGAAGGTCCCCAAGAACACAGTGGCCTCCATCATTCTTAAATGGAAGAAGTTTGGAACCACCAAGACTCTTCCTAGAGCTGGCTGCCCGGCCAAACTGAGCAATCGGGGGAGAAGTGCCTTGGTCAGGGAGGTGACCAAGAACCTGATGGTCACTCTGACAGAGCTCCAGAGTTCCTCTGTGGAGATGGGAGAACCTTCCAGAACGACAACCATCTCTGCAGCACTCCACCAATCAGGCCTTTCTGGTAGAGTGACCAGACGGAAGCCACTCCTCAGTAAAAGGCACATGACAGCCAGCTTGGAATTTGCCAAAGGCACCTAAATGACTCTGGTCTAATGAATCCAAGATTGAACTATTTGGCCTGAATGCTAAGTGTCACGTCTGGAGGAAAACTGGCACCATCCCTACGGTGAAGCATGGTGGTGGCAGCATCATGCTGTGGGGGTGTTTTTCAGCAGCAGGGACTGGGAGACTAGTCAGGATCGAGGGAAAGATGAATGGAGCAAAGTACAGAGAGATCCTTGATGAAAACCTGCTCCAGAGCGCTCAGGACCTCAGACTGGGGTGAAAGTTTACCTTCCAACAGGACAACGACCCTAAGCACACAGCCAAGACAATGCAGGAGTGGCTTCGGGACAAGTCTCGGAATGTCCTTGAGTGACCCAGCCAGAGCTCGGACTTGAACCCGATCAAACATCTCTGGAGAGACCTGAAAATAGCTGTGCTGCGCTCCCCATCCAACCTGACAGGGCTTGAGAGGATCTGCAGAGAGGAATGGGAGAAACTCCCCAAATACAGGTGTGCCAAGCTTGTAGCATCATACCCAAGAATACTCAAGGCTGTAATCACTGCCAAAGGTGCTTCAACAAAGTACTGTGTAAAGGGCCTGAACACTTATGTAAATGTGGTATCAGTTTTTAATTTTAATATATTTGCAAAAAATTCTAAAAAACCTTTTTTGCTTTGTCAATATAGTGTGTAGATTGATGAGGGGGAAAAATCAATTTAATCAATTTTAGAATAAGGCTGTAACGTAACAAAATGTGGAAAAAGTCAAGGGATCTGAATACTTTCTGAATGCACTGTAAATACAGCCTTGTTTAAAAAGCAACACATTGTCACCTCATAGCTTTATGTAGATGGTAACACTACAACGCCTCTGATTTCCCTCAGCCGGTCTCCCTCAACTATGTCTCCATCTCTTCTTCCCTCTAAAGGAGAAATGGGTGGAGGTGGCCCCCATGGCGGTGGCAAGGGCCGGGGTGTCCGTGTCAGCCGTTAACGGACTGCTGTACGCCGTGGGGGGACGGGCCTCCAGCAGAGACTTCTCGGCCCCCGTGACTGTGGACTCTGTGGAGATTTACGACCCCCACCTGGACACCTGGACGGAGATTGGCAACATGATCACCAGTCGCTGTGACGGGGGCGTGGCCGTGCTCTGAGATTGAGCCCAAGTAGAACCAAGGGAGGTGGTTCGGTGAATCGTGAAACCTGATGAGTAGCCGTTTTTAGGTTTTTCCAGGAACAAACCTCATTCTCAGACGAGAATACGGTTTTATGTTTGGCACCGTGAGATTACATGATGAGTAACCTTGCCTGAGACCTGGAGACTTGCATTAGCTACAGAGCTATAGATGCCGAAATGGCTTTAGCTTAGGGGCAATTCCATGGTAACAGAAGACTCCGATTTTTCACTTTAAAATATATGCCAAACAAAATACATAGATCTCAAAGTTTACCAAACCATACAACTCTATGCACAATTACTACTTTGAACAATTTACACAAAAATATATACAGTACCAGTCAAAAGTTTGGACACACCTACAGCTCAAATAAGCAAAGAGAAATGACAGTCCATCATTACTTTAAGACTTGAAGGTCAGTCAATCCAGAACATTTCAAGAACTTTGAACGTTTCTACAAGTACAGTCGCAAAAACCATGAAGTGCTATGATGAAACTGGCTCTCATGAGGACCGCCACAGGAATGGAAGACCCAGAGTTACCTCTGCTGCAGAGGATAAGTTCATTAGATTTACCAGCCTCAGAAATTGCAGCCCAAATAAATGCTTCACAGAGTTTAAGTAACAGACACATCTCAACATCAACTGTTCAGAGGGGACTGTGTGAATCAGGCCTTCATGGTTGAATTGCTGAAAGGAAACCACTACTAAAGGACACCAATAAGAAGAAGAGACCTGCTTGGGCCAAGAAACACAAGCAATGGACATTAGACCGGTGGAAATTTGTCCTTTGGTCTGGAGTCCAAATTGGAGATTTTTGGTTCCAACCGCCGTGTCTTTGTGAGATGCGGTGTGGGTGAACGGATGATCTCCGCATGTGTAGTTCCCACCGTAAAGAATGGAGGAGGTGGTGTTATGGCTACCACAGAATTCTGCAGCGATTAGCCATCCCATCTGGCTTGGGCTTAGTGGGACTATCATTTGTTTTTTAACAGGACAATGACCCAACACACCTCCAGGCTGTGTAAGGGCTATTTTACCAAGAAGGAGAGTGATGGAGTGCTGCATCAGATGACCTGGCCTCCACAATCCCCCGACCTCAACCCAATTGAGATGGTTTGGGATGAGTCGGACGGCAGAGTGAAGGAAAAGCAGTGTTCAGCATATGTGGGAACTCCTTCAAGACTGTTGGAAAAGAATTCCAGGTGAAGCTGGTTGAGAGAATGCCAAGAGTATGAAAAACTGTCATCAAGGCAAAGGGTGGCTATTTGAAGAATCTCAAATATAAAATATATTTTGATTTGTTTAACACTTTTTTTGGTTACTACATGATTCCATATGTGTTATTTCATAGTTTTTATGTCTTCACTACTATTCTACAATGTAGAAAATAGTAAAAACTAAGAAAAACCCTTGAATGACTAGGTGTGTCCAAACTTTTGACTGGTACTGTACATTTACTAGAAAAACTGTGCAGATGCAAAGTTTAGTAACAGAATTACGGTAAAATCTCCCTCCGTTTTATTCTGTTACCAAACTTTGTAGCTCCACAGTTCTTAATGTAAATGTGTTTTTGTAAAATTTCCAGTGGAAATTGTTAAAAGTAGTCATTGTGCATAGAGTTCTATGGTTTGTTTAACTTTGTAATCATTGGTTTTTGTTTGACATATTTTAAAGTGAGTCTCAGCGTAATTCCGTTATCATGAATTTGCCCTTAGCGGGCTGACACTGTGGTGCAGCAGGAGACAGGGTTTGTTACCCGGTTGGACACACTAGACAGCTGCATACGACATGTTCTTAGCCATATCAAAGACGAGTCCTCGAGTTCATTATCGTCATGGCCTTCACCAGCAATGTGTTTAACTTTTGAACAGCAGTGGCAGAATGCCGTAGCAGAATCTAATTCCATTATCTCCTATATCCATGGTCACACATTGTACTCTCAGTTAGCCAATGGAGGGTGAACTACAGTTGGGATGAGACTTGTAGAATACTTTTTTTCAGCACCTCACAGAGCATGAACACATACCTTTTTTTTTAGCTAGAAGAGTTGTGTTTTCAAAATACAAGACAAATCACTTTCTGTGGACTTCCGAGTGGAATAGATGGATTTCAGAATGTTTGGATTGTTTTGTTATTCTGGATTGTTTTTTATTGCTTTTATGTAACTGAACTAGACGTACATTGTACACAGCCAACGGATGACTGGGACACTGCCAACCAAGAAACTGTTGATTCAAATGAGCTGGCTAGGCTACAGTACCTACTCCCAGTCAGTTACATGGCAGACCTATCTCTCTCCATCACTCAGTCACTTCCCCGCTCTGTTTTAGAGAAGTGTGCCAGTGTTTCTGGAGGTTCAATAGCTTTCATTGTTACTGTATTGTCTCAGCTCATTTGTGTTAACTTAAAAACATTGACACTTTCAGGACCATTACATTCTCCACTGAAGTGTACGAAGGATGTTTGTCTGTTTCTGAGAATGGGATGGCTGGCTGTCACTCTTTGTGATATCCTATCAATTGTTTCAACCTGTGCACTTTTAATGGAAATTGAAATATTAATTTTGCCCAACTTCAATTTCTCACATTTAAAATTACCACCAAAACGATGTTTAACTTCCATGGGAGTTGTCCGTTATCCATGTTGACTGAAGGTAGACTGACTGCTAGTGCGATGGGCTTCATGTGTTTAAACTGAGTTGTATTAAACCTTGAACTGCACTTACTTGACGGCTGAAGCAAGAAGCTACTACGAGCAAAATGTTACTTATGGTCCCTCATGTCAAACTTTGTTACGGTTGGAAATCGTAAGCTTATGGTATCGTTCTGCTGTGCTCACTGCGTCTGTTAAATTATCACTACGGTTTATGGTTTGACACATTACTCTGTAGTATAACTGTTGCACTCAGTATTTCTGTTTAATATGTCTCATTGACTGAAATGCAGCCATTGTGTATATATATAAAAAAAAATGCTGTAAATATCAGTGCCTTTTTAGTCAGTACTCACCATTCCAAAACACTGAGAAATGTCCCTTTGGTTGAAAATACTGTAGCTTGTATCACCTTCATTCAGCAACGGCACTAGATTACAAAGTGAATTTATATTTCAGCCCTCACCTGTTGAGGAACGGAAGTGTCATGAGTAACACATTGATTAAAAGAAAATCCAGATATGTGAAAATGTCATGATTTTTTATTGAAAACGTTAATGTCTCACCCCCTCCGTTTTCCCCCGTTAACTCCTACTGAACAAGACCCTGATCTGTGTTCCACTATTCATTCACTTGTCTTCTTGAGATACTTTAGCTCTCAAGTGTAAACTCTGAGTGAGTATCCCCTAGCCACCATTACCTAGTCAACTCTCAACTGTCTTGATCTTCTTCTCCGGGCACATCTCCTTCAGTGTCAATGTGGCCACCAGGGAGAAGGTAGCCACCAGAGTAAGTATGGTTCTCATGGCTTTGAACCAGCCGGGGTAGCCAGGCAGCAGAGTAAGGTCATAGTGCAGGGCCAGGCCCAGCCCCATGATGACCACCAGGGCTCTGCGATGTTGTCCCTGCAGAGCAGAGCCAGCCAGGCCAGCAGGGAGGGCACCACACTGTTGCCCAGGTTCATCCAGTCGGGCTGGGCAGGGCTCCCCTCAGGCAGGGAAAAGCCCCAGCGGGTCCCACCCAGGAAGAACATGATGGAGGCCCCATAGACCACCTGGGCGTAGGCCACCTTAGGGAGGTAGGACTGGGTCACAGCCATCAGCAGGGGGGCACCCAGGAATGGAAGGAGGCCGAGAGAGGCCAAGGTACAAAGCATGCTTGGGCGCATTGGCCAGGGCTTTCAGGCTGAGGCGCTGTTGGTCCTCTCCTCTCCCAGGAGCGGGGTGCCCCTGGCAGAGCAAAGAAGCAGAGCAGCTCAGGAACCTGAGGGTCAGAAACCTGGAGGAGGCTAGTCTCTGGAACAGTAGCGAAGTCGCCATGGAAACTTGTGGAGCCATCAAGTGGTTGGAACTGGTGTAAAAACATTCCCTCTTCACTGTGCAGCTGGACCCACAGAGTACCCGTTGCAGAGATTGCCATGTTGGACCCTGGGTGTAAAAAAGACAGTGTTGCGGAAAGCATTTCTCAGTAGGGTTTATTTGTTGCAAGGACAGATAGACCAATATGATGGTGTCATAATAGGAACTGATGTAATGTTTCTACTTACCACACAGGGATTCAATTGCCTCTTCAATGCAAATGAGATCATTTTATTACCTAAAATGGGAAGAGGTGCATGTGCATTTTAGAACATAAGATCAAACTGGTTAGCTAGCTAGCAAGCTTTGGCATCTTTAGCATTAGCTAATAACGTTAGATATCCAAAATAATAGACATGTTCTAACAAAAGCCTGTGTTTTAAAAATGTAGTCATCCTTTTCACCCTTGATCTTCACGTTGTGCAGATTACTAATAAATTAGCCATAGCAGAGGCTTGTTCGGTCGTTTCCTCGATTCACAGTGTCTGCCGAAAGTTTGATTTCAGCAACGATCGATTATTGCGCCTGCCTGAGAGATAGTGTGTCGCATTCAATATCACGAATATGTAGCTAACTAGTACTTTGTTTTAATACTAGTTAAACAGACAATTTTGATAGCAATTTTTTTTAACTCTAGTTTCTTTCTAAGCTGTTTATACGTTTTTAGTATAGTACTTTTCCCCCCACTCCTATTCAGTTTGAAACAACATGCAACCTGAGGCTGCAAAATTATATATAAGAACTTGAACGTACCCCCAGATAAGTAAGCTCCGCGAGCGCTCCAAAAACCCAAACAAACACCAAATCGGCACATAGCATGAAGAAAGTATTGCAGTGCTAAATCATTGATGGAATATTAATAGTCAATATATATTTTGGAATCATATTTTGTGAAGAACATCTTGCTTGATATAAGTAGGTTTTGGTATCATCATATAAAATCTAGCAAGCTAACGCAGTAGGTATATGGCTAGCTAGCGCCCGAATCCCCGTGTGGGCTAACGCGGTAGCCATTTTGAAGCCGTGTTGTTCCAACGAAGCGAAGGTCTGTTTACCTCTATTTGCAGAAATGTGACAGCAATATTAGAAACAACTTCACGTTACTCTGTTGCAAAAAATATATTTTATGTCTTTCAAATGTGTTTGAGACTGGGTCGTAGTTGTGCGAGTTACTGTATGTTAGCTAGTTGACTTGCTAGCTTTGGATGATAGTCGTGGCTAGCTAGCTTGCTAACAACTTGGTTACAACGAATATACACTGTATGGCCAAAAGTATGTGGACACCTGCTCGAACGTCTCATTCCAAAATCATGGCCGATGAGCATTAATATGGAGTTGGTTCCCCCTTTGCTGCTGTAACAGTCTACACTCTTCTGGGAAGGATTTCCACTAGAGCATTAATGAGGTCTGGCACTGATGTTGGGCGATTAGGCCTGGCTCGCAGTCAGTGTTCCAATTCATCCCAAAGGTGTTCGATGGGGTTGAGGTCAGGGCTCTGTGCAGGCCAGTCAAGTTCTTCCACACCGATCTCTACAAACCATTTCTGTATGGACCTCGCTTTGTGGACGGGGGCATTGTCATGCTAAAACAGGAAAGGTCCTTCCCTAAACTGTTGCCACAAAGTTGGAAGCACAGAATCGTCTACAACAGGGTTCTTCAATTCCGGTCCTGGAGGGCCGAAACACGTCTGTTTTTTATGTCTACCTGGTAGTTAATTACACTCACCTGGTGTCCCAGGTCTGAATTAGCCCCTGATTAGAAGGAGAGGATGAAAAACAGAGGTGTTTCGGCCCTCCAGGACCGGAATTGAAGAACCCTGGTCTACAATGTCATTGTATGCTGTAGCGTTAAGATTTCCCTTCACTGGAACTAAGGGGCCTAGCCCGAACCATGAGAAACAGCCCCAGGTCATTATTCCTCCTCCACCAAACTTTACAGTTGGCACTGCATTGGGGCAGGTAGCGTTCTCCTGGCATCCGGCAAACCCAGATTTGTCCGTTGGACTGCCAGATGAAGCGTGATTCATCACTCCAGAGAACGCGTTTGCGCATGGGGATCTTACGTTTGTGTGCAGCTGCTTGGCCATGGAAACTAATTTCATGAAGCTCCCGACTAACAGTTATTTTGCTGACGTTGCTTCCAGAGGCAGTTTGGAACTCGGTAGTGAATGTTGCAACAGAGGACAGATTATTTTTACGCACTACAGCACTCAGCGGTCCCGTTCTTTGAACTTGTGTGGCCTACCAATTTGTGGCTGAGCCGTTGTTGTTGTTGCTCCTAGACGTTTCCACTTCACAATAACAGCACTTACATTTACATTTACGTCATTTAGCAGATGCTCTTATCCAGAGCGACTTACAAATAGGTGCATTCACCTTATAGCCAGTGGGATAACCACTTTACAATTTTATTTTATTATTTGGGGGGGGTTGGGGTAGTAGAAGGATTACTTTATCCTATCCCAGGTATTCCTTAAAGAGGTGGGGTTTCAAATGTCTCCGGAAGGTGGTGAGTGACTCCGCTGTCCTGGCGTCGTGAGGGAGCTTGTTCCACCATTGGGGTGCCAGAGCAGCGAACAGTTTTGACTGGGCTGAGCGGGAACTATGCTTCCGCAGAGGTAGGGGAGCCAGCAGGCCAGAAGTGGATGAACGCAATGCCCTCGTTTGGGTGTAGGGACTGATCAGAGCCTGAAGGTACGGAGGTGCCGTTCCCCTCACAGCTCCGTAGGCAAGCACCATGGTCTTGTAGCAGATGCGAGCTTCAACTGGAAGCCAGTGGAGTGTGCGGAGGAGCGGGGTGACGTGAGAGAACTTGGGAAGGTTGAACACCAGACGGGCTGCGGCATTCTGGATGAGTTGTAGGGGTTTAATGGCACAGGCAACTTATAGTTGACCAGGGCAAAAATGTGTCAAACTGACTATGACGGTGCCACGTTGATAGTCACTGAGCTTGTCAGTAAGGCCATTCTACTGCCAATGTTTATCTATGGAGATTGCATGACTGTGTGCTCGATTTCATACACCTGTCAGCAACGGTTGTGGCTGAAATAGCAGAATCCACTCATTTGAAGGGGTGTCCACATACTTTTGTAGCTAGCTAAACTAGCTAGCAAGATAATTAGCTAGCAGTGATCTAAGTTTTTGCTTCCTGAATCTGCTCAAATTATTTCTGAACTTGCTGTCAAGAATTTTGACAGTGTCTTAACTTGTTTGTAATAGTGAATGTGTCCACAAGATCTGTCAACTGCTTGAAATCAAAAGTCATTCCAGTGTTTGTGAATTGGTGCATCAGTTGTCCTTCGTGCATTAGGAATGAATGTGTACCTCAGCTGGCAGTAGCAGCCTAGCTATCAATTTTACATTGCAATGCAGAGTAATAACTTGGTCAACCCAATACACAATGGAAGCCATTGGACAGCCAATCACAGTGCTATAAAGGATGTTTATTGATTTGACTTTAGGAAGCACTGCAGCCTTGTGATCATTAATGATGATGATATGCTGTGAGTGGTTTGCAGTTCTTAGCAGCTTAGAACACACACAATCACTCACTGTCCTATTTAGATTAGGAGCTGGGAGAGAGTGAGAAAGTGTTCAGGTCTATAATATTTTTAGACTGGTATACATATTTGATAAAACTTGCAGTTTTATAAGGGAGTATAAAATGTCTTAAGAGCTCTGGTTTTTGATGGTGTTTTGCTTAAACTTTTTTTTTTTCTTCACCATTGCAACGTGTTTGCTGTCTTTTGAATGAGAAACTATTTGTGGGTTTATCAAAGGTGTTCTGGGAGAACATTTAATCAAGTTTGATGTACAGTACAGCTTGTGCTGGGAACATTACTCGGGTATACACCTGCATAAACTTGTAGGCTACGGGTCTGTGCATTACAACCTTACCGTGTGTCTGAGATTCAAAATTATTATTGTCTGAACTAATGCTATTTCTGTTTTGTGTTTGCAGGTATGGTCTGCATAAGTGCATCAACTACATGTGAAAGCAACACTACAAGAGGACGGAAAATACTTGGATTAACTGAGCAGCACCTGTCCTTCTGATACATTATCCATATGTTCATACACTTTCTTTGCTTTGGAGAAAGGAAGATATTTGCATTTCAGAGGTTCCCTCTTTTATGGACACGTTTATTTTTTGTCTTTCGACAAAGGAGTCCTAGGTGGGTTGTGACACACAGGACACTGATTGTAAGAGATTGCTGTTGTACTGTTTAAAAACTGTTGCACTCTCATCCTTCAACCACACAACTACGGCTAATTATACCAGCAAATATAATAGGACAGATGAAGGCAACAAATCTAACCAGCCATTGAGACACCGTTGTCTTTAGCATGCATTGAAAAACTGCCTTGTAATGCATTGTTCTGCAGTATCAACATTTCACTGACCGCGATTGAAGATGTCAGAAATGTAACAGTGGATTCTACTGCCTTTACTGTCATGTGACTGTAATACTAGACACCTTCTTTTTCTTCCTTCAACCCCAGAAAGCCTTTTCACCAGTTTAATGAGGTGAGCTGTGGTTTTCAGTGACCTCCATTGGAATAAAAAGAGGTCTCTGAATTGATTTATTTTCTTCATGTGTTTGGGTAGAGTCTAAAATGACGCTGTAAAAGGTGAGCATCTAGGTCTAAGAGCTGGCACTTAGTGGCAGGAGAAGAGCCAGAACCACCTCCCACCCCTTTCTGATGTCATAGTGGAACTGTCCCGTTCACACTGACAGGGATCGATGCCCCAGGGCTTCCAATCTCACCAGAAAACCTGCACATGCCACTCCCATTGGACAATTCACCTGCCTGTCTACTGAGCCCACCAATCAGAACCTTCAGTTTCACATCACGGATCAAGCAGGTTCCATGTGTCTCTTCCCCTGACAAAGAATCCTACCTGCTTCAGTAGAGTGATCAGGACGAATTGGGGGGTAACAACACTCCCCCCCCAAAAATAAAACACATAACTTCCCCAGCTCAAACCATGTGTTAAAATCGTTAGAGAAGTCCAAAGCCATCAAATCCCCTCCTGGGTAACTAACCTTGAATCAACCCCAGGCCTCTGGATCACCATTCCAGATCATCCCAGAACCCTGTGACCCGTCTCCCAACGCTTCACCCTGGACGACGGGGTCTGCCGCTGGGGAAAGGGGCTGTTCTGTCCTGGAGGAGGAGGAGGAGGGCTCGGCAGTGAGGTGCTGCTCTCCATCACACACTCTGAGTCAAGCCCACAGAGGAGGGAGAGACCGAGAGAAAGAAGAGAGGACTTCAGAGCCAAAGACTCTGGGGTAATAATGACAAGTCTTATGCAACATAGTGTTGTTTCTTTTTTCCCAGAATCCAAGATTTCTCATTCATTTTACTCTGTCAGATCCTTGCCATGAGGTTTGATGCCTCGATCCACTGACCGGAGACACTGGACCTAAATGGCGCAGCATGACTTTGTCCCTGCCTGGCTTAACTTCTCCACTCCCCAGCCTGCCAAGGTGAGACCGTGTCTGTGTGTACGTACGTTTGTGTGTGCGTGCAGCCAGGGGCAGGCCGATTGGGGGCAGACTGACTGCAATCAGCACAGGAAAAAGAGTCAGAGATACAGTTTGTACTCAGGGGAAACAGACATGAGAAAATCAAGTAAGTGACACTGAATGAATGTAGACTGTAATGGAGAGAGGATGAAGAAAATGACAGGGAGTGAAGGGGATTTTGCTTGTTTTATTATTTGTTCCTCATCGGGTTGCTATCTTCCAGGCTATGTATGATTTGAAATGTGTTTTCTTGGTGTGGTAAGTGAAAGCAGTAGAAAGGGAAGATGAATGGACAGATGGAGAAGTGTGAAAGGCAGGAGAGCTTGTTGTGGTGTTGTCTTGCACATGGGACTACTAGACATGGATTGAGATTCAGCTAAATGAGAACAGTGTTTTTATACTCTCAGCAAGAGCTTGGAGTAATCTGGTAGTCAGTGGAGCCTATACCAGGTGATTTTCAGGTTGTAAACCTGTAGATCAATTGGTAGAGCATGGCACTTGTAACGCCAGGGTAGTGGGTTCGATCCCCGGGACCACCCATACGTAAAAATGTATGCACACATGACTGTAAGTCGCTTTGGATAAAAGCGTCGACTAAATGGCATATTATTATTATTATTATTATTATTATTAAATGAGTTGTGGACACCGATCTCAACATTGGCCAGTCCAGTAAGATCAATCTGATAGTGGTGACTAATGGACAACTCAAAGTTATTACATAAACACCAAAGCTCCAGAGTCTAACGGCGGCAAGCTTTACACCACTCCAGCCGACGCTTGGCATTGCGCATGGTGATCTTAGGCTCGTGTGTGGCTGCTCGGTCATGGAAACCCATTTCATGAAGCTCCTGACGGACAGTTCTTGTGCTGACTTTGCTTCCAGAGGCAGTTTGGAACTCTGTACTGAGTGATTTTTACGCGCTTCAGCACTCTGCGGTCCCGTTCTGTGAGCTTGTGTGGCCTACCACTTCGCGGCTGAGCCGTTGTTGCTCCTAGATGTTTCCACTTCACAATAACAGCACTTACAGTTAACTGGAGCAGCTCTAACAAGGCAGAAATTTGACGAACTGACTTGTTGGAAAGGTGGCATCCTATGACGGTGCCACGTTGAAAGTCACTGAGCTCTTCAGTAAGGCCATTCTACTGCCAATGTTCGTCTATGGAGATTGCATGGCTGTGTGCTCGATTTTTATACACCTGTCAGCAACTGGTGTGGCTGAAATGGCCGAATCCACTAATTTGAAGGGGTGTCCACATATTTTTGTGTATATAGTGTATGTGTATTATGTATTATGAGTGGTCCTCTGTAGCTCAGCTGGTAGAGCACGGCGCTTGTAACGCTAAGGTAGTGGGTTCGATCCCCGGGACCACCCATACACAAAAAATGTATGCACTGTAAGTCGCTTTGGATAAAAGCGTCTGCTAAATGGCATATTATTATTATTATTATTATGTAGTTGTGTGACATTCTTTTGCTAAATAAAGCAGATGAACAATTTGGAGAGTTTGGTGTGAGAGAATTCCTTCCTGTTTCACACTTGTGTGTGTGTGGAGGTACTAGAGGACTAGGGGTATGATCTGGGAGCACATGGTTTCACTTCACTGCCCTTTTTTTTTGTGACAATGATGGCGTCTACTGTATGGCTGCAGTCTTGCGAGCGCCGACCCAACTTTGCTATTTTGTGATTATTTTGCCGTTTTCTTATTTCTATTTCTCGTGTGTTTTTGTTCTATTTAAAATACTACTGATATTGATTACTGCATTGTTGGGAAAGCGCTTGCAAGAAAGGCATTACACTGTACTTGTGCACATGCCAATAAAAATGGAAACCTTTCTTTGTGTCCAGTCCCCTGCAGCCAGCCTTGAGAAGCATGGCGACCCCCATCACCACCGGAACAGCTGTGCTGCCGTGAGCCGCCGCCGACACAACTCCTCCGATGGCTTCTTTAACAACGGTTCCCTGCACGCCCCCGCAGGTAACCCCGATGATCTGAACCCCCTGCGCGCGCCCCCCCCCCCCCAAAAATTTTTTTTTTGTGTTTGTTATGTGTGGTTTGTTGACAGCCTGCTTGAAAGAGCGGTGTTTGTTTTGTTCCATAGTATTAAACTGTCTGTCCTGTGTGTGTCTGTAGGTGATGGGTGGCAGCAGCCCTCTCTCCTCCTGAGGCATGACTCTGTGGACTCTGGGGTGGCGAAGGGGGGGAATGGCGGCCTAGCGGGGGGGTCCTGCTGGAAGGAGGCTCATCCCACCTGGAACGGGGCGCCACAGGACGGGCACCACCACCTGGGGCGCCACCCCAAACGCCCCGGGACTGGAGGAGGGGACAGGCAGGGAGGGCACCGGCAGCGCAACGGCAACTTCCATCCCCGCAAGAGCGCCCCTGGGACCCTCTACCAGGAAAAGTTCCCCAATGAGGAACGCAGCAGGGAGGACAATCTGAAGTTTGTGGAAGAGGACTTTGTGAGTAATAATCTCATCCTCCATTCCTGAAAACCTCTTGACAACTTCTTGTCACATTTTAAGCAATGTTAGCAAAGACATTACAGTCTTGAGTTACTGTGCCATATGTCAATGGGCATAGTGACATTAAGACCTAACAGGGAAAATATCTGGATTGGTACAGGTAAACATAAAACATCATGGGAAATATACTGTATATACAAACGTATGAAATACTGTAAATGTTTTCCTACCAGCCCTCCCTTAACCCTGAAACAACTGGAAAGCCCGGGAACCAGACGAGGCCAGTGGCTCCTCACGCTGGAGTATGGGGTAATCACTCTAATAGATTGATTGATCTCTCGACATTACAAAGTTGACGCCAGTAACATCTTCAGCCCACTCCCTTTGTCTCCATGTCGTTACCCCCCCTCCTAACTAGTTGTTGTTCCCCATCTCTCCAGAGAACCCCCCTAGTGGCAAACAGATGGTGTCTAAGATGCTGGTGATCAAGAAGGTTTCCAAGGAGGACCCAGGATGCATTGCATTCTCTACTGGCTTCGCCAGCTCCGGAGCCCTGCCCATCAATGGCAGCAAAGCCCCGTCCACCATCACTGGCTCCACCCACTCAGTCTATAAGAACCTGGTGCCCAAGTCTGCTGTGGTGCCCACCAAGCCCCCTCAGTGGAAGCCGAGTGGGAGAGACTCCACCAAGCCTGGCCTCCACCTGTCAGGACGAGACTCTGTCTTCACCAGCCCTGTGTCTACAGCCAAACCCTCCGCCCCCGCCACCCAGCTACACAGCCACAACAACTCCAAAGAGGTGAGGGCAGCTCTCCAGACCCCTTACACACGCCAAAGGGTTTATAGAGAGCGTATAGCAAGCCATACAAATCTAGTCCTGAATAAAGGGAGAAAAGTTTACGTAACTGTTAGAAACCACAAACAAGGGCTCAACATTCTCCTCCCTCTCTCACTGTGAGCCCATTTCTCTCTCTCTCTCTCTCTCTCTCTCTCTCTCTGTGTGCCCATTTCGCTCTCTCTCTCCCTCTCTCTCTCTCTCTCTCTCTCTCTCTCTCTCTGTGTTTTCTATCAGAATCCTTTCAGTACAACTCCTCCCATAGACATCGCCTCGTCGTCACGGCTGAAGCTGATGCGGCGTGGACCAGACCGGAAGAGTGACTTCCTGCGGACGCTGAAGGACGAGGGCACCGGAGACCTGACCTCCAGCAGCAGCCCTGGGACACCTGGAGAGGTACATAACACCCCTAGAAAATGTCCAAGTGGGACGCAAAGGCCCTCCAAAACAACATCCAAAATGTTAAATTCAAACCAATTGAAGGTAAATTCACAGGTTGACTGAACGAAAATAAACTAGAGGCATGTCAAATGTGGAGCGTTACATGGTTCAGTTCATATGTAAGCAGAAGTGACCTTGTTTTATTAAGGTGTCTATTCTTTGGTGTAAATGACTCCTCAGGGCAAGATCAGCACCCCAGAGCCCAAAGCCTACAGCCAGGGAGTCTGCAATGAGAACGGCCTGTCTCACTCCCTCAGCGACTCAGACACTGATCACTTGTCCAGCTCCCTGGAGGAAGAACACCGGTAGGACTGACATATACATGCATACATACAGTGGGGAGAACAAGTATTTTGCAGGTTTTCCTACTTACAAAGCATGTAGAGGTCTGTAATTGTTATCATAGGTACACTTCAACTGTGAGAGACGGAATCTAAAACAAAAATCCAGAAAATCACATTGTATGATTTTTAAGTAATTCATTTGCATTTTATTGCATGACATAAGTATTTGATACATCAGAAAAGCAGAACTTAATATTTGGTACAGAAACCTTTGTTTGCAATTACAGAGATCATACGTTTCCTGTAGGTCTTGACCAGGTTTGCACACACTGCAGCAGGGATTTTGGCCCACTCCTCCATACAGACCTTCTACCGATCCTTCAGGTTTCGGGGCTGTCGCTGGGCAATACAGACTTTCAGCTCCCTCCAAAGATTTTCTATTGGGTTCAGGTCTGGAGACTGACTAGGCCACTCCAGGACCTTGAGATGCTTCTTACGGTGCCACTCCTTAGTTGCCCTGGCTGTGTGTTTCGGGTCGTTGTCATGCTGGAAGACCCAGCCACGACCCATCTTCAATGCTCTTACTGAGGGAAGGAGGTTGTTGGCCAAGATCTCGCGATACATGGCCCCATCCATCCTCCCCTCAATACGGTGCAGTCGTCCTGTCCCCTCTGCAGAAAAGCATCCCCAAAGAATGATGTTTCCACCTCCATGCTTCACGGTTGGGATGGTGTTCTTGGGGTTGTACTCATCCTTCTTCTTCCTCCAAACACGGCGAGTGGAGTTTAGATCAAAAAGCTCTATTTTTGTCTCATCAGACCACATGACCTTCTCCCATTCCTCCTCTGGATCATCCAGATGGTCATTGGCAAACTTCAGACGGGCCTGGACATGCGCTGGCTTGAGCAGGGGGACCTTGCGTGCGCTGCAGGATTTTAATCCATGACGGCATAGTGTGTTACTAATGGTTTTCTTTGAGACTGTGGTCCCAGCTCTCTTCAGGTCATTGACCAGGTCCTGCCGTGTAGTTCTGGGCTGATCCCTCACCTTCCTTATGATCATTGATGCCCCACGAGGTGAGATCTTGCATGTAGCCCCAGACCGAGGGTGATTGACCGTCATCTTGAACTTCTTCCATTTTCTAATAATTGCGCCAACAGTTGGTGCCTTCTCACCAAGCAGCTTGCCTATTGTCCTGTAGCCCATCCCAGCCTTGTGCAGGTCTACAATTGTATCCCTGATGTCCTTACACAGCTCTCTGGTCTTGGCCATTGTGGAGAGGTTGGAGTCTGTTTGATTGAGTGTGTGGACAGGTGTCTTTTATACAGGTAACGAGTTCAAACGTGCAGTTAATACAGGTAATGAGTGGAGAACAGGAGGGCTTCTTAAAGAAAAGCGAACAGGTCTGTGAGAGCCGGAATTCTTACTGGTTGGTAGGTGATCAAATATTTATGTCATGCAATAAAATGCAAATAATTACTTAAAAATCATACAATGTGATTTTCTGGATTTTTGTTTTAGATTCCGTCTCTCACAGTTGAAGTGTACCTATGATAAAAAATTACAGACCTACAAAATCTACATGCTTTGTAAGTAGGAAAACCTGCAGAATCGGCAGTGTATCAAATACTTGTTCTCCCCACTGTACATACATACACACACACACACACACCATCAGTCTACTGAGCAGTGTTTGCTGTTTCCTTGCAGGTTACTGAAGGCCATGGGCTGGCAGGAATACCCAGAAAACGATGACCGCTTCCTGCCCCTGACTCAGGAAGAGCTCAGCGAGTTCCAGACTAAAACTGAACAGGTACGTCTGAGTTTGACACAATCTTACAATAACATCATCAATATGTTATGTGCATCTTCGGTGACTGCTTTAAACGTCATAGGAAGTGACGTGTTTTGAATAGAATGAAAATGGCTAGTGTTTAGGTAGCCTAGTGTATGTGCTGTTGCCAACTCTTTCATCGCTGTAATGCTGTACGGTAGAGTTGTCTCAAGCATATAGTGTGGGACCAGGCTAGTGTCTAGAGCCCCGTTTATACCTGGGTCTAACATGCGTCCTTTGTCTTGATCTTGTCCACATTCTGATTGTGCCCACATTTTTAGACAGGTGTAGATGATTAAAAGACTAATTGTGATCTGATTGATCTGCATGGTCAAACCATTTAAATCACATACATACATATATATATATATATATATATATATATATATATATATATATATACACACACAGTGGGGGAAAAAAGTATTTAGTCAGCCACCAATTGTGCAAGTTATCCCACTTAAAAAGATGAGAGAGTCCTGTAATTTTCATCATAGGTACACGTCAACTATGACAGACAAATTGAGAGAAAAAATCCAGAAAATCACATTGTAGGATTTTTAATGAATGTATTTGCAAATTATGGTGGAAAATAAGTATTTGGTCACCTACAAACAAGCAATATTTCTGGCTCTCACAGACCTGTAACTACTTCTTTAAGAGGCTCCTCTGTCCTCCACTCGTTACTTGTATTAATGGCACCTGTTTGAACTTGTTATCAGTATAAAAGACACCTGTCCACAACCTCAAACAGTCACACTCCAAACTCCACTATGGCCAAGACCAAAGAGCTGTCAAAGGACACCAGAAACAAAATTGTAGACCTGCACCAGGCTGGGAAGACTGAATCTGCAATAGGTAAGCAGCTTGGTTTGAAGAAATCAACTGTGGGAGCAATTATTAGGAAATGGAAGACATACAAGACCACTGATAATCTCCCTCGATCTGGGGCTCCACGCAAGATCTCACCCCGTGGGGTCAAAATGATCACAAGAACGGTGAGCAAAAATCCCAGAACCACACGGGGGGACCTAGTGAATGACCTGCAGAGAGCTGGGACCAAAGTAACAAAGCCTACCATCAGTAACACACTACGCCGCCAAAAACTCAAATCCTGCAGTGCCAGACGTGTCCCCCTGCTTAAGCCAGTACATGTCCAGGCCCGTCTGAAGTTTGCTAGAGTGCATTTGGATGATCCAGAAGAGGATTGGGAGAATGTCATATGGTCAGATGAAATCAAAATATAACTTTTTGGTAAAAACTCAACTCGTCGTGTTTGGAGGACAAAGAATGCTGAGTTGCATCCAAAGAACACCATACCTACTGTGAAGCATGGGGGTGGAAACATCATGCTTTGGGGCTGTTTTTCTGCAAAGGGACCAGGACGACTGATCTGTGTAAAGGAAAGAATGAATGGGGCCATGTATTGTGAGATTTTGAGTGAAAACCTCCTTCCATCAGCAAGGGCATTGAAGATGAAACGTGGCTGGGTCTTTCAGCATGACAATGATCCCAAACACACCGCCCGGGCAACGAAGGAGTGGCTTCGTAAGAAGCATTTCAAGGTCCTGGAGTGGCCTAGCCAGTCTCCAGATCTCAACCCCATAGAAAATCTTTGGAGGGAGTTGAAAGTCCGTGTTGCCCAGCAACAGCCCCAAAACATCACTGCTCTAGAGGAGATCTGCATGGAGGAATGGGCCAAAATACCAGCAACAGTGTGTGAAAACCTTGTGAAGACTTACAGAAAACGTTTGACCTGTGTCATTGCCAACAAAGGGTATATAACAAAGTATTGAGAAACTTTTGTTATTGACCAAATACTTATTTTCCACCATAATTTGCAAATAAATTCATTAAAAATCCTACAATGTGATTTTCTGGGGGAAAAAATCTCATTTTGTCTGTCATAGTTGACGTGTACCTATGATGAAAAGTACAGGTCTCTCTCATCTTTTTAAGTGGGAGAACTTGGACAATTGGTGGCTGACTAAATACTTTTTTTCCCCACTGTATGTATGTGTGTGTATATATATATATATACACAGTGGGGAGAACAAGTATTTGATACACTTCCGATTTTGCAGGTTTTCCTACTTACAAAGCATGTAGAGGTCTGTAATTTTTATCATAGGTACACTTCAACTGTGAGAGACGGAATCTTTAAAAAAATCCAGAAAATCACATTTGTATGATTTTTAAGTAATTCATTTGCATTTTATTGCATGACATAATTATTTGATACATCAGAAAAGCAGAACTTAATATTTGGTACAGAAACCTTTGTTTGCAATTACAGAGATCATACGTTTCCTGTAGGTCTTGACCAGGTTTGCACACACTGCAGCAGGGATTTTGGCCCACTCCTCCATACAGACCTTCTCCAGATCCTTCAGGTTTCGGGGCTGTCGCTGGGCAATACAGACTTTCAGCTCCCTCCAAAGATTTTCTATTGGGTTCAGGTCTGGAGACTGACTAGGCCACTCCAGGACCTTGAGATGCTTCTTACGGTGCCACTCCTTAGTTGCCCTGGCTGTGTGTTTCGGGTCGTTGTCATGCTGGAAGACCCAGCCACGACCCATCTTCAATGCTCTTACTGAGGGAAGGAGGTTGTTGGCCAAGATCTCGCGATACATGGCCCCATCCATCCTCCCTTCAATACGGTGCAGTCGTCCTGTCCCCTTTGCAGAAAAGCATCCCCAAAGAATGATGTTTCCACCTCCATGCTTCACGGTTGGGATGGTGTTCTTGGGGTTGTACTCATCCTTCTTCTTCCTCCAAACACAGCGAGTGGAGTTTAGATCAAAAAGCTCTATTTTTGTCTCATCAGACCACATGACCTTCTCCCATTCCTCCTCTGGATCATCCAAATGGTCATTGGCAAACTTCAGACGGGCTTGGACATGCGCTGGCTTGAGCAGGGGGACCTTGCGTGCGCTGCAGGATTTTAATCCATGACGGCGTAGTGTGTTACTATTGGTTTTCTTTGAGACTGTGGTCCCAGCTCTCTTCAGGTCATTGACCAGGTCCTGCCGTGTAGTTCTGGGCTGATCCCTCACCTTCCTCATGATCATTGATGCCCCACGAGGTGAGATCTTGCATGGAGCCCCAGACCGAGGGTGATTGACCGTCATCTTGAACTTCTTCCATTTTCTAATAATTGCGCCAACAGTTGTTGCCTTCTCACCAAGCTGCTTGCCTATTGTCCTGTAGCCCATCCCAGCCTTGTGCAGGTCTACAATTGTATCCCTGATGTCCTTACACAGCTCTCTGGTCTTGGCCATTGTGGAGAGGTTGGAGTATGTTTGATTGAATGTGTGGACAAGTGTATTTTATACAGGTAACGAGTTCAAACAGGTGCAGTTAATACAGGTAATGAGTGGAGAACAGGAGGGCTTCTTAAAGAAAAACTAATAGGTCTGTGAGAGCCGGAATTCCTACTGGTTGGTAGGTGATCAAATACTTATGTCATGCAATAAAATGCAAATGAATTACTTAAAAATCATACAATGTGATTTTCTGGATTTTTGTTTTAGATTCCGTCTCTCACAGTTGAAGTGTACCTATGATAAAAATTACAGACCTCTACATGCTTTGTAAGTAGGAAAACCTGCAAAATCGGCAGTGTATCAAATACTTGTTCTCCCCACTGTATGTGTGTGTGTATATATATATATATATATATATATATATATATATATATATATAGCTGGAAAAAAGTAAGAGACCATTGCAAAATTATCAGTTTCTCTGGTTTTACTATTTATAGGTATGTGTTTGGGTAAAAATTACATTTTTGTTTTATTCTATAAACTACTGACAACATTTCTCCCAAATTCCAAATAAAAATATTGCCATTTAGAGCATTTATTTGCAGAAAATGACAACTGGTCAAAATAACAAAAAAGATGCAGTGTTGTCAGACCTCGAATAATGCAAAGAAAATAAGTTCATGTTCATTTTTAAACAACACAATACTAATATTTTAACTTAGTTCAGAAATCAATATTTGGTGGAATAACCCTGATTTTCAATCACAACTTTGGTCCTCTGTAGCTCAGCTGGTAGAGCACGGCGCTTGTAACGCCAAGGTAGTGGGTTCGATCCCCGAGACCACCCATACACAAAAAAAAATATGAATGAACGCATGACTGTAAGTCGCTTTGGATAAAAGCGTCTGCTAAATGGCATTAATTAATTATTAACTTTCATGCGTCTTGGCATGCTCTCCACCAGTCTTTCACATTGATGTTGGGTGACTTTATGCCACTCCTGGCGCAAAAATTCAAGCAGCCCGGCTTTGTTTGATGGCTTGTGACCATCCAACTTCCTCTTGATCACATTCCAGAAGTTTTCAATGGGGTTCAGGTCTGGAGATTGGGCTGGCCATGACACCATGATCTGGTGGTCCTCCATCCACACCTTGATTGACCTGGCTGTGTGGCATGGCGCATTGTTCTGCTGGAAAAACCAATCCTCAGAGTTGGGGAACAATGTCAGAGCAAAAGGAAGCAAGTTTTCTTCCAGGACAACCTTGTACATGGCTTGATTTATGCGTCCTTCACAAAGACAAAATCTGCCCGATTCCAGCCTTGCTGAAGCACCCACAGATCATCACCGATCCTCCACCAAATTTCACAGTGGGTGCGAGACACTGTGGCTTATAGGCCTCTCCAGGTCTCCGTCTAACCATTAGACGACCAGGTGTTGGGCAAAGCTGAAAATTGGACTCATCAGAAAATATGACCTTACTCCATTCCTCTACGGTCCAATCCTTATGGTCTTTTGCAAACCTCAGCCTGGCTCTTCTTTGCTTCTCATTGATGGGCTTTTTTCTAGCTTTGCACGACTTCAGCCCTGCCCCTAGGAGCCTGTTTCGAACCGTCCTCGCCGTGCACTTCACCCCAGCTGCCGTTTGCCATTATTTTTGTAGGTCTCTTGATGTCATCCTACGGTTGTTGAGTGACATTCAAATTAGTTGGCGGTCATCCCGGTCAGTAGAGAGTCGTTTTCGCCCTCTGCCAGTCTGTAGCTTTGTTGTCCCCGATGTCTGCTGCTTGATCTTGTTCTTATGAACCGCCGTCTTTGAAATTTTAAGGATGGAAGCAACCTGACGCTCACTGTATCCCTCTGCCAGTAAAGCCAGAATTGAACCCTTCTTTTCCTCACTCAAAACATTCCTTTTCAACTCTTTTGGCATGGTCAATAGTTATTTTTTGATTAATATTACTTTTGAGGTACTATTAGCACTATTTTTGCCATCCAGCTGGTCCTATTGCAAGAGGATAGTGATGACCACAGTAGTGGTTTTTAATACTGGTCCTCGTTAAATAAGATTTGGTTCAGGTGATCACCTAATCAGTACCTAATTCAGTAGAATGAGGTGTGCCTGTGTTGGAATTCAACAGACACTGGAATGGAATGGCTGCCATACATGTAGAGATGCTGATTTAAGAAAAATCTGCAATGGTCTCTTAATTTTTTCCACAGCTATATCTGTGTGTGTATGTATGTGTGTATATATATATAGCTACATCTGTATATTTATAGCTTACAATCAATACTTTCATATTTTCAAATAATTTGCATACATGGAATAACCAGGAAATCTGGTCACAATGTGGACGGCTAAGAGACACAATACTACAATGTGTAGATGCAACTGCTACAATGTGGGCACAATCAGAATGTGGATAAGATCAGGACAAAGGACGCATGTTAGCACCAGGTATAAACAAGGCTTAGGTTTGTGTTTTCACTCAGTTGGTTCTTGTTCTTCCCAGCTGAAGAGGAATGGGATCATCCCCCTCCACTTCACCCCCTGGAGGTGTGTGGCCGAGGCCCACTTAGAAAAGGACGAGGGCTCCGAGTCTGAAACCAGCAGCAGCAGCCAGACCTCAGATGACGATGACATCAAAACCTGACGAAGTGGCTTTATGGAACAAACCCAACACACACCCCTCTCGTCTTTGTTTTCAGAACCCGTTTGACTTTTTGTTGTTCTTGCACAAGGGGAAAAAAACAATTGCATTCCAGTGGAGGGGGAAGTTCCTGCTTCGCCATGCAGATGTATTTTTCCCTGCACCTCTTCCCCTTGCTTTGTGGAGCTGAGTGTTCATCAAGAAAAGGGCAATGAACATCTGATTCTACTTTAAACAGATTAACTCATTTCATTGATGCTGATGACATTAAAATGGTTTCCTGACATGTTTCAATAGAAATCAGGCCTTGCTTGGTGTTCTGGTTGTTTCTATGAATAAGTTGGATTGTGTTCATGGTAAATCACATGGATTGTCAAAGAAAACGGTATAGTGTTAACCATGCTGTGGGGCTTGGGTGGTCTAGCAGTTAGGGCTGGATTTAAATTTAAAGGCAATGTTCCCACGTTCGCAGAGACTGCATTCACGGTGAGCGCTGCATGTCAGCTCAATCGGGAAAAACCTTAATTTTAACGCAGATCTTCCGCAATACGGATTAAATCCAGCTGCTTGACTAGACAAACCTACCAGTGTCAGCAAGGGGTCGAATCTGACAGTCAATTCCCAGTTCCTCGCCTCTCCCATAAATCAAATGAAAAAAGGAACAAATCATGCAGACTGATGTTACCACTAAGCCAGACACTTAGGCCTAGATTCAATCCATATAGCTGAAGTTCAGCGCAGTTTAAATTTAAAGGCAATATCCCTCAACTGGGCTGGCCACAGTCAGGATAGCTATTCCAAAAGCATACAAATTCATTATGTTTAGAGTACACCACTGATCAATGCGAGGAAGAACTGGGACAGTAGTTTGTGTTTCAAGAGGTGGATCTCTTCCCATTTGGAGTTTCTTTACACAAATCCAAGATGACTAATTGATCAAGTAAGTAGTCTTTAATGATCTGGTACAAAATCTTACAAATATGAAAAAGCACATACAGGTACACAATAGGAACATGACACATTTACAACTTGATCTGCAGTAGGAGGATGTGATGACAATCAGGAATTGGCATCAGAAAGTCACCAGGGCTTCACTGGCTGCAGGGGGAAACATGAGAATAATCACAATGAATTCATCATTAATATCACAAAAAGGCACACATGCTCTTGAATGTGAAAAGAGCAGAGGTTGATCTATTGCTTACATTTGTAAAAGTTGGTCTAGTAGTACATGTAGGTATTCCATGACAACCTTAGGTAGTGGAAAATACATACTCCATACATACCGTTCAACCTCCATTTTGTCTTTGACACCGTTGTCGCCGTTGCTGTTAACATGAGTCTCCTGTTTCACTTTTTTTGAGTCATTCTCCTTTACTGGGCTGTCTTCTGGTTTCCTCTGTTAAACAATACAAAGAGGTGTTTGTGGATACTAGGATGGTTATCTGGAAGCAAATGGCTTCACTTCACTGACCTTTTTTCTGACCAGGTGTGAGATGTCAGAGGCTGGAGACTTTGAGGGGGCGTTTCCGTTGGTGGATCGGACTTGAATCTGAGTGAGGGGGAGGACCCACCGACATATCCCTTAGAATACGTTGTTTAAAGCACAACAAATCAACCAATAAAGATGTCTAAAATCATGAGGCTCAGGCATACCATAGATGCAGACGTCCCCCCGTTTTGAGAACTTCCACTCTGAGCTGGAAATGCTGAACCACTTGCCTGAAAAAACCCAACGAAATGTGGAATCAAACTTCATGCTCGACGTATTGCATGAACTCAAACCTTACTTAAGAGAGCCTAAAAAAGTAAGTGGGCTAGGACTGGGTCAATCACTCTGGTTAGAGCCCCCTCCATCTCAATCCCCTTCTCACCAGCGTCTCCTGCATCACAGCTTCTGCTGCAGCAGCCGCAGCCATTTTCTGTCCCACGTTGGCGTCCTCTACCTTCTCCTGGATCTCTGGCAGCAGAGCCTTCAGCTCCTCCATCTCCTTTCTCTCCTCAGGGGCCGCCTCGGACCCCTCTGCCTTCTCCAGCACCTCCTGGAGCTTGGCTGGGAGACAAACGATACAAGGGTGTAGAAGAGTAACATTTTCCAAGAATAAAACTAGCAAAACCAGTGGTCACCAACCGGTCGTCTTGTGCTGTTGGCGCACTTGAAGTGTTCCCATTTCATTTGTCTGAAGGGACAAACTCCGCCTACCCGGCGGACCAGGAGAGCTGTGGCTAAATCAAGTGTCTGCTGCGCTGGCCAATCGGATAGCTCAAATAACCGTACCTACAGCTTCCACGACCCCACAGCAAAGATTGATACTAGCCTACATGAGATTTCCTAACTTTTGAAACCATGACCAGAGAGACAAAGAATACAGCGAAGAGCTGGCTGCTGTTTTTGAGTTCATGTTTAAGTTTATTCAGCACTGTCAACACCGTTTTTATTCAACACTTTAAATTCAAAACGCACTTCTCCCTACTTCCACTCGCGCTGTAGCTGCAATGAATGAGTAGCCAAGTGTATCGATAGGCCTGCGTTATTATTATTAGCAGCTCGTCGTGTCTAGTTTAATATCGAGGAATATTTCACTTTCTCTGGTCATAGGAACATGAATTTGTGCATGAGGCAGAAATAATGCGGTGCCACTCGAGTTTCACCATCAGGTGGAAGACAGTGTCCCCTCTCTCTGGTCAGTCTCACCGGAGGAAAGGAGAGAACGGGAACAGTGAGAGGCTGCTCTCTCCCTCCTTCCGCTGACTGACCATCAGATGCAGGTACCATCAGTCCAGTAAAAGAAAAAAGCTAATAATTTGCAAATAATTTAAATTTATGCTCAGCTGTGCCTCGCAAGTGATACAACAACTGATCTATTTTATTATCAAAGCTAGTTTTGAAATATATGATCTGAGAAGAACATTGGCGGGCCAAGCATATAGCCAATATGATGTGATAATGTATTAGGCCTACTTTACACACCTCATTCCTACAGAACTGTTTTTATTACATTAATGTTGCATAGGCTTATTTTTTAAGTCATGTTTTTTTTTTAAATATATATATATATAGTTATATATTTTTATATATTTGCAGTAGATCTCTGCTTGCTTTTTGACAGTGAAAGTGATCTCTACTCAGAAAAGGTTGGTGACCACTGATCTAAACAATTCCTTTCAAAATGAGAATCTCATTGATCACATTCACCTCCTCCTCACCTAGTCTGCTCTTGATTACTCTAGCGGAGTGGTTGAAGTGTTCGATGGCCTGGCTGTACTGGCAGTCAGAGCAGAGGGTGAGGCCCAGCTGGTAGTGAGTCTCGGCCAGCAGGCGGCTGTCTGAGGCCAGGTGCTTCAGCTGCAGGGACAGGCACTCCTGGAAGTCATCCACCGCCTGGCTGTAATTGCCTAGGGTGGAAATCAAACAGGTAGTGAGGAACACACCTCACTGAAGCACAATGTATGGGCCAACCCCATATAAAAACGGGCCAAACCAAAGTACTAGTGGTGGTTGGGAAAGTACCTGATTCAGCCGCTACTTCTCCCAGTTTCAGATGGGCCTGAGCGGCCAGCAGCTGGTCCTCCTTACCCTCTTTCCTTCAACAGAACACAAACAATTTATCCAACGGCTCAATTTGATTTGTTGGAATAGATTTGAATAGAGTTGGCACTTGAAAGCCCTACATACACAACAACTAGAGGATAGCAGGGTAAAACATGGGAACGAGTGGGTATTTATTTCCTACCGTACCTTTTGTAGATGACCTTAGCCACCTCCAGCATCTCCCAGGCTAACTGCAGGTTGCCCACTTCCTCATCATCACTGTCCTCCGGTATGTCCTCCTGAGGTCAAAAGGTAATTGAATGTTAACTTACTGACTTTACAGCAGCTAAACCATCGGCAGGAACACACAGATAGGTCAGTAGTAGATGAAGTCTCACCTTTTCTTCCGTTCCTTCCCCTTCACCCTCATCATCTGAAACATTGACAGAAGTGTGTGTGAGTGCATTACATTTATTTTCTTTGCATCTAAGATATTGCCTAAACATTATGACGGGTTTGCCCTCAAACTGGCCATAAGTTCACCTCCATCCTCCTCTTCTGGGTTGTCTGATGACTCTTTAGTCTCTCCAGTTTCAGCTTCGTCACCCTTCTCGCCGATGACTTTCTCCTCTCCGTTCGTGGTATCAGAACCGTTAACATGGCCGTTCACAGACTGTCCCTCCTCGCCTCCTCCAGTCTCCTCCACCGTGTTCTTATCTGAATCTGACTTTTCCTCGCCGTTCTTCTCTTCTGCCATGGCGTCATAGACCTGAACTCTGAGCTCATCCCTGGTCTTATCTGTGATAATAACAAAGGTATATTGAGAAGCGTATAATAAAAAAAAAAATTAACAGGTAAATGTGACATTACACAGCATTATCTGATCTACAGCATTATCTGATCTACAGCATTATCTACATTATCAGAGAGATCAGCATAACCACTAGGCCAAATTGTATAATTTTTTTTTTAACATGTATGCTGTACCTTTAGGCATGCATCAACTACATGTGTGGTTTAACAATGCAAAATGTTTACCGTCAACATTGTCTGTGCTTTCAATGTTGGAGTCTTTGGGCTTCTCCTCCTCGCCTTCCTCCTCTTCTTCAGGAACCCCTGTCAGAGCGTTCCCCAAGACGCCATTCTCCATCCTGCAACACAACATTACATCGAAGTCTTAGTTCCAACTGTAACAGCTGTGGTTTGGAGAGAACAGAAGACTGTTTGCTCCCAGCATTCAGTGGGGTACATCACTAATCACCATTTATAACGCTTAGATTGAAATACTGTGAAGGACAGTGAACACTTACCTGGCCAGCTCCAAGAGAGCTTTACCACACAGGAAGAAAGCCTCTCCACACTCATCTGCTGTGTCGCCATACTTTTTGGCTCTGGAAAAATAAGTAGGGCAAAGTTATTTATAAATAACTGAATTAGTAATCGCTAATGTTTTTACAGACATTTATTCAGTGTGTCACTTGACTTCCACCCCTACTCACAACATCCCGCAGGCTTCTTGAAGGAAGTTGACCGCTGATACCACGTCCCCCATGACGAGATGTCTCTTCCCTGTGCCAATGAGTTTGTTCGCCTCCTCCATGACCATTTTGTAACTTGAAGAAAACAATGATAACCTAGTCATTTTTACTGTCTGTTAATGTCGGCACGAACAAAGTGGCTAGCTATCTAGTTACATTGGAAACAATATTCAACTGTCTTGCATAAAGACCAGTAACGTTAGCTTGTTGGTTAATCATGTATTCATTCACGAACGCAGTAACTAACGTTACGCGGTGAAATACGGTGGTTGCAACTCTACTTCTAGCTTCTCATCTCAGTAGCGCGTTTTCGCAAACGCTGTTCAGTGATGCTTTCCTGACCATTAACATTAAACACATCTTATGGTAAACATTTACATACCGTGGATGCACGTAGCTATAAAAGTTTATCAGAAGAATCAAGGACAAACAGGCACAGCTCTTTCTTGTATAATTGTTCTAAACTGGCGCCAAATTTGTTAATCATTTCCCGTCAAATTCTGCTTGGGAAAACGCGGGAGAAATATTAAAGGTGCAGTGACACATTTTTACATCAGTCGAATGTTGGGGAGGACTCATTCCAGCTGGAAGGGGGGTCCAGAGTGAACAAGTTTGGGAACCCCTGGTTGAACTTACTTGGGAGAAAGTATAGTGACAAAAGCAAGTAGCATAGCAAATGATTTGTGCATTTACCAGTAAGAAATTATCAATGTGATATGGAGGAGAACTGCTCTACCTTACCTACAGGTGGGGCTTTAGAAGGATCTCCATCTCACATCAGCTCAGATCAAAGGAACACTCATTGAGACTGAGCTCTTTGAGCCCTTCACTATGGCACCTGCCATGCAATAATTTGATTGAACTCCAGTAGGCATGAGATGCAAGCCTCGAGTACAGGGTAAGCAATCTAGGACGTAGAGATCAGAGCAGATGAAGGTTCAAAACAACTCAGAGGTGTTCTGTCACCACACCACACATTTCTCTCAAGATGCATTTTGTCAGCTCGGTTCACTTCACAAAATGTTCATACTAGTTGTTCTAATGGAACCAATAAAGTTGTATTGAATTGAATTAAATCACAGACATCAGCTCTGTCAGGCCTGTTTGCTCCTGGCCAAGATCCACCTAGAGAGAGCTGACAGGTGTGAAGGAGGCCCTTGTAAATAAACTTGCTGCTCTTGCTCTGTCCAGGGAGCTGAGAGAGAGCGCAGCCCTGCTGTCAGTGCCTGCTGTGATGGGAGCTCTAGTACCAACCCCCTCACTGAAGAACCCCTGCTAGCTCCCCTGTTACAGCCTTGTAAAGGCAGGCCTGGACATGACAACCAATCACAGGGCAGGCCTGGACATGACACCCCCAATCAGGCTCACAGTGAGAACCATCACACCAATTTGGTCATACATCTTCATCAACACAATACTTATATTCTAATATGAATTGTAGAATGTAAATGTGTATTGTGAATTGTAAATGTAATTTAAATTTAAATGTGAATTGTGTGTCCTATCTATTGCACTCAAGTAAAACATAGGTCTTAGAATGATGACAATTTTGCTCTACTATGGTGAATGGTGAAAAAGCATCTTCCCAACCTGTCTTCATTCACTAGAGGGGCTGTTGAGCAACCATGAGGCTCTTGTTGTTGTGAGGAAAATGGTCAGCTGATGGCCTCAATTATATAAGTCTGGATGACATAGTGTGTAATATCCTGTCTACATGTACATGGCAGTTTATAAGTTGCTTCATACTTTCAATAATATAACACTTTATCTCTATAGGTCCCTAGCAACAACAGAAGGAACACATTTGCATTGGCAGTCGGTATATGAGAACAGAGAACAGAGGAAGGTCTAGTGCTCTTCAAACAGTCAATTACTATGTAATTAATGTTTTGGTGATGCTGATATAGGTAGGTACCATTTATGTCTGTATTAATGTGTTGTTGAAAGCTGAACATGGGGCTGTAGGCCTCTTTTTGATCTGTAGCCCACGCTCGCTGCCTGCAGGTTTAATAAGAGTTTATTGTGTTGGTCCCCTCTTGTCTGACCCTTCATGTGGTGTCCATGGCAACGACATGCAAAGACATCACCCCAGTGACAGCAGCAGAAGGGTGAGGTGGAGGAGAGGCACTGGGCCCTTCAGATTGCACACAACAATCTCTGTAGCATCTTTTCATCTGAGGGCAGAAAATGACTAGCCTGGTTCCATTGGCCTTAAGAGCTGACATCACAAATATATCTGGGATCAGGCTACATGACCACTGTGGAGACATATGATTTCTTAGTGTAGGTGTGTAATTTGCAACAGGGAGACACCTCCAGCAGAGAAGCAGAGAAAATGACTAACTCGCCTTCTCTAAGCAGGTCCTTATATTCAAATCTCACCCCACTGGGCACACACTGGTTGAATCAACGTTGTTTCCACGTCATTTCAATGAAAGTTGAATTGATGTCTGTGCCCAGTGGGACAGCACCAATGTTCTGTAAACACCCACCGAGAGGCTTGTAGGAAGTCACAACATCAGCTGCTGCAGAATCACAGTGTCACAGAATACAATAACAATCAGTGTCCTTGGTCCTTGTTCCTCCAGTCTGGCGTCAATCACTATGAGAAAAAGTAGCCGTTATAAACATTCAGTGCAATTCTATGTCATTTTACATGACTGAAGACCTTAGCAGAATCTTTTTTAATACCACACACCATTACAGGCTAAGAATGGACAGAGTCTGAGAGATAGGCCTGTACGTTCATCTTATCATATTTCTGCAATGCCAAATCAGTGTGTCTTGTTTGCAATGAAACTGTCCCTGTTTGTAAATAATTAAATCTGAGAGGTCATTATGAAGCTAAGCATGGTACTTTCAAAAGTTAGGGCTACCTTTCCACCCCAGACAGAGTAGGCCCACCGACGCAGAAAAATGTAAGCTTTAACTGCTTGCTATTCTTCTTATACTGAATTACAATATAAACGCAACATGCAACAATATCAAAGATTTTACGGAGTTACAGTTAAGGAAATCAGTCAATTGAAATAAATAAATTAGGCCCTAATCTATGGATTTCACATGACTGGGCAGGGGTGCAGCCATGGGTGGGCCTGGGAGGGCATATGCCCACCAACTTGGCAGCCAGGCCCACCCACTGAGGAGTCAGGCCCAGCCAATCAGAATTAGTTTTTCCCCACAAAAGGGCTTTATTACAGACAGAAATACTTCTCAGCACTCCACCCCACCCCCCTCAGACAATCCTGCAGGTGAAGAAGCCGGATGTGAAGGTGTAGCACCAAACCAGGGTCTACATATGTGAAAACAGCGCATTTCAATATTATGTAGAAAAATAAATAACATAAAAAAGTTCTACCCATCATCAAAAGTTTAAATATTTTAATAACAGTGATTTTCAAACACTATGAGAAAATACTCTCCCTCTGACTAGAAACACATTGTAGGTTTTGAAAATCACTGTTTTTCTTACTTTTAATCCTTTCCTGTGATGTCACAGAGACGCATTTTTTAGGACCTTTCTTCTTATCTTTTTAACCACAGATCATAGAAACGCGCCATGGTTTGGTGCTGGACGGCAGGCACGCTCAGGGTTAGGGCAGGCAGAAGGGTCAAACAGGTAGGGCTCCAACACAAAACTCTCTTGTTAGTATAAAGTTTAATTAAAATGAAGACAGTTGCCTACTTTCAGCACTATGAGCTACAGTATATATTTCCAATTGATTGTGCCGCGGCTGCCGCTTGAAGTTTCAGCACCACAATGCAAGTTACTCGAATCTGGCTTATTGTGAGGTCAATAACTCTGATAAATAGCTTCATCATGGGCAAGAAACATATTGTTTTTATTAAAAGTAGTAGTAAGCTATCAAAGTTGACCTCCGGTCCTACTTCTCATCTTCGCATTCTCCCTTTCAAACTATAGCAGCCCAGTGGATTCCATGAAAATGTGATACCTACCATTGTGGTGAGTAGCTACCGCGAGGGTAGCTATAGCATTAGCTAGTCTAGCATGCTGATGAAAAACTAGCAGTCATTAAAAACGAGCAGTATTTCAATCTTCTCAATTTGTCAGTTGGGATAATGGAATGATTAGGAGTACACAGCCATCTCCCATCCCTGGATTGAGGTACGTTTTCTGAGCCATATCTCGCACCGGCTCCACGCTGTCCTAATCGTGGTATAGCCGTGTTCTGACTATAGAGAGAATGTAATGAACGTGTAGTTGGATTCTGGCTAGCTATGGATAATTTGATTGAGTCCACACTAAACAGCCAATAGGTGCACTTTATATTGCTCGCCAGCGGAGAATCAGAGATGATGGGTGGCATCAGGCACACATCCATATATAGCCTAAGAGAAATATTGAAATGTCATCAATTGCAAATTGAAATTTAAAAAGCATGACCCTCCCCCATTTTCCTCCAGGTCCCCATTCTGTACATTTCCAACCATCCCTAACTAAATAAAAATACTGGGTATTTGTAATTTAGTTGAGTATTTATATTTTTGACTACTTTTACTTTTACTCCGCTCTTAGAAAAAAGGGTTCCAAAAGGGTTATTCGGCTGTCCCCATAGGATAACCCTTTTTTGTTCCAGGTAGAACCTTTTTTGGTTCTAGGTAGAACTCTTTTGGCATCCATGTAGAACCCTCTGTGTAAAGGGTTTAACATGGAACTCAAAAGGGTTCTACCTAGAACCAAAAGTGTTCTACCTGGAACCAAAAAGGGTTCTTCAAAAGATCCTCATATGGGGACAGCCAAATAACCCTTTTAGGTTCTAGATAGCATATTATTTTCTAAAAGTGTACATTCCTAAAGGAAATATGTACTTTTTACTTCGATACATTTTCCCTGACTCCCAAAACTATTCATTACATTTTGAATGCTCAGGCAGGACAGCAATATGGTCCAATTTACGCACGTATCAATACAACTACATTTTACATTTACATTTTAGTCATTTAGCAGACGCTCTTATCCAGAGCAACTTACAGTTAGTGAGTGCATACATTATTATTTATTTTTTTCATACTGGCCCCCCGTGGGAATCGAACCCACAACCCTGGCGTTGCAAACGCCATGCTCTACCAACTGAGCTACATCCCTATCACATTTCAGGAGAAGACCCAGATGCAGACAGTGTCGAAGTAACAAAAGTTTATTACAAAAACAGGGGGCAGGCAAACAACAGGTCAAGGGCAGGCAGAGGTCAGTAATCCAGATCAGAGTCCAAAAGGTACAGAACGGCAGACTCTCTCAGGGTCAGGGCAGGCAGAGGTCAATAATCCAGGGTGGTGTGACAAGGTACAGAACGGCATGCAGGCTCAGGGTCAGGGCAGGCAGAAGGGTCATAACCGGGAAAACAGGAACTTAAGAAAGACAGGAGCAAGAGGAAAAATGTTGGTAGTCTTGACGAAACAAAACAAACTGGCAACAGACAAACAGAGAACACAGGTATAAATGCACTGGGGATAATGGGGAAGATGGGCGACACCTGGAGGGGGGTGGAGAATATCACAAAGACAGGTGAAACAGATCAGGGTGTGACAACAACACGTTGTCATCCCCACTGCCTCTGATCTGGCGGACTCACTTAACACCAGTACTGTGTTTGTAAATAGTGTCGGAGTCCTGGCTGTTCGTAATGGGGAAAAAAAAGAAAATCGTGCCATCTGGTTTGCTTACTATAAAGAATTTGATTTATAGCATTTACTTTTACATAAGTATGACAATTGAGTACTTTTACCACGACAAAACTTAAGTACATTTGAAACCAAATACTTTTAGATTTATACTCAAGTAGTATTTTACTGAGTGACTTTCACTTTTACTTGAGTAATTTTCTAATAAGGTATCTTTACTTTTACTCAAGTAAATGATGGGAGCTTCATGACTGTGTGACCCCAGCATGACTGTTCACTTGGATTAGGATAGGCGCTCGTAGGATGGGGCTGCTGTGGGCTTCTGCTGCTCTCCCTGAGAATCACTGAGAAACATATAGTATCTTTGAAGATGACAAGATCAAGTTTTTAATTGTAGGGTTATAATAATTTAGATATCAAAAGGTCAAAAAGGGGGTGCTTATATTTGTCCTGTTTCACTGCATGTACAAGTGGGTAACTTGTAGATGTGTGAGGTGTGAAATGGAAATGTTTTTTATGCATATCCCAACTCGCCCTTAGACACCCTCGGAGAGTGGGGTCATGGCCAGGGATCAGCCATTATTGACTGCAATATGTTAAGCAATAACTGTCACATGTTATGTAGGCTTACATCTATCGTTTTGCATGTTGAGAAGAATAGAAAAGAGAATGAGAAAAGATGATAAGAGAAGACAAGGGTGGGGGACATTACTTATTTACTACTGTGTTTTAGTCCTTACTCATCCTTACTCATACGAGTTTTTAACCGCAGGTTACTGGAATGAGGAAGGAAATGTGCAAAGTCATGGTGCCATGTGAGGCAGTCAAATACTCATATCGACTGAATGACTGGGCTGTGGCCATTGTCGGTGTTATAACACCGCGAGATTTGAGCTGCTGTATATATTTCCAAACGATTCTTCTCATTCTTTGCAATCCTCCTCTCAAGCTGCCGCGGTGGGACCGAAGCAGAGGTTTGTGTACACTTTGAATCTAACTTGAAAAGTAGGCAAAATTATTTTTTCGGTTATTACGAAAAAAAGAAAGTGAAAACTTAGTTATACGATGACTGTTTAGTTACACTTTTATTACCTTCTCGTTTTCTTTGTGTGCAATTTTATGATCATTCAATTGATTGTACATTTCCATTGACGACAGAATAAATGCGATTTAGCTTTTACAATCGTTTTTTGGGGGAGGATGTCAAGGTGGCCTACACCATTTGTACAATGGAATATTGGACTACAAAATCGGGTGAGGAAAATCACTGTCGAGAAAAAAAACGAAGATCATTGTGAAACAATCGTGTTTTGCTTTCACTTTTAGTTAGTTCAGGAATAAATATTTTTTATGAAATTAGTTAAAGCAAACGACACATTTTCATATAGGATTTAATTAATGTATACTACAATCAAATTCCGATTTTTAAAAAAAAGGACTGTCACATAGGCCTGCGCGGCTACATCGCGGTGCGTTTATTGGCTGAGTGCATTCCAAAGTGCGCCCGAGCGTCAGTTCACCTTGAACAGTGAACTCAAGTGATCGAATGCCCTGTTCGAGAACAATGTCTGCAAGTATGCATACATGCTGGTTGACGAAATATGACTGCGTGCGTGATAAAGTGAGAGGTTTTGTCAGGCAAGAACAACCTGTTGAACTCTTTGATTGATGCGTAAAATAAAGCCATAAAAGCTCAATGAGGAAACACCTGTTGATTAGGTGTTGGGAATGAAAGAAGTGAAATTTTCGATTGAATCTATGTCCTCCTTGTATTTCTTTCAGTTCTGTACACATTATATTTATAGCTTCAATGCTGAAAATGTCTACAGATGTACGATCTTAATATGAGCCAGTTTGCTACAGCAGGGAAAAAATCTTGCAGCAAAAAATAATCTTGCATAATTATTATGTGGATTATAATTAATGGACATTTTTATAGGTGTTGATACATTTTTCGCAAATACACTACACGTTTAAAATGTCCTGCATTGCAGAAAGTTCTCCTGCAACAGGGTGTTCAAATGAAAATCCTACATCTGTAGAGAGAAAGAGGATGGAGAGAGCTTTCCAGTTCATCCCTCATTTCCAGTTATTTTAGTGTTTTTGTGTACTACCATTTAGTAGTTAATGCTGCTATACTGTAGATTGACAGCATACATATTTGTTATTTTGTTGTTTTATTAGGATCCCCATTAGCTATTGCAAAAGCTGCAGCTAATCTTCCTGGGGTCTACATTAAACATGACATAATAAAGAACAATAATAGACAAGAACAGCTGAAGGACAGAGCTACATACATTTAAAATAAACAGTAGGAAACAGGTAAAGGCCTTTTTTTTTTCAGGCAAAGTGAAGATGGCTGCAGGTAAAGCACGCATCGGGCATCTGGCCCCTGACTTCACGGCCAAAGCAGTGATGCCAGACGGCCAGTTCAAAGACATCAGCATGTCTGATTACAGAGGTTGGTAGGCGTACTACAACGCTTCATAATATTCTGAACCTGAACTGTCTTTGTTTTTGCTCTGTGTGCTAGGATTTGTGGCTGGTTTCATGATTTTACAGTTTATTATTACAGTAATGACCTATTAGTTACACTGAATGTATTCATTGCTTCCGGGCTCCATTTGAATTCGATAAGTGTCTAATAGTGTGTCTATCTTGTGTTTGTGTCCTGTGCTGCCTGCCTGCAGGGAAGTATGTGGTGTTCTTCTTCTACCCGCTGGACTTCACCTTTGTGTGCCCCACTGAGATCATCGCCTTCAGTGACGCTGCCGAGGAGTTCAGGAAGATCGGCTGTGAGGTCATTGGTGCCTCTGTTGATTCCCACTTCTGCCATCTTGCCTGGTACTTGAAACTTTTTAACTTTGCAAAAAAAATGTGCCCTTCGAAAATGACGCCCTAGGTGACGCAGAATAAGTTACAGTGCAGCTAGTGCAGTGCTGTTGTTCTCCCTGCGCACAGAAACCCCTTTCCTACTATCCCTGTCCCGTCTGCATACCACGACTGGCAGGGATGCTTGGTCTCAGACAAAACAAAAAGACAGTCTCTTACTCTCTCTCTCTGTGTGTGTGTGTTCTTAAAGGACCAACACACCTCGTAAGCAGGGCGGTCTGGGTGCCATGAAGATCCCTCTGGTAGCCGACACACTGCGTTCCATCTCCACGGACTACGGGGTGCTGAAGGAGGACGAGGGCATCGCCTACAGGTGGGTTCACAACAGAAAAAGTTCAAGGGTCAAAGTTCAGTGTCTCTATGACCGACTGGGTCCAAACCCGGGTAACGTGCACAACACAAGACTGTGTTAATAGCCTGCTAAGCTAAAGCCTAGGCATTGGTTTGGGGAGCTAACACAAGTCATCAGGTTTCAGGCAAGGTTACATATCACGCAAGCATTGTTCACCGAACCACCTCTGTTGCATATGTCTGATCCTGTAGGTTTACAAAAAATAAATTCAATTTATTCCCTGTTTGCTTTTTCAGGGGCCTCTTCATCATTGACGACAAGGGCGTCTTGAGGCAGATCACCATCAATGACCTGCCAGTGGGACGCTCCATTGACGAGACCCTGCGTCTGGTGCAAGCCTTTCAGTTCACTGACAAACACGGAGAAGGTACATGACTACCCCTGCTGACTTTTTGTTTTCCAAAAACCATGCCACCTTATCCAGCATGGAATTAGCCCAAGCTGTTGCAGTGCCATATTTCAGCCTGGTCTCATAGACTAGATGTAACACAGTAAACTAAAATCTGGGATACTCAAATTAGTATGATATGTTATGTTTGGTATGGTTACATAAGACAGAAGGTTACTTAAGGCAAAAACGAAAGGAGGGTGGTTGGTCGGGGTGGATGGGTGGGCGTATAACTAGGGCCGAGACGATACCAGTATCGCAATACTCGTTAGTATCGTGGCTAGGGTGACCACATGTCCTGGATTGTGCGGGACAGTTCCACATTTTGGCCCTTTGTCCCGCGAACCGCAACCAAACAATCATGTCCCGCATTTTATCAACAAATTCAAACACCACTCATTTAGAAAAGAAGGTTGATTTGTCCCGTATTTCAGTCAAACATTCCAACCTGTCTCTTGCAGTCACGTTGTGCTTATGAAAATATATACAGTATATCATGAGGATGTGGTAGCCTACTAGTGATGTTAAACACTTCTCCAATCGTTGTTGAGATCTGATATTCTGCGCAGCGCAAGACAAGAGGTAGGCCAATGTCATAGGCCTATTGTCAACCAATCATATTTCTTAAATCCTTTCAGGCTAAATTTCAGCTAAACCTGTAGAGGACAGTTAGCCTTGCTACTTACAAGAAGTGTGCGTCTGATGAAGTAAGTAAATAACCGTATTAGATTGAAAGATATAATGTAATTTCATCTAACTTGTGAAGCTCTCCATGCTCATTAGTTGCGCATTCAACATATTTGGTGCTACTTCACTCACCAACCAGAAATGTTTCCTTGGCTAAATATTCCCAGATTTTCAGAAAACAGCCACACATGTGGTCTCTCGTTTCTGCATCACCAAAATGTATTTAGGAAAACAGCCCTAATGTAGGAAACCAACATTATGTTGTCATCCAGTCACATTTATTTATTTTCCAAGCAATAGCACACAATATTTTACATACAGCAGGTTTTTAAAGGACCAGAGTTTGGTCTGCTTTGTGTTTTCATTTTTGCCAATAAAAAAATATCACGATACTGGTGACCCAAAGGTTGCGTGTTCGAATCTCGTCACGGACATCTTGAGCATTTTAGCTAATTAGCAACTTTGCAACGACTTATTACTTTTTAGCTACTTTGCAACAACTTAGCATGTTAGCTAACCCTTCCCCTAACCATAACTCTTAACCTGAACCCTAACCCCTGGCCTAGCTAACATTAGCCACCTAACTAACGTTAACGTTAGCAACCTAGCCACCTAGCTAACGTTAGCCACAACAAATTGGAATTTGTAACATATCATACGAATTGTAATTCGTTACTATGTTACCTGAGTCCAGGTTGCATATTTTAATATGTACCATCAGCAATCACATACACCCTTTTTAGGTAACATCCCAGGTTTGTATGGACTGGGAATGATAGGCTGATAGTATATATCGTTATAAACTCAGGTTCAAAGTGTGTTTTGCTTATCATACTGCACTGTACTGAGACTCACACTTCTTCTCTGGTGTTTCCTCTCAGTCTGTCCTGCCGGCTGGAAACCAGGAAGTGACACAATCAAGCCCGACGTGCAGAAGAGCAAAGACTTCTTCTCCAAGCAGCAGTAAGACGACGCATGTCTGAAGCCTGCTGTAGGACAGCTAGAATTACAGTACATTTCAAGAGAACAATGGTGAAGAGCAGTAGCCTACCTCTGTGCCTGGGAACTGTAGAACAACATCTTCAGCATCCCCTTATCTGTCATGTGTTTGGGTAGAGTGGAAATTATTATGACCAAAGTATGAAGATTATATTAAAGTAGAGCTTGGAGGTGTTTTACATTTACATTTTAGTCATTTAGCACACGCTCTTATTTTAGTGTCATTGATGTTGGTCTATTTTATTCTGCTGTATCATTTTTGTAACATCTGAGGTGGACATTTGTTTTTGCCTTTAGGCCACAGAGATAGTCTGTGAAATGAGGAACAGAAGCTTTACAGGAAAAAACTTGAGGCGAGAACTCAGATGTTTTTGTTTCTTTATTTACTACTCAATGTAATTTCATCTTCTAAATAAAAACTTTTACAAAGCAAATAACGTTTATTTCTTGCCATGCTTGATAATAATAATACACTAAACACGTTTTTAAATTACGTTCTGTATTACCTATTATGATTCAATTGAAATATGGGTTAATTGAAAAATGTGCTTAACAGTTGTAATAAGAATTTGAGACCGCATCCAAGATGTCCGACCGTTGTTTTCAAGGTAATCTACTCATGTTCGCATAGGTAGATTCATGGACCGTCTAAATGTGGGTTACTTCCGGTTTAATGATGCTGTAGGATTGCGGCCAGCACTAGCAAATCAAACGAATCATGACTCTCGAGTCAGTAAAAAGAGTCGTTCAAAAAGAACGAATCGTTCGCGAACTGCACATCACAACAGGTGCGCGCGTGCGGTGCTGCGTGTAGGTAATCACACCACCGTCTCGCGGTACATTTCACCTCAGGTTGAAGAACAAGGAGTTAGGTACGCTAGCTACTTAATGGGTTTGTCTATGACAAAAGGATATCAGATTAACATTAGCTACCTATAAACCGCAGACTTAATTTCACAATAAATACATAATTTTGAAATAATTGACATACTGTACATTTTGGCCGCTAGTTAGTTATCTAACGACAACCAACGACTTTCACGATGGCAGCTGGAAAGATGTGTAGCAGGCCAAAAAAACAGGAAACAGCAGAGGTATGACAACGAAACACTCGATTAATATGAGCTTGTGTAAATCTATATAAAATGAATATATTTTTCACTTAGTGAAACGGAGAAAACGTTAAATCTCTGCAATGACATTAGCTAGCTAGTTTACGTTAGTTTTGTCATCAGTCAGTCATCTGGCGTCCTCAAGTGGTCTTGCATGAGAACTGCACTGTCATTGAAGATCCCACCAGATTTGGAAATCGATTTTTTAAAATGATTTTCCCCCTCTGTAGTGGACCAGCTTATTTCAAAACGAACTGAAAACTGAAGAAAAGTCCCTGGTCTTCGTGAAGCGAATGATGGCCCTCGCCGTTTCTTCCATCACATATCTCAGAGGAATATTCCCTGAAGAAGCCTACAGATCTCGATATCTAGAAGGTGATGTGAGGGCAGTTAAGGTTATTTTCGAAAGACATGTTGTTTAAAAATGTTGTAAACAAGCACACACATAAGTGTGGTACCACACAACCAAAATAATACTGTCTTTATCATAGTGTATTTTTCAGCAACTGTTTTTGTGTATCCACCAGATTTATGCATAAAAGTTTTACGAGAAGACTGCACAACGCCTGGTGTCTGCAAAATTGTAAAGTGGTAAGTACACTATTTTGCGAGACAGACATAATTCAAGTTCATACAAACAGCAGCTGCCCACATCAGACAACACTCAAATTTCATATGATGGTGGTTCATATTCTGACATTAAATTATTATTTTGAAGGCTGATGGGCTGTTTCGACGCATTAGAGAGAGGATATGTAAGTACAGGGCCTTATGGTTCTTTTGAATGTGTGTTTCATCACTTTGTTTTGTTTTAACAGACAACTTGTGGCTATTTTCTTTTTACAGCTTCAGGTTGTGTTCATTGGGGTAGGTGAATCTAAGCAACAATGTGTATTTTCCAAATACATATTTTGTCCTCAACTGTTGTATTTAAAAATGGTCTCACTATTTCAATTAAATGGAAACTTTATAATTTGATATGCAGGTCTGCACCAATCCAGATAACCCCAACGTAAGTTCTCACTCCTTAAAACCCTTCACACACACAAACCTAAGTTCCCTGAAGTTCCATTGCCTCTAAAATGTTAATGGTTGCTCCTCCCTCCATTAGTGCATCATCGAGTCATACCAGTTCAAGTTCACATACACAGACAAAGGACCACAGATGGACATTCTGAGGTGAATTTGCTGCTTCAAACCTCTGTCTTCTCATTTAAGCATTGATTCAGCCTAAGATAAATAGCTGATCTCCTTTTGAATCCCCAGAAACCAGAATGTGGAGATGCAGGTCACGATGGAGGATACCAAGAAGGCCTCTGTCCTCTTGATCAGGAAGCTGTTTCTCCTCATGCAGAACCTGGACGTGCTCCCCAATGATGTCTGCCTCACCATGAAGCTCTACTACTTCGACGACAGTAAGGCAAATCCCTTTGTTTTTCTTGACAGTAGGGGTTACTACTGTATATGTGTTACAGTGACCGTATTACCGCCACACCATCAGTCAGGAGTCATGATTGCAGTCAAATTCCATGTGACTGGAGTCACGGTAACTAGGCTTCTCCAAAACTGCGCTCTGATGCTTCTGATGGTCGTTAGTAGCCTACCAAACTCGCTAACGGCCAGTCGCTAATAGCCGGTACTCAGCGTTCTATTGTCCCACTAATCACTCTGACATGAATGCAAATGCAATCGAAAATTAAATCAAAACACTTCATGAGAGCCCTGGCATTCAGAGTTTGAGCGGAATAGGATCACCTGTTGCGCAGTGAGTGCCAGCCCCTCATAGCTGGTTGATGCATGGAATGAAATACATTTTCCTGTTGCGCAACATTTCTATAGGCTATGCAATTGCGTGAGAAAACCGAGTTTTGATGGCCTCTATTAAAAATAGGAAGATCCCACAAGCTTTCTATAGGCTAGGCCTACAATATTTATTTCTCAACTTTCCTAATATTAAGCACATTGCTTCAATTTACAACCGAAGTAGCCTACCTGGCTGGCATGAAAATTAATGTCATTTTTTTTACCTTGTCCCTGTTCTGACAGGTGCATGATAATGGCCCATTCTAAATCAAAACCAATTTTACACATATTATTTAGTACAGTGGGGAAAAAAAGTATTTAGTCAGCCACCAATTGTGCAAGTTCTCCCACTTAAAAAGATGAAGAGAGGCCTGTAATTTTCATCATAGGTACACGTCAACTATGACAGACAAATTGAGCATTTTTTTCTCCAGAAAATCACATTGTAGGATTTTTTATGAATTTATTTGCAAATTATGGTGGAAAATAAGTATTTGGTCACCTACAAACAAGCAAGATTTCTGGCTCTCACAGACCTGTAACTTCTTCTTTAAGAGGCTCCTCTGTCCTCCACTCGTTACCTGTATTAATGGCACCTGTTTGAACTTGTTATCAGTATAAAAGACACCTGTCCACAACATCAAACAGTCACACTCCAAACTCCACTATGGCCAAGACCAAAGAGCTGTCAAAGGACACCAGAAACAAAATTGTAGATATGCACCAGGCTGGGAAGACTGAATCTGCAATAGGTAAGCAGCTTGGTTTGAAGAAATCAACTGTGGGAGCAATTATTAGGAAATGGAAGACATACAAGACCACTGATAATCTCCCTCGATCTGGGGCTCCAAGCAAGATCTCACCCCGTGGGGTCAAAATGATCACAAGAACGGTGAGCAAAAATCCCAGAACCACACGGGGGGACCTAGTGAATGACCTGCAGAGAGCTGGGACCAAAGTAACAAAGCCTACCATCAGTAACACACTACGCCGCCAGGGACTCCTGGACTCCTGCAGTGCCAGACGTGTCCCCCTGCTTAAGCCAGTACATGTCCAGGCCCGTCTGAAGTTTGCTAGAGTGCATTTGGATGATCCAGAAGAGGATTGGGAGAATGTCATATGGTCAGATGAAACCAAAATATAACTTTTTGGTAAAAACTCAACTTGTCGTGTTTGGAGGACAAAGAAAGTTGCATCCAAAGAACACCATACCTACTGTGAAGCATGGGGGTGGAAACATCATGCTTTGGGGCTGTTTTTCTGCAAAGGGACCAGGACGACTGATCCGTGTAAAGGAAAGAATGAATGGGGCCATGTATCGTGAGATTTTGAGTGAAACCTCCTTCCATCAGCAAGGGCATTGAAGATGAAACGTGGCTGGGTCTTTCAGCATGACAATGATCCCAAACACACCGCCCGGGCAACGAAGGAGTGGCTTCGTAAGAAGCATCTCAAGGTCCTGGAGTGGCCTAGCCAGTCTCCAGATCTCAACCCCATAGACAATCTTTGGAGGGAGTTGAAAGTCCGTGTCGCCCAGCGACAGCCCCAAAACATCACTGCTCTAGAGGAGATCTGCATGGAGGAATGGGCCAAAATACCAGCAACAGTGTGTGAAAACCTTGTGAAGACTTACAGAAAACGTTTGACCTGTGTCATTGCCAACAAAGGGTATATAACAAAGTATTGAGAAACTTTTGTTATTGACCAAATACTTATTTTCCACCATAATTTGCAAATAAATTCATTAAAAATCCTACAATGTGATTTTCTGGATTTTTTTTCCTCATTTTGTCTGTCATAGTTGACGTGTACCTATGATGAAAATTACAGGCCTCTCTCATCTTTTTAAGTGGGAGAACTTGCACAATTGGTGGCTGACTAAATACTTTTTCCCCCCACTGTATATGTAAAGACAAGATTCAATTGACAATAGTCTGAATGGTGAGAATATTATCACAGTGCATGCATTTTTATGGGGGCTTTTTCAAATCATAGTCGCATGCATCATGTAGCCTAGCCTATAGGCCTATATGTTTGGCAAAGGTTTGTATCACAACTGAAGTGGCCAAATAACTCCAAACGTAGCCTATAGGCCCAAGACCCCTGGAACATGGTTGGAGAGCCAGCCCATAGACCAGGGTTCCCCAACTGGCGGCCCGGGGGCCAAATCTGTCCCACCAGCAATATTATTTGGCCCCCCAAATGAATTATGAAAAATAAAAATCTTGGACCTGAGATGTAAAAAGGCCCAAATGCAATGTCCAAAGAAGGAAGTGACCCTACCTAAATAATGCAAAAGTTACATTTTAATTAATGAGGAGTGAGAATGCAGGAGACAGTCAACTAATAAAGCAGGCAGCGGACCTTTTATGGTGCTGAAACGTAAAGCTGCAACTGCCACGCAATCAGTAGGAGGCGCATGGTGCTGAAAATATAGCTAACTTGTTATGCAAGTGGCGCCCAGCAACAGATGGAGAAAAACTACACCAGTCGAGTAATTCATTTCAACAATAATCTTCATTTTAATTTGACTTTACAAACAACAAGAGGGCTTAATTGGAGTCTATTTCTTCCGAGCCAAGGTCCATATAAAATAACTTAACTGGCTGAGGTAGGCTATGTGGCTTAATAGCATCATCATTCACCCCCCCCCAAAAATGGCCAAATAGAAGTGGGATTTTTTTATTTATTAGGCCTACTTAGAATTGCAACTGGCCAAAAACGTAGCATCCTACATAAAACAATAATTTAAAGAAAAAAAGACTATGTCTGTGTCTGAATGTCTGTAATGGGAGTATCGGGATAACGTGCTCCTGTAATGACAAAACAAACAGAAAATACTGTCAGCATGAGACCTAAAATAGCCATGGAAAAGCACTAATAATAGGATCACGCACAAACGCAATGATATCCTTGGGCATGCTGTAGTCTTCAAATCTGGTGGAGAAGTTGTCCTTCAGGTGATTGATAAAATCTTCCATCACCTCTGTGACAATGCTGCGGCCTGGTCCCTCTGCCTGTCGTTTCTTCAGTGTGCTGAAGTGCAGTAGCCTTCCAGATGACAAGTCCAAATCGAACAACTCAAGCTTACTAGTAAAGGCCTCAAGTTTTTCCACCATGTGGTTGAAAACTGTTGTCCCTCTTCCTTGTAACTGCAGATTTAACCCTTTAAGTGACAGAATATGTCAGCCAAAAAAGCAACATTAGAGAGGAATTCCTCAATCTCCAGAATACGAAAGTGGTCAAATGCTGCCCTCATTTAGCTTTTTCTGAGAAAATACACAACCTGGTCATGCAGCTCACAGAATCGCTCTAGAGCTTTTCCTTTAGTCAGCCAGCGCACGTCGTTGTGAAGCAGGAGATCATCGTGGGTGGCCTCCTCTGATTCTGTCACAAGCTTGCGGAAAAGACGGTGTTGGGTGCTTGATGTCCCCCTGACAAAGTTGATTATGCGCATTACTTTATCCATCACATCTTTTAGCTCACCGTTTAGTCTGGTACACAGCACACTGATGGATGAGACAATGCAAGCCATTCATTTGTGGGGCGATTTCCTTCAACCTGCTGACCAGGCCCCTGTGTCTGCCCACCATAGCAGGAGCCCCGTCAGTGACCATAAAGTTGACTTTTTCGAATGACAGGCCATGCTGCGTAAACAATTCTTCCAGCTTTGTGAATATGATGTCCCTGGTAGATCATTTTTAAAGTCATTTCCATGAAAAGAACAGACATATACACACAATTGTGCTACATCGGTGTTGTCAGTACTCTCATCAATAGCCAGGGAAAAATGCTCAGCCTGACTGAGCCCCACCAGAATAATCCTATGCACATCATCTGCCAGTGCATAGACGAGCGGCTGGCTGTTGACGCAGACAGGGGCACCTGTTTGACAGACGCAATTATGCAATCCGTAGACTTCTTGGTAGCAAATTCCTCCAAAACTGTCACCATGCACTTTTTAAATACCTCCGCATCTGTGAAGGGCATGTTGTGTTTGGTTAGAACCCAGGACGCTTTTAGGGAGGCACTTGTGACCTTCTGTTGTTGGGTCAGGCCACGAAGGAGGATTCTGCTGTCGTGTGTGTAGCTTGCAGTTAATGCTTCAATGTTTCTGCGTCGGGCCTCTGTCTGGGGCGGGAAGGCCACTTTGAAAGTACCATGCTTAGATTCATAATGCCATCTAAGATTTAATTATTTGCAAACAGCGACATTTTCATTGCAAATAAGACACACTGGCTTGACATTGGAGAAAGATGGTAAGATGAACGCATATTTCTCTGTCCATTCTTCCCTGAAACTTAGATTTTCATTATCCACCTTTCTTTTGATACTTTTTGAGAGCAACATCTTCTCTTGCCATCAAGCTAATTGTTCTGAACGAATGTTGACATTAAAAAAAGTAGTGTAGACTACAGTAGGCTACGTAGAACTGTTTATCCCCACCAATCAACGCACAGAGAAATAGAAAAAAAATAATAATTGAAGAGACATTGGTGATTTTATGAGCTTAATCAGATCGAAGTTATTATGTTATTGTCACTGAATGTATTATGTACTAATCAGATGTGTTACAAATGTTGTGCAATTTGTAGTGAGGCCTATTAATGGTGCTAATATTATATGCTAATTATGTTCTGGCCCGCCTACTATTAGCTCAGAGAAAATTTGGCCCAAGGCCAAACCTAGTTGACGAACCCTGCCATAGACTACAGAGCCTAGTGAAACTTGTTCTTATAAGCCCAGTCATTGCGCAATCGTGTGTGAAAACAGAGTTTTGACTGACCACTATTTAATAAAAGTGGATCCCAGCTCTCTCGTGCTGCTATATTTATTGCTCAATTCTGACAAATTAAGCACATTAATCCGCTTTACAAATGGTGTAGCCTACCTGGCATATTAAAAATGTAACTGCACATAACCTCCATTTGCTATTTGAGTGCAGGCTATGGATGATATATATATATATTTTCTGTGGGCCATTCTAGATCCAAAATAATTCCACACATACAGTACCAGTCAAAAGGTTGGACACACCTACTCATTCAAGGGTTTTTCTTTATTTTTACTATTTTCTACATTGTAGAATAATAGTGAAGACATCAAAACTATGAAATAACACATATGGATTCATGTAGTAACCAAAAAAGTGTTAAACAAATCAAAATAAATTTGAGATTATTCTAAGTAGCCACCCTTTGCCTTGATGACAGCTTTGCATACTCTTGGCATTCTCTCAACCAGCTTCATGAGGTAGTCACCTGGAATGCATTTAAATTAACAGGTGTGCCTTGTTAAAAGTGAATTTGTTGAATTTCTTTCCTTCTTAATGCGTTTGAGCCAATCAGTTGTGTTGTGACAAGGTAGGGATGGTATACAGAAGATAGCCCTATTTGGTAAAAGACCAAGTCCATATTATGACAAGAACAGCTCAAATAAGCAAAGAAAAATGACAGTCCATCATTACTTTAAGACATGAAGGTCAGTCAATCCGGAAAATGTCAAGAACTTTTAAAGTTTCTTCTAGTGCAGTCACAAAAACCATCAAGCGCTATGATAAAACTGGCTCTCATGAGGACCGCCACAGGAAAGGAAGACCGAGAGTTACCTCTGCTGCAGAGGATATGTTCATTAGAGTTAACTGCACCTTAGATTGTAGCCCATATAAATGCTTCACAGAGTTCAAGTAACAGACACATCTCAACATCAACTGTTCAGAGTAGACTGCGTGAATCAGGCCTTCATGGCCGAATTGCTGCAAAGAAACCACTACTAAAGGATACCAATAAGAAGAAGAGACTTGCTTGGGCCAAGAAACACGAGCAATGGACATTAGACCGGTGGAAATCTGTTGTTTGGTCTGATGAGTCCAAATTTGAGATTTTTGGTTCCAACCGCCGTGTCTTTGTGAGATGCAGAGTAGGTGAATGGATGATCTCCGAATGTGTGGTTCCCACCGTGAAGCATGGAGGAGATGTGATGGTGTGGGGGTGCTTTGCTGGTGACACTGTTGGTGATTTATTTAGATTTCAAGGCACACTTAACCAGCATGGTTACCACAGCATTCTGCAGCGATACGCCATCCCATCTGGTTTGCGCTTAGTATGAATATCATTTGTTTTTCAACAGGACAATGACCCAACACACCTCCAGGCTGTGTAAGAGCTATTTGACCAAGAAGGAGAGTGATGGAGTGCTGCATCAGATGACCTGGCCTCCACAATCACCCAACCTCAACCCAATTGAGATGGTTTGGGATGAGTTGGACCACAGAGTGAAGGAAAAGCAGCCAACAAGTGCTCAGCATATGTGGGAACTCCTTCAAGACTGTTGGAAAAGCATTCCTTATGAAGCTGGTTGAGAGAATGCCAAGAGAGTACAAAGCTGTCATCAAGGCAAAGGGTGGCTACTTTGAAGAATCTAAAATATATTTTGATTTGTTTAACACTTTTTTGGTTACTACATGTTATTTCATAGTTTTGATGTCTTCACTATTATTCTACAATGTAGAAAATAGTAAAAAATAAAGAAAAACCCTTGAATGAGTAGGTGTGTCCAAACCTTTGACTGGTACTGTACATTAGTAGGCTATACGTAAAGACCAGATTAAATTGAGAATAGTGCTTGTCAAATTGTGAATGAGATTGATGAAGTGTGTGCAGCCTGCGCAAGAAACAGAGCAGCGCGCTTCCCTTTTATGTGACTTTTTTCATGCAGCCTTAGAATGTATTAGAAATCAAAACATATAGTGTAAGGTTTGTATCACAACTAAAGTTGCATAAATAACTCTAAATGAAGCATATAGGAGGACCTGTTTCTTTGTTAACTGCTCAACACAGAATAGCCGCATGTGCACACCCTCGAAAATCATTTGGGGAAAAATATCCTTTCCATTTTATTCAGCTATGTTCAATTGTATTGTTCATACTATAAAATAATATAATGCCACGGGAATTATAAGCAAATCTTGCCTGCTAAATTAATTAGTGTAGCCCACAGCCAGATGGCATAGCCAGATCAGGGCCTAACATAAGACTCAGAATATGCTCTTCTGTTCATCTGAAATAGGTTACATTTTCTTCATATGTTTCTTTAGACCTGCCTAAAATAATTTATTGTGATGCTGTAGGCTATATTATATGGGTTTATTAGACTTTTTTTAAATGTAGATGTTCCAAAGGTGTGCATCAGTGGCTTGTAGGCTATGAGTGGAAGCCGGAGCTGCTAAACGTGTTTATGTTAATTAACGTCAATTACTGTGAGACTGGCAGTTATTTGAATGACAATCATCGGCTGACAAAATGTCATGACCGCCACAGCCCTATATATGCATAATATTGGAACCTCAACAAGCCAGATATAAATTATTGGGTCACGTCTTTCGTATCCCTTCATACACACAGTAATTGACTAAAGCAAATTCTTCTCATTTCATTCATTGTAGTCCTAGTCAAATACAATGTCTCTTTGTTGTATTACATTATGCAGTAGTCTAATAGGACTTACAAAGCTCACAAAGTATGATGTTCAGTTAGTCAGTCAATCAATCATGAATTATTCCATAATTTTTCCTTCCTCTCTCCCCAGTCACCCCTGCTGACTATGAGCCTCCGGGTTTCAAGGAGGGGGTGAACGACAACCTGTGGTTCGAGGGCATGGCGGTGCACTTCAGAGTAGGTGAGGTGCACACCCCTTTCCACACCCTGAAGGTGAGGGTGGCGGCGGAGCAGGGCCGTGTGGAGAAGCTGCAAGAGGGGAACTACCTGAGGGAGGGTCAGTTCTCCACGGCTACGCGGAGCACTCTGCAAGGGCTGGCGGAAACCGGTGCACAGGTGGGCTGTTCTAAACTAAAGCACAAATAGCATGGCTAACTTGAACACGTTTGATCTGAAGACAGGAGTCTCCACACACTTAGATCAATACAAATAATGAAATGTGCCAACTGCCAAGTTTTCAGTCACAGTAGATTGCTGATATTTACTGTCTTGTTTGATTATTCACAGGATCCAGACGATGAGAGATACAAGGAAGATGAGTTTCCCTCTGAAGATGGTAATAGGGAATGATAATCACATCAATCTCTTTTACTTTCTTCGTATGAAACCTGGATGCGTTTTATGGTATAAATACCGATAAAATAACGAAATAACTAATTGTAACATATCAATAATTGCTTCTTTTTCTTCTCTTAACAGAGTCTGCACAGTTCAAGAAACCAAAGAAACCTGTGGCAAAGGTAAGTAATTTGGTGGGCAGTTGGTTGGTTGTGGTCAACAATGGTTTCCGTGTTGTGTTTTTGCAAGTTACAGTCAATAGGACTTGGAGGAAGAGAAGATAGAGCTGCATGGGTGAACAGCAGCACAATGGTGTAAAAACGACATTCTTTCAAACACAGAGGAAAGGTGCTGCCAATAAACTGGCAAAGAAAAAAGGAAGAAAGGAGCAGTAAAAATGTTTTTATGAAGACAGCAGTGAAGACCCTGCTTCATCAGCTTCCTGTCAGACACAGTAAACATGAATGTGGAACGAGGATGTAACTTCCTCATTAGATTACAAGGATTTTACTCACCAAGCATGTTTACATGAATGTTTAATTTCTATGCCTGTTTGAACATTTTGTGGACAGACTATTAATACCCAAGTAGTAAATAAGTAAATTATTTTGTTGCAGTTCATTGCTTATACAACACATAATATATAGCTACAATATCTTAATAGACATTTCTAATATATTATCCCATTCATAGGAAAATCAATTCCATTTGTTTTATTGTACCTGTACATTTCTTTATTACATTTACATTTTAGTCATTTAGCAGACGCTCTTATCCAGAGCGACTTACAGGAGCAATTAGGGTTAAGTGCCTTGCTCAAGGGCACATCGACAGATTTTTCACCTAGTCGGCTCGGGGATTAGAACCAGCGACCTTTCGGTTACTGGCACTACGCTCTTAACCACTAAGCTACCTGCCGCCCCTTTATACTTTGTTCTTTAACTTTTCTTTTATATGGAATGAATTAAAAACCTATGATATTGATGCTGGTTCCAAATGTGATGCCTGAAATACAGTATGTGATAAGTATGGTATTTATGGAATTAAAGCTTTACTTCAAAGCCCATTTATAAACTTGTCAAGCATATTAATAAAGAAATGAAAAAGGGTGAAATGAAAACATACATGCACACAACTTTGAAATGGTAAACATTTATATAATGATACATACAAAGTACAAGTGATTATGTACAATTGTACAAAGCATTGAATTACAGAAATGGAAAACGTCTGTGGTAGACTACATCCATTGGCAAACAGCGACACATGATGCAAGAATGACAAAATGGGACAAAAAGTGCAACTTCTGCACCACATGCTGCATAGTGTCAAGTACTTTTTTTATGTTAGGCATCCATAGTTATGAGAATCAATTTAGCAAATATTTTGTTACAAAATATCAAGGCACGACTTTCGATTTATCCATTTGGCTCAGAACGGAGATCATCTTATCACAGTATTTTTTGAGAATAATTAAGCTAAACTCTATCAGAGATGGAGATATTACTGTATATCCTTCATTCAACTACCTACGTACCAGAGTTAAAGCTCCACTTCTTTCACTGGGAGACCTTTTTCTGGCTCAGGACGCTGGTATTTCATCCCAGAGAACGTCTCTGAGTTGCATGACTCCATTGACGTTTAAAAGAGACTGTCAACGTCCCCCATCTCCACAAACACAGTCTTCATTTGTGTGTAGTGCTCTACGGTCACCTGACCGTTCTCTCTCCCTATGCCTGTGGAGAGACAACAGCAAAATGTTTATTCTTCTTGACACGCTATTATTACTGTTGTTGACAATAGTCTACCTAACACAAAATACTGTGGAAAATGGAAATGAAAAGGCGTTCAAACAAACCAACGTGATTGCTACACTACAAATAACAACCCCTACATGTTTATAATTCTGATACTCCCATAGAGGAAAATAACAGGTATCTGGTGTGAATACGGTAGGACTGTACCTGACATCTTGAAACCTCCGAAGGGCACTTCCACAGGGGTGATGTTATAGTTGTTGATGAAGCAGGATCCAGCCTTCAGCTGTTCCACTACACGGTGTGCTCGCTTCACGTCACTACAGGCCAGACACATGGCAACAAGCAGGTCAAACACTGAAGTGGGATTAAATGTGTACCTCAACCTGAAGGGTGGTGCTCAGGGTATAATGTAGCAAAACATTTTGAAACTGAAAAAGGAACACTGACTGTTCTTATTTTACAACTCCAGGTAGTACCGTTCTGTTTCACTCAGTTTCAAAAACGTTCTCCCTATAGAACACAACCCTGATAACTGTGTTGTATGATATCATCACCTGGTGAAGACCCCTGCAGCCAGGCCCAGGGCAGAGTCGTTGGCCCTCAGCAAAGCTTCCTCCTCTGTTTCAAATGACAACACAGACATCACAGGCCCAAAGATCTCCTCCTTCACACACGTCATGTTGTCCGTGCAGTTGCCTATGGCCAAGAGATGCAGGGACAAGAGGGAGAGAAAGAAAGTAAATCAGTACAATGGGTATTGGAGAAAGAGACTATAAATACTCACCTATGTATGCATTTGGACAGTGATGCTAAAAAGTGAAATTTGTCTATACTCCAGCATTTTGGATTTGATATATGTTGCATATGAGGTGACAGTACAGAATGTCACCTTTTATTTGAGGGTATTTTCATACATATCTGATTTAGAAATGAAAGCACTTTATTGATCTACTCCCCCCGTTTGAAGATTTTGGACAAATTTCACTTACTATATTAAAGTAGTCAAAAGTGTAGTATTTGGTTCCATATTCCTTGCACACAATGACTACATCAAGCTTGTGACTAGAGGTCTTCAAGGATCCACCTGTACCCAAATACCTGAGACAGGGCCCGCGTGGGTCCGGATCCAGAATTCAAAATAATGTCACGGGTCTGGGTTGGCTCTGATATGATTGTCACGGGTCTCGGGTACAGTGGCTTGCGAAAGTATTCACCCCTTTGGCATTTTTCCTATTTTGTTGCCTTACAACCTGGAATTAAAATAGATTTTTGGGGGGTTTGTATTATTTGATTTACACGGCATGCCTACCACTTTGAAGATGCAAAAATATTTGTTATTGTAAAACAAGAAATAAGACAAAGAAACAGAAAACTTGAGCGTGCATAACTATTCTGGTGGTCTGCCCTCTCTTGGAAGGTTTGTTGTGGTGCCATGTTCTTTCCATTTTTTAATAATGGATTTAATGGTGCTCCGTGGGATGTTCAAAGTTTCGGATACATTTTTTTAACCCAACCCTGATCTGTACTTCTCCACAACTTTGTCCCTGACCTGTTTGGAGAGCTCCTTGGTCTTCATGGTGCCGCTTGCTTGGTGGTGCCCCTTGCTTAGTGGTGTTGCAGACTCTGGGGCCTTTCAGAACAGGTGTATATATACACACTGAGATCATGTGACAGATCATGTGACACTTAGATTGCACTAATTAATTATGTGACTTCTGAAGGTAATTGGTTGCACCAGATCTTATTTAGGGGCTTCATAACAAAGGGGGTGAATACATATGCACGCACCACTATTACGTTATTTATTTTTTTGCATTTTTTGAAACAAGTTATTTTTTTCATTCCACTTCACCAATTTGGACTATTTTGTGTATGTCCATTACATGAAATCCAAATAGAAATCAATTTAAATTACAGGTTGTAATGCAACAAAATAGGAAAAACGCCAAGGGGGATGAATACTTTTGCAAGGCACTGTATGTGCAATTTTAACTAAGTTGTCCGGAAGGACCCGTACAGATCCGAACGCGACTGCTGCAGTAGAGAGAGAAATTCTATAATTTATGCTGCTGCTCTTGCTTTTCACAGAGGCGCTTGTTGTTGTTGTTGGCCAATCATAAGTCATCAAAGCGCCAACAGGCTTCAGTCATAGAGCCTCCGTGTGTGGCAAAAGTTCGGAGATATCTAATCAATGGAAGATGGAATTAAAATATAATTAAAAGTTAAAAGAGAAGGATAGGCTTAAATGACCAAGCGCCAACAGGTAGGCTGCTACTTAATATTCTGAATGGAGTTGTTGTTATTTGTGAGAAAGCGCATGCACTGCAGCCTCATTTAGTCTAACGTTAGCTAGCTTAACGCAGTCAAGACAGGTACAACATAATCATATTTGAGGATAAATAACCTAGCTATGGCAGCTATTAGTCTACTATAGCATGAGTCAGCTTGGTTGGTTGCGGTCTCTCTCCCTGCTCCCGTGTCACTTGCTCACAGTATGGCCCCTCCCCCGCCTGCTAGAGCAGCACATTTTAATCATTTAGCAGACGCTCTTATCCAGAGCGACTTACAGTTAGTGAATGCATACATGTTTTTTTTTCTCCCATTTTTTTTTTTTCATACTGGCCCCCGTGGGAAACGAACCCACATCCCTGCCGGCATTTACAGCTTGTTTTGATTGTGTCACAGATTATGTTTTGTCCAATAGGAAGTGAATGGTGAATAATGTATTGTCTCATTTTGGAGTCACTTTTATTGTAAGTAAGAATAGAAGATGTTTGTGAACACTTCTATGTTAATGTAGATGCTACCATGATTATGGATAATCATGAATGAATCGTGAATGATGTTGTGTGAGAAAGTTACAGAGGGACAGAAATAATAGCCCCCAAAAATGCTAATCTCTTCATTATTGGTAATGGTGAGAGGTTAGCATGATTTGTTATAGCCTCTAACTTTCTCACTCATCATTATTCATTCATGATTTTTCTTAATCGTGGCATTATTAGGATTTATTTAGAAGTGTTCAGAAACATCTTATCTACACACTTAGAAAGGAAATTACTCCAGTCATCATTCCTATTGGGCAAAACATAACCCAAAACAAACTGCAAATGCATCCAACGAGTTTGTAGTGTCACAAGCTTGATGTAGTCATTGCGTGCTAGGAATATGGGACCAAATACTACACTTTTTGACTACTTTGGTACACTATAAGTGAAATTTGTCAGAATACTTATGACATCTTTAAACGGGGGGTCTAGTTCTATAAAGTGCTTTAATTTTTAAATTAGATATGTATGAAAATACCCTCAAATAAAAGGTGACATTCCGTACAGTCACCTCATATAAAACATTTGATCTCAAATCCAAAATGCTGGAGTATAGAGAGCCACATTTTTTATTTAAGCATCACAGTCTAAATACATAGGTAGGGGAGTGTACTTCAAATAGTCCATAATACTAAAACTAGGCTCACCCAATACACATGGTGTCATGTAGTATCCACCTCTGAGTTTGGGATCTAAAGGAACGAAGGGTTCTCCTCCACACAACACCTTGGCTCCCTAGAATCAGAGTCAAATGGTCTTACTTCAACATCACCTCAGTCATGCAGTCAGTAAAGCAGTCAATTTACTTGCCAGTGACATCATCTTCGCCCATTATTATTGGTCTGATCTGATTCTAACGGCTTACCAGGAACTTAAGATAATACTATTGAAAATAGGTACTTTTAGTCTCTTTGAATTGAAAAATCCAAAAAATTTTGCATATTTACACACAGCTCTGACACACACACTTACCCCACCAGACATGCCACCAGGGGTCTTTTCACAGTCCCCAAATTCAGAACAAAATCAAGAAAGCGTACAGTATTATATAGAGCCATTATTGCATGGAACTCCGTTCCATCTCATATTGCTCAAATAAACAGCAAACCTGGTTTCAAAGAACAGATAAAGCAACACCTCACGGCACAACGCCTCTCCCCTATTTTACCTAGATAGTTTGTGTGTATGTATTGATATGTAGGCTACGTGTGCCTTTTAAAAACAATGTATGTAGTTCTGTCCTTGAGCTGTTCTTGTCTATTAATGTTCTGTATTATGTCATGTTTCATGTTTTGTGTGGACCCCAGGAAGAGTAGCTGCTGCTTTTGCAACAGCTAATGGGGATCCTAATAAAATACCAAATACCTCTTTCCTGGCCTGATCGACGTAGCCCAAGACTCTGTCTAGGTGTGGCCGGCTGACCAGTGCTCCCATACGGGTGCTCTCCAGTAGTGGGTCCCCTATCTCAATGTCCTTGGTCCTCCTCACAACCTCCTCCAGGAACTCGGGCAACATCTGCCTCTGAACAAACACCCGGGTCCCATTGCTGCAAACCTGGGTTGGACAAACACACACAAGGTAAAAAAGTACATTCATAGAGGAGCTGGTGTTAAGGACTGTGTCACCGTGTTTAAAGAGCTGAAACTTGGATCAAAAGCGCTGAAACTTGCACACCCCACACCCTACCTGGCCCTGGGACAGGAAGTTGGCCATGAGAGCCCCCTTCACTGCGTTCTCCAGGTCACTGTCCTCAAAGATGAGCAGAGGAGACTTCCCACCAAGCTCCAGAGTCACATGCTTCACCCCCTTGGAGCACATCTCCATGATCTGAGGGTTAAGAGTGTTTTGTTACGTGTTAATGACAAAGACTACTTTTCCCATAATGCAATGGACATTGTATGTATTATAGCGCCTCAACACAAAAAACTTAAGTTATGATCTTATTTTGGGATTGTTAGATTTACCTTCTTGCCTGTGGGCACACTGCCGGTGAAGGAGACCTTAGCCACGTCGGGGTGGTGGCAGAGCAGGTTGCCCGTCTCCTGCCCACCCTGAACTATGTTGAACAGTCCCTCTGGGGCCCCAGCTTTGGCATAAATCTCAGCCAGCAGCACCGCTGTCACTGGAGTCACGGGTGAAGGCTTGAACACCATGGAGTTGCCTGATGGGGTGAGAGCAAGAGAGAGGGAAAAGGAGTCTTTGTGTATTATTGAAAATGTGTATTTCTATCAATTGCATATGAACAATTATGGCAATAAAGTGTGTGTTTGACTTTATACTGTAACTTAAAAGGAGTGTGTCGTCATACCACAGGCCAGGGCTGGGGCCGACTTCCAGGCTGCTATCTGAAAGGGGTAGTTCCAAGCACCAATCCCCACACAGACGCCTAGAGGCTCCCGCCGTGTGTAGGCAAAGGAGCCTCCGGGCAGCTGGACATGCTGGCCTAGAGGGACAGAACGGGCAAACAGTGACCATAAACACCACTAGTGGTCAGCAGCATACCAAGTCATCTTGATATCTTTACTACCTACTATAGGTCTAATGCCAACAATTCTCCCCCCAACTGCATCAGAATTCCTATTATGACCCAGTGTAACCCCCCTATCCATCGTCATGCCAACCTGCCAGAGTGCTGGCCACCCCAGCGTAATACTCTATACACAGTCTGGCAGAGTCCACATCCATTCGGGCTTCTGTGATGGACTTTCCGTTGTTCACCACCTCGATCTCCGCAATGTCCTCTCTCCTGTTCTGTCCACAACAGGAGAGCAAGTTTAATAGTCAGAGACTTCAATCCAAAAACTCAAATGAACTGACGTTTGAATGCATTCCAAACTAGTACACTCAAGTTAACCTACAGCTTGTGCAAACAGTATAATCTTGAGCATTGAGATGGATTTTGATTTCAGTTCTGACTGTATGGGGGGGCAGAACAGACCTTGAATTTGGAGTGACTGATCATCAAACTCTGGTATCAGAAAGAGATGCATTCTGGGATGGATACCTCAATGATACGGGCAGCTTCTATCATGATGTGTGCCCTCTCCATCCCGGACATCCGGCTCCAAGCCTGGTAGGCAGACTGGGCTGCCTGCACTGCCTGGTTCACCTCCACAGACCCACAGGGCTCCAGCTCACACAGGACCCGACCTGCCAGCACAAAACAGCAGCACCAGTCACATACACACACACATACTGGACAAACTATCTGACATACTATGAGGAACATGACAAGTTACATCAACAAGTAAATTGTGTATTCCTCCAATTCTGATGTGGGTATAACCATAAACTATATACCCATTCCACCGAGAGAGTGACTGTAACAAGGAAACAGGATACATGATGTGTCATGTGTGACAAACAAGTGGTTTTCAGCCAGCTGAATAAAATGACAGTGGAGATTAACCAATAAAAGAAAAAGCACTTTGGGTGTATGAATGCGTAAAATCAAGTTCTGTTAGAATACATCTTCATAAAAGTGAACAGAGCTTTCAGAGATTACTCTTTAGAAACCAGGTAGCTACCAGTTGCAGGTTCGTAAACAGGCTCAGTGGTTGACACATCACTGATCTTTACTCTGTCTCCGCACCAGAAATTCAGCGGGACTTTGACGTCCACGGTCCCCGATGAGGCACAACGTAGAGCCGCAAAGAGTAGAGCAGCAGGCCGGGCCAAAACAAGCCTTTGAAGCATCTTTCTGACAGTCACACTTCGGACAGTGGACACAGCTACAACGGGGGAAAAAACGATTAGGCTATTATTAGTCATGTCAAAAACAACAGGGAACAAAACCCTCAAGCAATAATCATGAAATGACCTTACAAAATGTAGGCTAGCTGGCAATCGAACTGTGTGGCAACAATTCAACTATCCGTAAACAAATATAGCCGTTAACTGACAGTTGTAAAAAAGAAAAACAGTTCCACATGTCGTTGCATTGCACTTACACAACAAAGTCCTTGTAGAAATGTTAAAGCTGTTTCACAATGCAATCATCAAATGTAAACTTTATTTTTAACCCCAAAATGCAAGAACTGCTGCTACGAACGATGCTGCTACGGAAATGAACCGTAACTACAGGAGAACATGCGCAAGCCAATTGGATCCATGCAGCTGTTGCGCTCTTCTTGAGGCAAAGAAAAATCATATGAGAAAGAGGTTAAACTCCTTAAATACTTTATTCATTATGTAGAAACAAATGAAATGTTGGAAACCTAAACCTGCTAATCTCAGTACAGTTGAATAGACCAACAATTAGCACGAACAGTTCATTAACTGTACAATGCTGAGGAAAACACTGAACAACATGCAATCTTATGTTCTGACATTGGCAAATTTACATTGATGTTTTTGATGTAGTTTGAGGTTACAGAGAACTGTGAAACTTTTACCACACTGCATACAACTAAATGGCTTTTGTCCACTGTGAAATCGCTCATGTCTTTGGCAGTTGTCCTGCCTTGTAAACATCTTGCCACAGAGTCTGCAACTGAAAGGTCTCTCACCCGTGTGAACACTCTGATGTGACTTAAGTCTTTGCTTCTGAGTAAAACTTTTCCCACACTCAAGACATCTGTATGGTTTGACTCCACCATGAGAGTGCTGGTGTGCTTCAAGTTGACAATGGCGGTGGAAGCTCTTTCCACACAATGAGCAGATAAACACTTTTTGGTTTGCTTCAGCTCTCCAAACATTTACCATCCTCTTTGTTTTCAATCTGTTCTTATTAAGAATATGCTGTTGGTTGTGTGAGTGTGACTCCGATGTGCTCTCAGTTGCTCTCATGAGCCCTTGTGAAGAAGGTCCTGGTTGCTGCAGTCTGGGATGTAAAATCAAGCCCTCCCTCACAATAGGATGCAGAGTATCTCTGTACTGCCCCTGCACAGCTTGTATGGACTCAGACATGGCATCGCCATGATACATAGGATGCCTCTCAGGCTCCACTTTCACTGGGACAGTGCTGAATATATCATCCAACGGTTTCCCTACAGTGGACAAAGAGGAAGCAGGATGGGATGGGATGGGATGGGAGCGGGATATTGATCTGCCTGAGAGGAGAACACCTGTAAGCATCTCTCTGTGGTGTAAGACCCATCTGGGTGACCAGAATTATTCCCATGTAGTCCTTGTGTAACAGAGGACCACAGCTGACTATCTCTCTCATCCATTCTAAAGTCCACACTGTCTGTGATTCCTGAGTCTTGTATGGTTTCCTGGCCTGCATGTTCTTCCACCTGCTCTGCTTTCACCAGAAACTCCAGTCCACCCCTCACCTCTTCAAGGTGTCCAGACCTCTGCAGCTCATTGAAGCTCTCTTCTGGGTCCTCTACAGGCATGGCTTGGCCTTTCTTTTTCTCGTCATCACCTGTAAGTAGAGTAGATGGTTTATGTAATTGTTAGAAATTGTAAAGTCAAAAAAACAATCAAACAAAACCTTGAATAGTGCAAATAACCTACCTTCATAGTTCTAAGAGTCAGCCGCCTCTTACCATTTTGTGGAGTCCCACTCCCAACCTGAAACCCCTCAGCATGTTGCCTGTCATTTGTCTCTCGTGCTGCTGCTTCCCTTTGAGCTTTCCTCAATTCTCTTTCCATCAGCTGTAAACTGTTTTGAAGGCCTTCTATCTCATTTTCTTTCCGGCACATTTCAAGCCGTAGCACGACAGTGCCCTCGTCTACAAGTTTGGTTATTTCTGCAACAGCTGCCTTTGCTAGCACATCCATGATTGCAGCTATTTGTGTACTGAATGAAATAGTGTTAGACATTGTTCTTCAAATAAAATCCCCGTTGTTACACAAAAACGAATATGCAGTGCTAGTGCCTCTGTGAAATGTTTATAACAGAATCGTTTCTTCTATTGTACAGCTTGTCGAAGCTGGCAAGCAGCGTTGTTGTTAAAACATATATATATTCCGGAAGAACGGTAATGGAAATTAGGACAGAAAGGGTTACTGTAAACTTTCTAATACATACCCTTATTGGTTTATGGAATAGAAATATACAGTAGGACAAAACATACACTACATGACCAAAAGTATGTGGACACCTGCTCGTCGAACATCTCATTCCAAAAACATGGGCAATAATATGGAGTTGGTCCGCCCTTTGCTGCTATAACAGCCTCCACTCTTTTGGGAAGGATTTCCACTAGATGTTAGAACATTGCTGCAGGGACTAACATAGCATCCCTCTCTGTTTGAGTAGGCTAAACCAGCTAGCTGCATTGGCTAGCTAAGTAAGTGAAAGTGAAATAAATATTTCTCTCGCTCTTGCTTCTCCTTCATTTTTGAAGAAATTAATTTGTTGACAACTGTTCGACTATTGTCTTTCTCTCTCTTTGAGTCAAGTACTCACCACATTTTATGCACTGCAGGGCTAGCTAGCTGTAGCTTATGCTTTTCAGTACCAGATTCATTCTCTGATCCTTTGCTTGGGTGGTCAAAATGTCAGTTCATGCAGCAAGAGCTCTGATAGGTTGGAGGATGTCCTCCGGAAGTTGTCATAATTACTTTGTCTATGGAAGGGGGTGAGAACCATGAGCCTCCTAGGTTTTTTATTGAAGTTAATGTACCCAGAGGAGGATGGAAATTACACAACATGTACAAAAGTATGTGGACACCTGCTCATCGAACATCTCATTCCAAAATCATGGGCATTAATATGGAGTTGGTCCCCCCTTTGCTGCTATAACAGCCTCCACTCTTCTGAGAAGGATGTCCACTAGATGTTGGAACATTGCTGCGGGAACTTGCTTCCATTCAGCCACAAGAGCATTAGTGATGTCGGGCACTGATGTTGGCCGATTAGGCCTGGCTCGCAGTTGACATTCCAGTTCATCTCAATGATGTTTGATGGGGTTGAGGTCAGGGCTTTGTGCAGGCCAGTCAAGTTCTTCCACACCGATCTCGACAAACCATTTCTGTATGGACCTCGCTTTGTGCACGGGGGCATTGTCATGCTGAAACAGGAAAGGGCCTTCCCCAAACTGTTGCCACAAAGTTGGAAGCACAGAATGTCATTGTATGTTGTAGCGTTAAGATTTACCTTCACTGTAACTAAGGGGCCTAGCCCGAACCATGAAAAACAGCCCCAGACCATTATTCCTCCTCCACCAAACTTTACAGTTGGCACTATGCATTCAGGCAGGTAGCGTTCTACTGGCATCTACCAAACCCAGATTTGTCAGTCGGACTGCCAGGTGAAGCGTGATTCATCACTCCAGAGAACGCATTTCCACTGCTCCAGAGTCCAATGGCGTCGAGCTTTACACCACTCCAGCCGACGCGTGGCACTGTGCATGGTAGTTTAGGCTTGTGTGTGGCTGCTCGGCCATGGAAACCCATTTTATGAAGCTCCCGACGAACAGTTATTGTGTTGACGTTGCTTCCAGAGGCAGTTTGGAACTCGGTAGTGAGTGTTGCAACTGAGAACAGACTATTTATACGTGCTAAGCGCAGTGGTGGAAAAAGTACCCAATTGTCATACTTGAGTAAAAGTAAAGATACCTTCATAGAAAATGACTCAAGTAAAAGTAAAAGTCTCCCAGTAAAATTCTACTTGAGTAAAAGTCTAAAAGTATTTGGTTTAAAATATACTTAAGTATCAAATATAAATGTAATTGCTAAAATATACTTAAGTATCACAAGTAAAAGTAAAAGTATAAATCATTTCAAATTCCTTATATTAAGCAAACCAGATGGCACCATTTTCTTGTTTTTTAAAAAGTGTACGGATAGCCAGGGGCACACTCCAACATTCAGACATAATTTACAAACGAAGCATGTGTGTTTAGTGAGTCCACCAGATCAGAGGCAGTAGGGATGACCAGGGATGTTCTGTTGATAAGTGTGTGAATTGGACCATATTCCTGTCCTGCTAAGCATTCAAAATGTAACGAGTACTTTTGGGTGTCAGGGAAAATGTATGGAGTAAAAAGTAAAAGTAGTTACAAAAATAAATAGTAAAGTAAAGTACAGATACCCCAAAAAAACTACTTAAGTAGTACTTAAAAGTATTTTAACTTAAGTACTTTACACCACTGGCTACGCGCTTCGGCACTCAGCGGTCGCATTCTGTGAGCTTGTGTGGCCTACCACTTCGCGGCTGAGCCGTTGTTGCTCCTAGATGTTTCCACTTCACAATAACAGCACTTAAAGTTGACCGGGGTAGCTCTACCAGGGCAGAAAGGTGGCATCCTATGACGGTGTCACGTTGAAAGTCACTGAGCTCTTCAGTAAGGCCATTCTACTGCCAATGTTTGTCTGTGGAGATTGCATGGCTGTGTGCTCGATTCTATACACCTGTCAGCAACGGGTGTGGCTGAAATAGCCGAATCCACTACTTTGAAGCGGTGTCCACATATTTTTGTATATATAGTGTATCTAGACAATGCTCCTAAGAAGTTATTACATTTGCTTGCTAACCCTTAAAAATACCCATGGTTATGCATGATATGTGATACCTGAGATTGCCATATATGGGTGTAAATTGACATCTCTTTGTAGATTGATTAAAACCAAGTTTTAAAAAAGAGGACATTTACAGCGAGAGAGTGAGGATTATGCAGAGGATCCGTTTTCTGAGTAGCCCTGAATCTTAGTGGGACGGTTCTTGTCCCAGGCTGATTTATTCAGGCAGTATAATTAATAGTGAGATTAATAGTCAATAGTCAGAGACTTCAATCCAAAGACTGAAATGAACTGACTTTTAACACATTCCATACTAGTACTCTAATGTTAACCTACAGCATGTGCAAACAGTATAAAGACCTTGAGCTATGACATGGATTCTGTGTTCAGTTCTGACTGTATCAGGGACAGAAAATACAGTGAATTTGGAGTGACAGATCATCAAACCCAGGTATCATAGAGATGCTTTCTGGGATGGATACCTCAATGATATGGGCAGCTTCTAACATGTGTGCTCTCTCCATCCCTGACATCCGGCTCCAGCCCTGGTAGGCAGACTGGGCTACCTGCACTGCCTGGTTCACCTCCACAGACCCACAGGGCTCCAGCTCACACAGGACCCGACCTGCCAGCACAAAACAGCAGCGCCAGTCATTCACACACACACATAATGGACAAACTATCTGACATGCTATGAGAAACATGACACAAGTTATATCAATGTAGTACACATTGTGTATTCCTCCACTCCAGTGTAGGTTATATACGCATCAACTAGGCCTATACCTATACCCCTTCAGCTTAGTGTGACCATAACAAGGAAACATTGCAAAGTTTATGACAGGATACATGATGCGTGAGTGTAAAAAACAAGTGGTTTTCAGCCAGCTTAATAAAATGACAGTGACTTTAGATAAAAGTCCAAAAGTGGAGATTAATCAATAAAAATAAAGCATTTGGGCTTATCATCAATTAATATAGGCCTAAGATCAATTTTTGTTCTTCATAAACCCTTAGTGGGACTTTGATGTCCACAGTCCCCGATGAGGCGCAACCATAGAGATAGATAGAGGACTCATCTTCGTATCTGTGCTATTATAGCATCTGCAACATCATGGGCAACGCCATTGAGGCTATCTCCATTTTAAAGTAGTACATTTTTTTCAACACGATTGGCTGATCCTTCCTGATGACCCGGTTGGACATGACTCCAAAAGGGTCACCAGGAGGGATCAGCCAATGAAGTTGGAAGTCCCACCCAGTTGACTACATTCAAATGGTGGAAGCTCTCAAAGGCAGGGCCCATGCTAACACAACCTTTTGGCGACTAGAGGCCTCTATCATTCTCTATGGATGCTACGTAGTGCCGCAGAGTAGGGCCAGGTTTCCGATGCATCGTTCCTATAACTGCTGAAGGTGTCACATGCGTTTCCCAAAACACCACGTAGTGAGAACGTTCACTAAGTGTGTCGTTGGAGCATGTGTCGACAGAGGCGTCATGCCGTTAGGGGGCACGTGACCCCCCAGATTTGTCCTGTTAAAAAATGTCATAATAATTTGCTTTGTAATACTACTAGCCACCTAGCAATTTTATGAAGTTGGCTTTAGCTAGCCCAGATAGGTTCCCTGGACGGTTGGTCATTATGACGTTGGGAATTTGAGACAAAATATCTAAAGGATTGTATTATTAAACATACTTTCCAAACGTGGGTCTGTTGTAGACCCACTTCCTCTCTGCTTACCTCGTGTCATGTGTGGCTCAGTTGGTAGAGCATGGTGCTTACAATGCCGAGCCTGTGGGTTTGATTCCAACAGGGGACCAGTACGTGTCTCACATGTCGTTGCATTACACTTACACAGCAAGGTCATTGTAGAAATGTTAAAGATGTTTTACAATTCAAATGTCAACTTTATTTTAACCCCAAAATGCACGAACTCGAACTGCTGCTAGCTACTGTCTGATCGAACAAGCTACTGAAATGAACTGTAAATAAAGGAGAATATGCTCAAAGCAATTAGAGCTATTGGAGCTGTTGCTCTCTTGACGGGGGCAAAGAAAAATCACATGAAAAAGAGGTTAAACATTTTTAATACTTTATTCATATTGTAGAAACCGAAACCTGCTAATCTCAGTACAGTTGAACGGCTCAACAATCAACATAAACAGTTCTTTAACTGTACAATGCTGAGGAAAACACTGAAGGTGTCACATGCAATCTTAAATTCTGACATTGGCAAATTTACATTGATGTTTTTGATGTAGTTTGAGGTTACTGAGAACCGTGAAACTTTTACCACACTGCATACAACTAAATGGCTTTTGTCCACTGTGAAATCGCTCATGTCTTTGGCAGTTGTCCTGCCTTGTAAACATCTTGCCACAGAGTCTGCAACTGAAAGGTCTCTCACCCGTGTGAACACTCTGATGTGACTTAAGTCTATTTTTCTGAGTAAAACTTTTCCCACACTCAAGACATCTGTATGGTTTGACTCCAGCATGAGAGTGCTGGTGTGCTTCAAGTTGACAATGGCGGCGGAAGCTCTTTCCACACAATGAGCAGATAAACACTTTTTGGTTTGCTACAGCTCTCCAAACATTTACCATCCTCTTTGTTTTCAATCTGTTCTTATTAAGAATATGCTCTTGGTTGTATGAGTGTGACTCAGATGTGCTCTCAGTTGCTCTCATGAATTGCCCTTGTGAAGAAGGTCCTGGTTGCTGCAGTCTGGGATGTAAAATCAAGCCCTCTCTCACAACAGGATGCAGAGTATCTCTGTACTGCCCCTGCACAGCTTGTATGGACTCAGACATGGCCTCGTCATGATACACAGGATGCCTTTCAGGCTCCACTTTCACTGGGACAGTGCTGACTATGTCATCCAGCGGTTTCTCTACAGTGGACAAAGAGTTGCAAGAAGCAGGATGGGATGGGATGGGAGCGGGATATTGATCTGCCTGAGAGGAGAACATCTGTAAGCAACTCTCTGTAGTGAAAGACCCATCTGGGTGACGGTAATTATTCCCATTTAGTCCTTGTGGAACAGAGGACCACAGCTGACTATCTCTCTCATCCATTCTAAAGTCTACACTGTCTGTGATTCCTGGGTCTTGTATGGTTCCCTGGGCTACATGTTCTTCCACCTGCTCTGCTTTCAATAGAAACTCCATTCCACCCCTCGCCTCTTCAAGGTGTCCAGACCTCTGCTGCTCATTGCAGCCCTCTACTGGGTCCTCTACAGGCGTGGCTTGGGCTTTCTGGTCCTCTTCATCATCTGGAAGTAGATGGTTTATGTTATTGTTAGAAATTATAAAGTCAAATAAGCAATAAAACAAAACATTGAACAGTGCAAAATAACCTGACTTGATACCACTAAGAGTAAGCTCGCCTCTCACCTTTTTGTGGAGTCCCACTCCCAACCTGAATTCCCCCAGCATGTTGCCTGTCATTTATCACTTGTGCTGCTGCTTCTCTTTGAGCTTTTCTCAGTTCTCTTTCCATCAGCTGTAAACTGTTTTGAAGGCCTTCTATCTCATTTTCTTTCCGGCACATTTCAAGCCGTAACACTACAGTGCCCTCGTCTACAAGTTTGGTTATTTCTGCAACAGCTGCCTTTGTTAGCACATCCATGATGGCAGCCATTTGTGTACTGAAAGAAACAGACATTGTTCTTTAAATAAAATCACCGTTGTTACACAAAAACGAATATGCAGTGCTAGTGCTTCTATGAAATGTTTATAACAGAATCGTTTATACTATTGTACAGCTTCTTGAAGCTGGCTAGAAGCATTGTTTGTGGAAAAAAAGTTTTCTTCCGGAAAGATGGATAACGGAAACGACGACAGAAAGGGTTACCATAAACTTTCTAATAAATGCCCTTATATGTGGATATTTCTGTGAAATCAGTCAAACAGCTACTTGTAAAATTGAAAACACAAATAAGCCAATCAGTTCTCTGCAGAGGTTTATTCACAAAAACTATTAAAACATGCGCTTGCTTATCCTTAAACCCATGGTATGCATGAGATGTGATACCTGACATTTCCATACTTGGGTGTAAATTGACAACAGGATTAAAACCAAATTAATATGGTAAATTAGGTTAGATTGAAAATAGCAACAAAAGGGAGGAAATGTACACACACACATGAACTGAAATGAACTGACTTTTAAATGCATTCCTGCCTGCACTGCCTGGTTCACCTCCACAGACCCACAGGGCTCCAGCTGACACAGGACCCGACCTGCCGGCACAAAACCGCAGCGCCAGTCATAAACACACATACTGGACAAACTATCTGACATGCTATGAGAACATGACACAAGTTATATCAACGTAGTACACAACTAAAATGTGTATTGCTCCAATCTGATGTAGGTTATATACCCATCAACTAGGCCTATAGCCATTCAGTTTAGTGTGACCATAAGAAAACAGTGCAAAGTTTATGACAGGATACATGATGTGTGAGTGTGACAAACAAGTGGTTTTCAGCCAGCTTAATAAAATGAGTGACTTTAAATCAAAATCCAACAGTGGAGATAGAATCAATAAAATAAAGCACTTGGGGTTATCATCATTTAATATAAGCCAAAAAACAATATCTGTTTGAATAAAACCTTATAAAAGTGAACAGAGCTTTCCGATTACTCTTTAGAAACCAGGTAGCTCATAAACCGGCTCAGTGGTTGATATCTTTGATCTTCACTCGGTCTCGGCACCAGAAATTCAGCGGGACTTTGCCGTCCACGGTCCCCGAAGAGGCGCAACGTAGAGCCGCAGAAAGTAGGGACTGGTTTCCGCTGCATCGTTGTCACTTGCGTTTCCCAAAACACCACGTAGAGAGAACGTTCACTAAGTGTGTCGTTGGCGCATGTGTCGATACTGATAGGATCGAAAGAAAGGCAGCGCTGCTCACAGATCAGCTTTATCCATTAAAATCAGAATTATTTAACGTGGTCTCGGGACAATTCGTATTATTCTGTAGGTAAATATGTAACACTACATTTAGTATATGTTAAGTTACATTATGAATGGAATCGCGGTTTTACAATATCATACGAATTAGAGGACGTATAGTATCATACAGCAATTGCATACACATTGGATATAGCTAGTAACTTATCATATGTCTTGGAAGGCGTATAGTATTAGACCTCATCTGAGACCAGGGCCCGGTTTACCAAAAGCATGTTAAAGGTACACTTCAGGATTTATCTTCTTCCCCAGAGTCAGATGAACTCATGGATACCATTTTTATGTCTCTTTATCCAGTATGAAGGAAGTTAGAGGTACTTTCGCGAGCCAATGCTAACTAGCGTTAGCGCAATGACGGGACAGTATTATACCAAATACTTCCAGTCTTTGCGCTAACGCTAGTTAGCAATTGCGGTAACGCTAGTTAGCAACTTACTTCAAACTGCATTCAGAGACATAAATATGGTATCCACAAGTGCATCCGACTCTGTGGGAGTAGATAAAGGCGTTGCACTTGAAAGCACTCCTAATCTAACGCCTGCCTCAAACCATTCATAGAACAGCCAAGTGCGTCGTTAGATGATTTGCCCTCCTGCATCACTTTATACACAAAAGATCTCCGCTTAATATAGAATCACATGGTTTATCCGTCTGTGACCGCCACTAACTTCAGAACATTGTTGACTAAAAATACAAAGTTGCCAATGTCTGTGCAATTGATACAAAAAAGCCATGTATAAAATCATGTTTCAAATGAAAACCGAGATGAATGGATTCAAATAAACAGTATTTTTATATTGAAATACATTTCATGTTCAATCAATTGAGTTATATTTGGCCACCTGTAGGCTTCCGTCTGTAATTTGTCTCGATATACAGTATTTCATGTGTAGCCTAACATCTGCGCAATGATGTGCCAAATCGGTGATTTTGTGCATTTGTTTATTGGGTAAGCATTAGAATAAACCACCTCAATATTTGCAGCCGTCTGGCTATAAGGTGAATGCACCAATTTGTAAGTCGCTCTGGATAAGAACGTCTGCTAAATTACGTAAATGTAAATGTAGGCAGTAATATTTCTCTAGGAGCTGATCCGTCGTCAGATTTGTGAAATAATTATAATGTTAAGGTAAGATATGAATGGAGAAAGATGATCAGAGAGTAACACTCCCTTTTTATCGATCCTAAATCAGTATCGAGACATGCTCCAATGACGCACTTAACGACCGTTTTCTGCGTGGTGTTTTGGGAAATATATGTTACATATTCGGCCGTTGTAGGAAAGATGCATCAATTGATAATTACGGGGAGAATTTACATTTGCGGTTAGGGGAACAAAAACAACAAAGGTTAGGAGAACTAAAACGACAAAGGTTAGGTGAATTTACGTAGCAGGTTAGATTAATTTGGTTAATCTTAGAATGGGGGTTAGCAAAATTGTACAGTTGTCCCAGACACGACTCGAACATGCAACCTTTGGACTGCTAGACTGATTACTCCCAGCCATCCTCCCGGACCAACCTCCCTACTTTCGTTTCTGGATTAAGTAACTAGACCATTTGTAGACATCATACGTCTTTGAAAACTAGAGATCCTGGTTCGAATCCAGGCTCTGTCGCAGCCGGCCGCGACCGGGAGACTCATGGGCGGCGCACAATTGGCCCAGCGTCGCCCAGGGTAGGGGAGGGAATGGCCGGCAGGGATGTAGCTCAGTTGATAGAGCATGGCGTTTGCAATGCCAGGGTTGTGGGTTCAATTCCCACGGGGGCCAGTATAAAAAAATATGTATTCACTAACTGTAAGTCGCTCTGGATAAGAGCGTCTGCTAAATGACGTAAATGTAAATGCTCCGAAATACTACCCAATAATAATGGACTAAATCACATTTGGCACATCATTGCGTAATAAAATAAAATATTTATATTTAAATGACAGACCGTGGCCTACAATTAGCAAAATATAACTAAATTGAGTGAATATGAAATTGATTTCATTTCAGGGTTTCAGGGCTGCCAACTTTTGAAGAAAGCTTGGAGTGAGATTTGCTATGTGAATTTACCCCACCTCTTTAAGGAACACCTGGGATAGGATAAAGTAATCCTTCTACCCCTGTGTGTCCTCCCCAGGAAAATGTTACTGTTTTAAAACGTATTTCCTGCAATTCTACATATTTTGACATGGTTTAGGCCTATGAGCAGGGTGGAAAATAAAAATAAATAAAACCAGAGGTCAGGTGTATTCAGGATGCTTTGAACATTAAATGAACACTCAAAATTTGACGACTTTGTTACTTTGAGATTTTGGGGGGATTCAATTTAAAGTATGCAAATATTTTTTTCTACATATTTTCAGACAGTAATGAAATGGGTAAAAACAGTGGGAAGGTTGGAAGCAGGGATTAAACCCTGGTCTCCGGTGGAAAGTTGTATGCAACACGTGCCGGAGAGTGTTACCACTACACCAAGGCTCTGCACAGGAAATAGTAATAGTAATGGTTGATGACAGTGGGTAACCAAATCATAGATCGCAGTCTCCTTGTCCATAGACTGCTTTCAAGGTAAGGATACAAACATTTTGTATTTTGGGTGAAAGTTCTATTTTAAAATCCTGCTTGCTCTCCAGGAGGGTTGGCCACCCCGATCTATGTTTCCCAAGTGCTGGGTGTTTGAAAATGTTCTTGTTATAACACTACATTTATCAAAATCACCCACCTTCAAAAAAAATCTAATGGATATCAACTCGGGTGGTTTATGCCTACTAGTTGAAGATCCTTGGCATCATCTTACTCTGCATAGACAAAATATGATGCTTTTATGAGGTGTGAGTCCCCCTACCATCTCTTCCTAACGTGCACAATACTCAAAGTAAAAAAATTATATGCGAGGCCTGGAACATTTAATATCCAATGATTATTTGTATGACATTCAAAACTGTCCATGAATGGCTACAAAAATACATAGCCTCCTATAATTGATTTTTAAAAGACAATTAGGCATATCAGATTTCAAATATGTGATTACACTGGCAAAATTGGGATGAAGCAGAATAATAAAGTAAGTGTGGGGAATAATAGTAGTGTTCTTGGTGACAAGTACATAAATTACCCTAGAGTTTAGCCCATTGTTAAGAATGAGAATTGTTCCACTGACCTGGTAAATAAAGTAAGTAGATAATAAAATGCCCTGAAGACGACCCTATACCCTAACCAAATAACTGTTATATTTACCCCCCCTTTTCGTTGTCACAGCCTAAATGCCAATCACCAAACGAGGGGACTAATGCAAGTGTGGATTAAATCAACTTTAGTACATGCTGTCAAAAGGCTGCATTCTGCAATAGGGACGGGAGTAACAGCAAACACATTTTGTTGACAACATTGTACATAAAACAGCGCTACCGTGCTGCTCTTTTTACAGCTTTATAAACTCAGCGGAGAACGTTCTCGCTCTCCATTCAGCGCCACTCCAATCCGAGGGGTTTCTTTCAAACGCGCACCCAATCACCTTGAGCCATTACATAACTAGACCAATCATATGCTTTAATGTGCAGTGGTTCATAGTGCTGTGGCAAGACAGGCCAATAATGATAGAGATTCATTTTACATTTACATTTTAGTCATTTAGCAGACGCTCTTATCCAGAGCGACTTACAGTTAGTGAGTGCATACATACTTTTTTGATTTTTCATACCCCTGTTGGAATCGAATCCACATCCCTGGAGTTGCAAACACCATGCTCTACCAACTGAGCTACATCCCTGCCGGCCATTCCCTCCCCTACCCTGGACGACGCTGGGCCAATTGTGCGCCGCCCCATGCGTCCGCTCGTGATGTTATTAAAATGCAGGTGCAGATGCTCCGATTTCAAAACAATTTGGAGCACAGTTGAAAAGTTAACGCGCTGACTAATTAGAAAATAAAATCAGTACTTTTCGATGCGTGAGAGGTGTGGCGTGTGAGCGTGAGAAGAGGCTCAAATGCGTGTCTTCTCACGGCCAATGCTTGAGAGTTGGCAGCTCTGGGTATGGGAAACAGCTCAGAGATTTAACGATGCTCTACGAAGGTTCTAACAATGAGCTTAGCCTTAAACCGGGCCTAGAGCAGTAAGTCTCAGCCACCGGGCCAAAACAACTTTTGAAGCATCTTTCTGACAGTCGCACTTGGGACAGTGGACACCTAGTTACAACGGGAAGAAACCATTAGGCTATTATTATCAGTCATGTAAAAACCAACAGGGTACAAAATCCTCAAGCAGTAATGTTAATCATGCATCTTATATTACAAAAGGCTCTGCACATACAGTCAGCCTAGCTGGCAACAACAATGAAACTATCCGTAAACAAATATAGTGGTTGATTGACAGTTGTCAAAAAGCACAGTTTTACATTTAGTTGCATTGCCCTTACACTGCAAACACCTTGTAGACATGTTAAAGATGTTTTACAATGCAATCATCAAATGTAAACTTCATTTGTAACCCCAAAATGCACGAACTCAACTGCTGCTACGATCTTAAAGTGGCACTCCAGTCTCATTTTCACCTCATTTTACACCTGATTTACTTCATAAAAAGGCACATCTCAATAGGTGGTCCAGGTAAGTTATGACATAGCACAAGTAAAAATGTTTTACCCTTTAATGTGTGGTGTGTACTTGACTGTATTTATACTTGGGATATCACTATTTAAAAATCACCAAATGATGTCTTGAAATACTTGATTGGAAACCTAATCCTGCTAATCTCAGTACAGTTGAACGGTTCAACAATCAACATAAACAGTTCATTAATTGTACAATGCTGAGGAAAACACTGAACAACATGCAATCTTACATTCGGACATTGGAAAATTTACTTACATTGATGTTTTTGATGTAGTTTGAGGTTACAGAGAACTGTGAAACTTTTACCACACTGCACACAACTAAATGGCTTTTGTCCACTGTGAAATCTCTCATGTGTTTGGCAGTTGTCCTGCCTTGCAAACCTCTTGCCACAGAGTCTGCAACTGAAAGGTCTCTCACCCGTATGAACACTCTGATGTGACTTAAGTCTTTGCTTCTGAGTAAAACTTTTCCCACACTCAAGACATCTGTATGGTTTGACTCCACCATGAGAGTGCTGGTGTGCTTCAAGTTGACAATGGCGGTGGAAGCCCTTTCCACACAATGAGCAGATGAACACTTTTTGGTTTGGTAAAGCTCTCCAAACATTTACCATCCTCTTTGTTTTCAATCTGTTCTTATTAAGAATATGCTCTTGGTTGTGTGAGTGCGACTCCGATGTGCTCTCAGTTGCTCTCATGAGCCCTTGTGAAGAAGGTCCTGGTTGCTGCAGTCTGGGATGTAAAATCAAGCCCTCCCTCACAATAGGATGCAGAGTATCTCTGTACTTCCCCTGCTCAGCTTGTATGGACTCAGACATGGCATCGTCATGATACACAGGATGCCTCTCGGGCTCCACTTTCACTGGGACAGTGCTGAATGTGTCATCCAGTGGTTTTCCTACAGTGGACAAAGAGATGCAGGAAGCGGGATGGGATGGGATGGGAGCGGGATATTGATCTGCCTGAGAGGAGAACATCTGTAAGCATCTTTCTGTAGTGTAAGACCCATCTGGGTGACCAGAATTATTCCCACTTAGTCCTTGTGTAACAGAGGACCACAGCTGACTATCTCTCTCATCCATTATAAAGTCCACACTGTCTGTGATTCCTGGGTCTTGTATGGTTCCCTGGGCTACATGTTCTTCCACCTGCTCTGCTTTCACCAGAAACTCCAGTCCACCCCTCACCTCTACAAGGTGTCCAGACCTCTGCAGCTCATTGAAGCTCTCTACTGGGTCCTCTACAGGCATAGCTTGGGATTTCTGGTCCTCTTCATCACCTGGAAGTAGAGTAGACGGTTTATGTAATTGTTAGAAATTGTTAAGTAAAATAAGCAATAAAACAACACCTTGAACAGTGCAAAATAACCTGACTTGATAGCACCAAATGTCAGCACGCCTCTTAGGTGCTTTTAGGAACTCGGGTGTATTTAAAACACGGGTGTGGTCCTTTGTAGCTCAGTTGGTAGAGCATGGTGCTTGTAACGTCCACGGCAGTGGGTTCGATTCCCGGATGTAAAAAAATATATGCACGCATGACTGTAAGTTGCTTTGGATAAAAGCGTCTTCTAAATGGCATATATACAACACCAGTCAAAAGTTTGGACACACCTACTCATTCAAGGTTTATTTTTTATTTTTTACATTGTAGAATGATAGTGAAGACATCAAAACTATGAAATAACACATATGGAATCCTATTGTAACCAAAGAAGTGTTAAACAAATCAACATATATTTGAGATTTGAGATTCTTCAAATAGCCACCCTTTGCCTTGATGACAGCTTTGCACACTCTTGGCATTCACTCAACCAACCCAGCCAGGCAATTTATTAATTTGATCTCCACTATAAAAAGCATCTAGACATTCTCACATTTCTTTTAGAATTACATTTAGATTGTAGAAACCTTGTCTGTCTCTCCGACATTTGCAACATTGTTTCAATATTAAAATTCGATCTCCAGCTGTCCCATAGCAATGAACTAGTCGGAACGAGACTGACAGGCAGGCAGTGTTTCCCAGGCAGTCGAAATCCTGAATCAGCTGGCATAATTTTTATAGATACAATGGAAAACAACGCTAGAGTATATACATTTACCCGCGTTGCTAAAAGCACCTACCCTCCTCTTACCTTTTTGAAGAGTCCCACTCCTAACCTGAATTTCCTCAGCATGTTGCCTGTCATTTTTAACTCGTGTTGCTGCTTCTCTTTGAGCTTTCATCAGTTCTCTTTCCATCAGCTGTAAACTGTTTTGAAGGCCTTCTATCTCATTTTCTTTCCGACACATTTCAAGCCGTAACACGACAGTGCCCTCGTCTACAAGTTTGGTTATTTCTGCAACTGCTGCCTTTGATAGCACATCCATGATTGCAGCTATTTGTGTACTGAAAGAAACAGTGTTAGACATTGTTCTTCAAATAAAATCACCGCTGTTACACAAAAACGAATATGCAGTTCTAGTGCCTCTGTGAAATGTTTATAATAGAATCGTTTCTACTATTGTACAGCTTATCGAAACTGGCAAGCGGAATTGTTTGGTTAAAAAAAAAAATCTGGAAAAATGGACAACGGAAATGACGAAAGAAAGGTTTTCAATAAACAACTTCTTCTTCTTCTTCGGTGAGGTTTAACGGCGGTTGGCATCCAATATGTTACATTACCGCCCCCAACTGAACTATAGTATAGATCCATTACACTTTGTGATACAAAATGGGCAAGGGGACCCGGGAAAAATAAAATACAAATATTATTATAATTTTAATTACCCTTATATTTTTAATTACCCTACCAATTTTTTTTAACCAAAACTAGAATCTGTGACGAACACAGTGAACTACGTTTTATAGACTTGACGCTTTGCCAAAGTTGTAAAAAATGGCGCTGTTTTGGAGTGCAAGGTCGAATTGAGTTTGTGCACACGCGCATTTCACAGAGGATGCGTTCCCTAACGGAAATATGCTAATATATGTTACAACACGCCAATAGGATCTCGCTCGCTCGTGCTTGGCTTTGCCCAACTCCTTTCTTGTTCTGCCCACTATGCTTCATTTTCTCCCACTGTAAACTACACAGATGAACTATCTTGGGTTAGTTTTAAATATATTTTCTACCACTCAACACATGCTGTAACCAATGTTCCCTCAAATTGTTTGGGGCACTGAGCAAATATTAGGTCTTGTGAGCAGGGGTGGAAAAAGTACCCAATTTTCATACTTGAGTAAAAGTATAGATACCTTAATAGAAAGTTACTCAAGTAAAAGTCACCCAGTAAAATACTACTTGAGTAAAAGTCTAAAAGTATTTTGTTCTAAATATACTTAAGTATCAAAAGTAAATGTAATTGCTAAAATATACTTAAGTATCAAAAGTAAAAGTAAAAGTATGAATCATAAAAAAATATTAATATTAAGCAAAGCAGGCGGCACCATTTTATTTATTTATTTATTTTTTATGAATGGATAGCCAGGGGCACACTCCAACATTCAGACATAATTTACAAACGAAGCATGTGTGTTTAGTGAGTCCACCAGATCAGAGGCAGTAGGGATGACCAGGGATGTTCTGTTGATAAGTGCGTGAATTGGACCAATTTCCTGTCCTGCTAAGTATTCAAAATGTAACGAGTACTTTTGGGTGTCAGGGAAAATATATTGAGTAAAAAGTACATAATTTTCTTTAGGAATGTAGTGAAGTAAAAGTAAAAGTTGTCCAAAATATTAATAGTAAAGTACAGATATCCCCAAAAACTACTTAAGTAGTACTTTAAAGTATTTTTACTTAAGTACTTTACACCACTGCTTGTGAGCAGAAACGTGAACATTGGTAGAATTTTGTGTAACTTCCGGCACGTGTTTACAGTGAACACTGAGGCTGTACCCTTACAGTTTTAGACAGTAGCCAATAGGCTATTGTGGCTATTTGAGCATAATGTAGGCCTACCAACAAAACCAATGGAGCAAATCCCATAACATTTTCACATGGAAATAGCTCTTGATTTCTATGATATAGTCTACAGTAGCCTATATGCGGTGTTCAATGCAGGCCTACATTGCATGAGACTTTTACAAAAGTTTTTACATTATGAAGGGCTTGACATTAATTCTTTATTTTTTACATGTTCTGTAACAACATGGGCCAAGTAGGTGATTGCATTGTATTGTGTTTGATGATGCAAGAAACCACTTTAGAAAATAACATTTATTATTATTACCATACAGATAATTAGACAATGTAGGCTTGTCTATGTGTAGGCTATATTTATTGGCTTATTTGCATATTCAAGCCTGTCGAAAAATACAACACTGCCCCTTTATTTAAGATATAAGCTTTTTACCGGACTGGCTTTTCAAACATAGCTTGAAATGTAGCCTACACGTTTTGTGCTCTTGTAGGAAGCAGTAACTCCCCATTACTATAATGATCTATAACTGGGCTTATAACTCGCTAACTAGTAAAGGATATCAACAAATATGCACACGCGCGGCTTTGCGCTCTGATCTGAACTGATCTGAAAAGCGCATTCACTCGTGGGTGGTTGAAAGACAGCTCATGGGCTACCCCCGCCAATAGACTTCTACTCCGTTGCGCTCTGGCTCTGCCTACAACAAAATCACATACTCAATCTTGCAAAGTTAGATTAGTTTTGGTTTGTTGCATTGAAAAGGGGCTGATATAATGTTGATTCGATCACAGAAAACATTTTGATCTACGTAATGTAAACTAATGTGGCGAACGCAGTGAAGTTCAATCTCTTGCGTCTCTGCGCAATTTAGAGAGAACATTGGCTATAATTCTTCTGCAGTCAAATCTCCTTTTACCGTAAACGTTCTAATAAATGACCTTATATTTGGATTTTTCTCTGAAATCAGTCAAACACCCACTTGTAAAATAATTGTTGAAAATACAAATGAGACAATCAGTTTTCTATGCAGAAGAAGTTTATTCACAAAAACAATTTAAAAACAGAAAATGCATTGGTTTATGGAATTGATACAAATAATGACAAAACATCTCTAGAGGATGCTCATAAGAGGTTATTACATTTGCTTGCTCATCCTTAACAATACCATGTTTATGCATGAGATGTGAAACCTGGGATTTCCATACTTGAGTGTAAATTGACAACTCTTTGCAGATTGTTTAAAACCGAGAGACAGAGAGAGAACGAGAGAGAGAGGAATATGCGGAGGATCAGTTTTTAGAAGCCCTGAATCTTAGTGGGATGGTTCTAGGCCCAGGCTGATTTATTCAGGCAGTATAATTAATAGTCAGATTAACAGACAAAATTCAGACTTTAATACAAAGACTGAAATTAACTGACTTTCACATGCATTCCAGACTAGTTCACTAGTAAAGATCTGGAGCTATGAGATGGATTCTGTGTTCAGTTCTGACTGTATGGGGGCACAGAACAGAGTGACTGATCATCAAACCCTGGTATCATAAAGATATTCTGGGATGGATACCTCAGTGATACAGGCAGCTTCTATCATGATGTTTTCCCTCTCCATCCCTGACATCTTGCATTCTGGGATGGATACCTCAATGATAGGGGCAGCTTCTATCATGATGTGTTCGCTCTCCATCCCTGACATCCGGCTCCAGGCCTGATAGGCAGACTGGGCTGCCTGCACTGCCTGGTTCACCTCCACAGACCCACAGGGCTCCAGCTCACACAGGACCCGACCTGCCAGCACAAAACAGCAGCACCAGTCACATACACACACATACTGGACACACACACATACTGGACAAACTATCTGACATGCTATGAGAAACATGACACAAGTTATATCAACGTAGTACACAAGGAAATGGTGTATTGCTCCACTCTGATGTAGGTTATATAACCATCAACTAGGCCTATACCCATTCAGTTTAGTGTGACTATAACAAGGAAAGTTTATGACAGGATACATGTGTGAATGTGACAAACAAGTGGTTTTCAGACAGTTTAATAAAATGACAGTGACTTCAGATCAAAGTCCAACAGTGGAGATTATTCAATAAAAGAAAGCACTTGGGATTAACATCAATTAATATAGGCCTAAGATCAAGTTCAGTTTTTCATAAACCCTTATAAAAGAGAACAGAGCTTTAAGATTTATCTTTAGAAACTAGGGAGCTACAAGTTGTAGGTTCGTAAACAGGCTCACTGGTTGACACATCTTTGATTTTCACCCGATGATGCGCAATTTAGAGCCGCAGAGAGTAGGGCCCAGTTTCGCTGCATCATTCCTATAATGGCCTAAGGTGTCACATGCGTTTCCCAAAACACCACGTAGAGGGAATGTTCACGAAGTCTGTCGTTAATGCATGTGTTGATACTGATAGAATCGAAAGAAAGGCTGTGCTGCTTTCAGATCAGCTTTATCCATTCAAATCTTTCCTTAACCTCTTAAGGATCGGACCCTTTTTTTTTTCCAATTTTCGCCTAAAATGACATACCCAAATCTAACTGCCTGTAGCTCAGGACCTGAAGCAAGGATATGCATATTCTTGATACCATTTGAAAGGACACACTTTGAAGTTTGTGGAAATGTGAAATTAATGTAGGATAATATAACACATTAGATCTGGTAAACGATAATACAAACAAAAAAACGTGTTTTCTATTTATTTTTTTGTTCCATCATCTTTGAAATGCAAGAGAAAGGCCGGAGAAGATGGCTGCTGTTTTACAGCCCTCTAACCAATTGTACTATTATGTGTGTTTTTCCGCGTTATTTGTAATTTATTTTGTACATAATGTTTCTGCCATCATCTCTTATAACCAAAAAGAGCTTCTGGATATCAGGACAGCGATTACTCACCTCGTATAGGACGAAGATTTTTTCTTCAACGAGGCGGCCGAAGGATATCCTACAGACACCCGACAAGGCCCAAATCCCCGTCATTCGCATGAGAAAGAGACGGAGATATCATGGACTTAGGTCGGGGTGCCTTGTAAGGATCCGACGGCGAGCGAGTAAACTGCCTCTCCCATCAATCCTATTAGCCAATCTTCAATCATTTGAGAATAAATTGGATGACCTAAGATTACGGTTATCCTACCAACGGGACATTAAAAACTGTAATATCTTATGTTTCACCGAGTCGTGGCTGAACGACGACATGGACAACATACAGCTAGCGGGCTATACGCTACATCGGCAGGATAGAACGGCTGAGGTAGAGTATCTTATGATAAGCTGTAGACCACACTATTTACCAAGAGAGTTTTCATCTATATTTTTCATAGCTGTCTATTTACCACCACAAAACAATGCTGGCATTAAGATTGCACTGAATGAGCTGTATAAGGCCATAAGTGAACAGGAAAACGCTCATCCAGAGGCAGCGCTCCTAGTGGCCGGCGACTTTAATGCAGGGAAACTTAAATCCGTTTTACCTAATTTCTACCAGCATGTTAAATGTGCAACCAGAGGAAAAAAACTCTAGACCACCTTTACTCCACACACAGAGACGCATACAAAAGCTCTCCCTCGCCCTCCATTTGGCAAATCTGACCATAACTCTATCCTCCTGATTCCTGCTTATAAGCTAAAACTAAAGCAGGAAGCACCAATGACTC